AGGCAATTACTTTTCCTTATATGAAGATGATACTGCGGTGGCAGTGTCATCTGTGGGTCTGGAAGATCTCACGGGAGTGTAACGGTACTTGTATGAACTGGACTAAGACTGAGACGATGTTGTTTTCGCTTAGGGATTTAAACAAAAGCTTATTGGTTAGAACGCAGGATAAATCGATTAAACAGACTTGGGCTTGTTCATACACAGTAATTTTTAAATGTTTTTTACTCTATCGATGAATACTTTGATTATAGTAATGCTGATCTCTCAGTGTGATATACTTTGTGTGGTTGGACGTATCTGTTTTTGAAGTTCGAATTTTGGTGTTCTAATGTATTTTTTTTTTACTTGTTGACATTATCCGATACTTTTGTTAAAAGTCAATGGAAATAAACATTATTATTATTATTATTATCTATTTTTTTTACTATCTATTGTAGAGTAATTTCATTATTTTCTAAAGCAAACGTCTAACGTCGGTTTTGTGTTGTTTTTGGTCTACAACATTTGCTCTACATAAAAATACAAACATTTGTAAATACATATAAAAATTAACGGATATTCTCAAAAAAAAAAACAAAAGTTAGTCGTTATGTCACAAATAACCCCTTCTAGGGGTTCCTTGTGACACTGCTGGGGTTAGTGTTGACATAACTAAATACTTAAAGACTACCGATCTTATCTGTGCATTTTTCTCCCGGAAGAGAATTCGAGTAAGGCTCTCCACAAATCAGACAAAATGTTTCCGTGTCACCTTCATCAGAGCTGCTTGATGAAGAAATTTAAGAAGAAGAAGAAGAAGAATACAATAATAATACAATTGAAACCTGTCAATATGGGGTAAAATACAAAAACAAAATGTAAAAAGTATAAAAGTGTAAAAAAACGTATTTTATAAATAACACAGCAGTGAACAATAACAAATGTAAAGGTCGGCAACAGTAACACGGAGTATAAAAATCGCACAGAAAGTATAGTATAGTATGCTATGATCTTCACACATTTCAGTAAGCCAAGGGTTTTAATTTTGATTTTTTATTTTGGTGGAATACTCGTCCACACCATAAAAACAATTTTCAATAAGCAACACTTTAACATTTGTTTTGAACACCTCAAAAGCCATGTGTCTGTACTTATCTGGCAGCATATGGTAAAAATTAATGTTTAAAGAATTTTTTCTGATTTAACAAGTTTGTGCTTTGGAACTCTTATAAGATTTAAAACACGTGTTGGATAACTATGAAATACACCTTCAAATATTGAATTTGAATTTGAATTTCTAATAGACTATGGAGAATATAGATACAGGGCAGTGTCATTATCTTATATTTTTCAAAATATGAAGTAGTGTTCATTGTGCTTAGCCTGTATCCTGAATATTTGAACAGCATTGACAGAATTTCCCCGTAACATTGTGCCATATGATATGTGGGAATGAAATAAAGCATAATACACTGTCATTAGGGCATTTTGATCAAGTCAAGTCTACTATCAAGTGTAGTGGCCAAGTAATTTAACCGACTGCCGTTCGCCGTTGTTGTGCCCGCGGACTTATAGTTAAAACCATAAACTTTTTTGTTCGTATGTGTCATTTTATAATTACTTTATTAATATCTTAGTTATTATCTTTTGTCTTTTGTGTTATTATGATTTCCTTATACCTTTTTCATCTGCTTGTCCTTGCCGCTATTTGTTTCCTTGCCCTTTCTTTTTGCACAGGACTTGCTACCTTTTTTCTGATTTGCCCATGTCTGAGGGTGCGGATAAATTTCTCGCATCTACATAACTTTTTGGAGCATTCTGTAGCCTCTCTGCAGGGAATATCATATATTGTCCTTGTCTTACCTGAATGGTTTCTCACCCAGGAATCATCCAATCTGTCTAATAGCTGTGATTTGTGTGAGCAATGTGGAGGGAGTGAAACTACTATCACACCATTTCCCTTGCAGAAATTGATGCCTCTTATAGATAGCTGAGATTCATGATTACCCAGGATAAGCAAAACTGGCTTTTCTTCTGATACTCTAAAGTGCTTGGTGCAATGTTGCAAAAAAGAATAAAATTCATTTTCGGTAATCCATCCGGACGGTTTTGCGGCCCCGATGGAACCTGGTGGGCCCTTGTTTACAAAGTGGTCTCTGTAGTTCTTGCGGGTGAATAGGTACATAGGCGACATTCATTTACCGCTAGCACTGATCGCAAAACAAAATGTAACCAATGTACGTACCCCTCTCCGCAGAAGTGACATATCCCACTTGCTTAACCACCTTCCTAGCAACTATCCGATCGGGCTTTTGGGCCGTGCTGATTCCCATTTCATCAACATTGAAGATTCAAACTTGTAACGGTCTAATACTTCCTCTAATAGTTAAATAAGAAACTGGTGTGGATACTTGCCAAAAAAATATCGAAATGATATAGATGCTTAGTAAAAAACATACAAATTAAGCATTTCATTTAGAATTGCATTAGATATTTCTCGGGAAATGTAAAAATGGTGTTTTGTACTTAACAAAAAAATATCGAATTGGTAAATACTTGGGATTCAATGTGTGACTGCTGTGGATACCTGTCAAAAAAATATCGAATTTTTATAGATGCTAAGCAAAAAATAATTAAATTTAGGAAATGTTCACTTACAAAAAGGTCGAATTGGTAGCTATATTTGGCAAACAATATAAAAACTTGGCATTCAATATTAAACTAGTGTGGATACTTTAAAAATTTAGAAAATTTAGAAACACGTTATGAATCCTTTGTGCTTTGCGCTTAGTATATATTTAGTATATATAGAGCCATCCATGTATTATAAGATCTGTAGTCACAAATATTGGAATATATTTGTAGCACATTGTATATTGATAATTTTTAATTCGCAACATTTTACTCTAATAACAAATCTACAGAAGCGCTTGTTATTCCCGACGAATTATTTATCCAAAAAATTGCCGAACAAATAATCTTCCGATCGCTAATTATATCACAGTAGGAGCCTATTTAAAAAACAAATGGGACAAAAAATTGTCACGCGCATGTTAATATCTTGTCGACACACGAATTCTGTCGACTAAAGTTTATTATTACTCTAATGCGATGCCGTCAAAATGACCAAACACTTTTGCATCCACCAATTAAGGACGCAATATTTCGAAAAGCAATCGTCGCAAATATTTGATGTGAAAAAACAAGATAAAATATATTCTTAAATTTCAAATCCGATTTTTTGAGAATAGTTTTTGCTCCACCTAGTATCCAAAAATTAAAAACAAATGTCAATAACTTCATAATGGCTGAACGCATTATTATCAAACTTGTCAAGTTGGCGCTTTTCTCCTCATAGTATCAACGCAGCCCAGAGCAGATTGTTTTCGATTGCTTGTATCGCCGCTAGAGGGCGTTTCTTGGCTAGTTAGAACGTCACTACAAATTAAAAAAACATTTTTTCGAAAAAATTCAATACAACAAAAGATAGAAATAAGGGTCTAAAACGCTGGTAAAAACTGCATTATGATATCTATTTCTTAACCTACAATATCAGTAAAACAAATATAAACAAAACAGTGTCGCCATCTAATGTTCGTTCTTTTAACAAAATATACGCCAACATCATATTCAAAATTTCAATAATAATAACAATAACGATAATGAAAAGCAACAGCACAGATAAAACACCAAGATCAAATGTTGCGTCCTTAATGTTCTGATTGTTGCGACTGACACTTAAACATCACCATCACAATCTTTGCTATTTTGTTTTCCAAAGCTTAGATATTTCGTGCTAAATGAGAAATGTGTTAAGTGTCCTAAATTTGCAGTTATCAACTTCAAATTTGGCAGAGAAGTCAAGTCCGTCTCCACATTTAAACTGTCACGCCATGATGTCACTGATTATCACTGCATGGTTTCAGAAAAAACTTATTTTCTCGAAAACCATTTACTATTTTCAAACAATTCTCGAACCAGGACGCGTTGAAAATTCAGGGCTATAACCTCTACTTCGAACAAGGATTGAGTCATATACAGGGTGTGACGTTTATGGGCAAAAAAATTAAAATATTCTAAAAATTTCAGTCACGAGTCATGCAAATAACGTATAAGTCTAAGAATTTATTTTTTTAAATTTCAAAACTTCATTGTTTTAGTTGGTATCCCAGGTTTTCCAGAACTAGTAGTAAATAGCACTCACTACTTTTTATATCTCTGTAGACACTATTTCGAGTTTTTATTTGTTTTACTGATACTATAGGTTAGGAAAAAGATCCAAAACGGCGGTTTTTCCTAGCGTATCACACTCTTCTTTGGTTAACTGAGATCCGTGCATTAAATTTCGTTGAGATAATAAATTTTAATCTATGGCGATGTCGCAAAACGTCCTCTAGCGGCGACATAAGCAATTTAAATCAATCCCCAAGCTTGACAAAAAAGATGGAACAATAAAAATAATTGCCAGCATTTTTTCTTTAGTGTTGATTGGCCAAAACAACCAGCGAAAACACTGAGTCATTAATAAGTTTAAATTTATTAAAAAAACAATTATAAATACTCGTTTTCTAAATATAAATTAGTGGGACTAATGCATCGGATTGGACCTATTTATATACAGATCTCGTTTTTATACACCTGCCCTTTTTTCCTCGAGTACGAACGCAGTTTCACAACAAAAACAAAATATCCGTAACACAATTTAAATGGCACAATATCCGATTATCTCTTAGCTAGAAAAATTCCAAAGTTCACATAGTTCTAAATAATTCACCGTGTTACGATTACAAACCGGTGAATGTTAAGTTAAACTCACACGTGATTCCTGGAAATAATTGCTTATTCATATAAAAATCGTTTCACTAATTCTGGACGGCACCACAATTCGGGTCATCGAAACCTTGGTCTAAATGAACCGTCACGCTTAAATAAACCCGATGGCAAAGGTTACATTGAAATAAAAACGCTAGCGAGAAAGTAAAAATCACTTTAACGAATGTTAGGTTATGTGCCCTTACCTATTTCAGACGCCAATTTTTTGATGCACTTTCCTAGTTCTTCTTAAACGAAACACACAATCGCGACAAACAAACGGCGTAATAAATTAAAAAGTTGGCAAAAGGATTTCGAAAAAATGTTCGTTCACCGTATCCGAACTGACCTTTTACCACAAAATAACACGGAAATCACAGACCCAAAAATATCGGGAAGAACGAAAAACAGCTGTTCCCTGTCAGTTCTTGGACTGTTAAGCGTGTTGCCTATCAGTAGGTTATTGACAGAGCAAAAAATATATTAGGGGAGTGTTTGTTGTGACTTGCGGAGTCTTTATTAAAATGATGAAATCGAAATTTCAATATTTAAATTTTAAAGAAAGTTGCATATACGATAGAGAGACCAGTTCGCAGCCAATAATAACAGAATGAACTAGTGAAGCGCTGACGTAATTAGGTACTTGGAATTTTTCGTCAATCGAAATGCGAGCGACAGAGAGTCACCGGGGCGGTATTCTGTCTAGACAGGTCGACTTTGTCGGTACTGTTACGTAGGATTTGCGTCCTACCCGTATCGGGTATCGCCGACGATAGCAAAAATTGATTTTACAGTTACGGAGGTCATTGTTAAATTATAAAAATTATTTGGCAATGAACCAGTAATTGTCTGCGTTAAAAAACAAAAATCTCCTTTTTTTTTACTGAGAGAGTTATAGTAACGTTGAACTGAAGTGGCTTTTACTTGATGAAAATCCATTTATCGAAATAAATAAGAACTAAAAGCTCAGATTTCCACGAAATTATATATTTTTACATGACAATTGTTTCGACAACAGCGTGTCTATATTTACAAACTACCTGCTACTATATATATATATATATATATATATATATATATATATATATATATATATATATATATATATATATATATATATATATATATATATATATATATATATATATATATATAGAACAGAGAATTTAAGTTCAATAAAGGCGGGGTATTTCTCATATTCTCCATGGCTTCCAATAAATTTAATTTTCTACTTTTTGTGGCTGTATGTAAAATATCAAAATTGTCGTCAAAAATTTGTTTTTCTGTGTTGTGTTGTTAGTTGTAAAAGCTATTTTTAACCACTTTTTGACAAATGTTTTGAAACTTTTTCACTAGGTCCTCCTATGTATATAATTGTTTTAAATTGTTCGTGTTCTGTATTAGGTTTCGGATAAATACTATAATAAATATTTATAATTTTATCTTTGTTGTAATTTTCTGTTGAGAGTCGCATATTAAGAAGTCTGTGCAAAAAAGAGTGAAATGCAGCCATTTTGTGTGTATAAGGGTGATTTGAGCTGTTATGTTTGACTTGACTTATGTGTCCGTGTGTGAAGGTTTATGATAAATTGAAAAATCTAATTTGTTTTGCACTGTCGTAATAGTTAAATTTAAAAATTTAATAGAGTTATCCTGTTCAATCTCGATAGTGAATTTTACACGATTATGTAATGATTATGTAAAAGAATTCAATCGTCTGTCCATTCCAACAAAGCAAGCAAAGACATCATCCACGTATCTATACCACCATAGAAAACTTTTACTTAAAGGATGTTCTACAAATTTCAGCTAACAAAGGACTACGTGGGTTTCCTATAATCAAACCTTCTTTAGAGATGTAAATCTGTCAATTAAATTTAAAATAATTTTGGTCTAAAGATACTATTAAGCAATCTAATGAAGGTTGTTTCGCCAATGGTGGATGGACTGAATGTCGTCTTTTGACTGTCGTCACGCGGAGCTTAATTTAACAGGATTCGTAACCGTATCTCTGTGTATTTTTTCGGTCTTCGTACAATTTCAGTGCTTTTTGTGGTTTTCTGTGTTTAAAAAATGTACCTAAATAATACGGATGTTGATGACGCTAGTCGTAGTCATACAAGTGACGTAGAAGTAGATCAGGGGTTGAACGATACTGATATTTCTAATGCCGTTGCGCACACAAAAAATGATTTGAAGTAGTTTAATATGATTGCCTGTTTCCTAATAAAACTGATAATTCAAGTTTTAGTACTAACACTGATGTTGACAACAGGGATGTAACAATTGTCAACTTAAAACAAGAAGTTCAAAGGCAAGTCAAAAAATGAAAACTTTCTCATAAGGGGATAACGTGAGAGATTGAAGATATCTCAGAAGCAATTGTAATACATTCAGATGATGCACATGCCTATAGGTTGTTAGGAAAGCAGGTGTATCTTCTTCCAGCACTGTCGAAATTTCGTTCATGACGTAAAAACTTCAGAAAAACCAGGAATATTAAAGAGGGCATCTCAGGCATATAATGTTTGCGCTTTCATTTCTGCCCCAGTCGTAACCATGATACGTGTTTGTTGTATATCGTGGTATATTGCAAACAGCTGTCTTTCCTGTTTGCAATAATTGCTAAGATTCACTTCAGCCCATAAAATCTATATTCTAGCAAAAAATCGTGTTTACTTTTAAGACTCTTGTTCATAAATCCCTTTTTATTCCCTTTTCAGGCAGTACATTTAGAATTAATCTACAGAAAAATTCAGTGACTTATACTAAAAATCACAGATCATCATAAAAGCACCTAATTTTTTTATTAATTGTTAATAAAGTTATACCTAATCCATTATTATAATATCAAACCTTCATCTTAAATACGTACTCCAAAAATCTTAGTTTCTTAAGTGCAAATCTCATTAATCAAATCCGCGCCTATTTTTGTATTAACTTATAAACCTTATAGTACATTTTATAAAACAAAATGTAACGATTTTTTTTTATGCATATTTGGTTTCTACAAATATAATAGCAACTTGCTTTTTATCCTAAACGATTGTAATTAACAAACTTTAGCAATTGCATCATATACCTAAAGTTCTCCTCGTCAAATACAACTTTTAAACTGCGCGAACGAATTTTATCTTTTCTCAGTAAACTGCCAGTAAAAGTTAATCAAGAGGTTATCGACTGATAAATAAACCAAGTAGTGTAGTTTGACATTATCACAGATCACAAAACAAAACGAATTTTAAAAGGTGGGTGTTTAATATTTCAAAACCAATAAACAATCAACAATATATTATACTTATTACACATATATATTTAAACTATCTAAACCGAACAATTGCTCTCGCAAATATTGCACGACAGCTCCAAATTATTTACAATTTATCTCATAGGCAGCGGTCAGCAGCCGAGGATGGTTTTTATGGAAAAATCGGTGAGCTTCCTCGGTTTCTTCGCCAAGTTCAGCGCGGACATGTCTCTGGGTTCTTCCGAATGTGCTGGCGGATAGTAGTACCCACCGGATGGTGCGTTCCACATCGAATAAGGGTACACGGGGTACCGGTGATAAAAATAATGGGGCTCGTACGCGTACGGATAGGCGTAGCAACGGGTATAACAAGACGACGATTGGCAGCAATCCACCTGTTGCGGCGCCGCTACGGGCGAACCGCTCTTGCACGTGTCTATCGAAGAATTCGGCGACGAACACACAGAAATCGAGTCTTCTTCTTTTACGCACGGAGCTTCTGCCAGTTTCGCCGTTTCTCGGTCATCGACGGTCCTCTTCCTCTTGCACTTTGCCTGGCCGTTTTCCCTAAAGCCTTTCGCGAAGGGATTGTTGTCGATTTTCAGTTGCGTAATCTTCTCGTTTTGGTAAGCCGTCACCGCGATGAACTGAGTCTCGGGAAAAGCGACGCTAGTGCTGGGAGCCCATCCCACCGTCCTCGGGTCGTTGGTCTTGGCGATTATCACCCGAGGTTGGTACTTGTGCATCGAAGAGAGTACCACCTGGCCGGCAGGTGGCGCGGGTGTGTTGGTTAGTTTGAGACGACCGAAGGAGATCGGCTGCGACATCCAGTAGTCCCCTTTGGCAGGGGATTCGGGATGCAGGTAGATCCTCTGGGGACTTTGGGCTTCTTCCGTGCCTGCGGGTGCCCAACCTCCGGTCGTGGAGTATTTGTAACGGCAACGAGACGCGGGCGTCATCTCCAGGAGGACGCAGTAGTGCGCGTTCGGGTCGAGCTCGCTCACTTGGACGTGGAACGACGGGAACATCCGCCTGGAAAGAATTTTAAATGTGATTTTACCACATCGTAGGTAACATCCATGTTAAAATATGATTTTGTATCTTAGAGTTAAGATGGCAACGTCTATTTTGTATTCTGTGCCTTTTGGTTATGGTCTGTGCTTTTTTGACCAGAAAAAAGGGAACAACACGCGAAGAATTTCGGTTGATCATTTTAACAGCCCCCCACCCCCCTTTTAATTGGTCAAATAAAAAAGTTGTTCAAAAAAGAGTAAGCTAATTGCAAGATATATTTAGCTTTTAATGGAATAAAATGTCCTAAAAAATCTGCACATTTTTTTGTATAATATGTTTCTAAACCCAAATGCAATAGTTTTTTTTTATATAGGCGCTTTTAACTTAAAAACAACATTCAAAAATAAATAAAATAATATTGTAGGTGGTGCTGGTAAGTAGGTAGTCACCAAAAAGCATAATATTTTTTATAACCTACAGTGACAGTTACAGAGTTAGGAAAACTATGCTCTTTACATCATACGAGGTGTGTTCAAAAAGTAAGGCGAAAGTTTTATAAACAAAGTTTTTATTTATTCATCAAATCAAATGTTGTCCCCTTCAAAGTATACAATACACTTATGCCAATGTTTTTTTCCACCAACGCTTTCTGGTATAGCTTTGAGTTTTTCCAGCGATATTTTCTTTAACTCCTCAATCGTTCCCAACCTGATTTCCTTGGAAGTCTAGTGTAAGAAACTTTTTCATAAATTTTGGAAAAAATTGAGAGCAAAATCGCTGAATAACAACTGCCTTTTTCAGAGCCACTGCAAAATGGCCCTTTCTGAGGGACCCAATAACAAAATCTCTGACAATTTTAAAAGTGGAAGTCACTGTCACTAATTTTCGAAGAAATAGGGAATTAATTTTATTCTGAATTGATTTTCTGACAAGAGAGAGTTTTCAATTTTTCTCAGCTCTGTCGGTTTTTGACTTATTTGCATTTCAAAAGTTCAATACTTAAAAGATGTTAACTTATGAATCTCCCTGTACATTTAATGTTTCAATTTGCAATGTTTTTTGAGAGAGACTTATGTCAAAAAATCTGACCTGTTCTTCAGAAATTCTGACTTAGTTTTGAGAAATTGTGAGTTGTTTCTCAAAAATTCTTATTTGTTTCTCAAAAATGTTGACTCATTTTTTAGAAATTCTGGCTTAAGTCAAGAATTCTTACTTGTTTTTTAAAAATTTTGTGGAAAATAACATCCAATCATATTTGACTTGTCTATATAAATTCGAAGAAAAATAATCACTTATATTTAAATAAAAATAATATTTAGAAGTTATAAAAACTTGTATTTTGGGTTTCCTTTCGAAATGAGTTAGAAGATTAATGACATTTTCTTTCTATTTTTCTTGACTTTTCCATTTTGAAACCCTGTATTTTGAAAACAAAACATCTTGGACCTGCGTCATTGAAAGAATCACCTCCCCAAGTGTGGCCGAGTATTTGCATAACACCCCGTATATTATCGGCGGCGCCTTTTGTAATTTTCGCATTTTTTTTTGCTCACAGACCACCGAACCCGAAAGGCTTAAGCCTTCGAGAGTTGTTTGGGGTGGTCAGCCCATCGTCTAGTGTCTTTCTGCGTAAAAGCAGTCGGTCGCTTTTACGGGAGACAAGTCGAGTGTTAAAGAGGACGCCACAATGGCGGTTCTTGTCCGACGATCTTTTTGTCTGGGTTTTGCCGCCGCGGTGGGCGCCTATGTGCCGATTAGCTGGCGAAAGTTCTTTCAGTTTCCGCCGAGAAACGCCTGAACTTGTTTCTCGGTGTTTGTATGGTCAACTTTAGTCAATTCTCCTATTCCCGTATTTTCGAAAATCGTAGTAAGTAAAAAAATGTGTTTCCAAAGTCCCTACGTCATAAGATAGTAAATAAGCATCAACGTCGAACAAAAGAACTAAAGATTTAAGCAGTTTATAGTGGGTAATGAATAAATAGCTCGTGTTATTATAAGGTTGTTCGGAAAGTTATTTCGTTTTTTCCCGTCAGAGGACTTAATTACGTTTTTTCGAAACCAACTTCACACTTAAGCCGCATAACCATTATATGTCTTGAGAGCTGATATTGCAAGGCTTGTGTGTGAAAAAGTTCTATTAATTCTACGCAGTAGTTTTTGGTTGGTGCCCTTTTAAATATGAAGAGCAATAAGCAGCATTTTCGTCATATTTTACTTTTTTACTTCAGAAAAGGTAAAAATGCTGTCCAAGCGAGAAAAAAATTGACGGATGTGTATGAAGAAGCCGTGTTAACAGTACGCCAGTGCCAGAACTGGTTTGCAAAATTTCGATCCGGCAATTTTGATGTCGAAGATGCACCACGGTCTGGAAGGCCGGTCGAAGCTGACAAAGATGCGATAAAGGCATTAGTTCATGCAAATCGGCGAATAACCACACGAGAGATCGGTGAGAGATTAAATTTGTCGAATTCGACTGTTTATGGCCATTTGAAAGGCATGGGCTTAACCTCGAAGCTCGATGTGTGGGTGCCCCATGTCCTTACGGAGCGAAATTTGTGTCGTCGCGTTGACGTGTGTGATTCGCTCCTCAAACGTCAAGAAAATGATCCATTTTTGAAGCGGATTATTACTGGGGACGAAAAATGGGTTGTATACGACAATGTTAAACGCAAGAGGTCATGGAGCCGAAAAGATGAACCGGCTCAAAGCGTGTCAAAAGCCAACATTCACCAAAAAAAGGTGATGCTCTCCGTTTGGTGGGATGTCAAAGGAATCGTTTTTTTTGAGCTTTTGCCGGACAATACAACGATTAATTCAGAAGTCTATTGTCATCAACTGGACAAATTGAATGATTCACTTAAAGAGAAGAGGCCCGAATTAATCAACAGGAAGGGTGTAGTGTTCCACCAGGATAATGCGAGACCTCACCCAAGTTTGGTCACTCGCCAAAAACTTTTACAGCTTGAATGGGACGTACTGCAACATTCACCATATCCTCCAGATCTGGCGCCTTCCGACTACTATTTGTTCCGGTCCCTGCAAAATTTTTTGGATGGCAAAACCTTTACCTCAAATGAAGATGTCAAAAACCACCTGAACCAGTTTTTTGCCAGCAAGGACCAAAACTTTTATGAGAGGGGAATTATGTTACTGCCAGAAAGATGGCAAAAGGTGTTGGACCAGAATGGCCAATATATAATTTAATAAAATATTTATTCATTATACGAAAACTGCCTTTCATCTTCCCCAAAAAAAAAACGAACTGACTTTCCGAACAACCCAATACTTTATAGGTCATGTGGATATAAATAATCATAAATTTTATTATTCTTTATTTATTTCATTTCATTTCATTGTATTTCATTGTTAAGATATACTAAACTTGACTTCAAGCAGTGTTTCGTTACTGCTTTCTTATATATGAATAGATTCATAGTAGTCCGTCCACATACATATGTCGTAGTTCATTTTTCTATTATTTATTAGTCCTCCTTTACTAAAAATATTAAAAAAAAAATTCCCAAATTCGCCCCATATAAGTGGCCAATTAAGCCCATTAAAGAATTGCGTACTCCAAAAGCGACGCCTCTGAATACGGCGGCGTTCTCGCATAATCCCATTGGCGGTACCGTCGGGGACAATACCCATAGCGTACCTCCTTTCACCCATGTGTGAAAACTGTTTTTGTTCGGGAAAGTAAAGGGCCTTTGTGTGTCGGCGCCTTTGATATGGAAACCACTCCTCACCACAAAAGAATTACTGAATGATTTCGCCTTTGGTAAAAAAATGTTAAAAAACATTACTATAAAAATATTAAGGTGAATCTATGGGCTGCTTTTTGTAATATTAGTCATTTTGCATTAAAAGAGTTAACCAAAAAGGTAATAATTTCTGTACAAAATATAATTTGACATTCTGACAACATTGTAGCTGCTGAAACTGGTGTGTAAATAGAGAAACAACTTTGTTTTCTACACGACTTTTATACAGGTAAATTAAATTAAATTAATTTCAGATAAAAGCTTTATATTTCACATTAATATCATTTGATTTGGCATCCAGAGTGAAACAGAACCACATGCAGTGGTTTTCAATCTTATTTGAAACAAAACAATATTAAAAATAATAATCATAATTAATTACCTGTGGAAACGACACTTGTCAAAGAACCCAGAAATGTTATTTACTTACAGGTCTATTAAAAACTGTCGCGTAACGTTCTAATAAAATGGTAAAAATGGTAAATGTTTACCAGGTTACCAGATTAAAATAGTTATATTAAAAGTTGTTACGTAGTAAGATATTCTATTTTCGGCGCCTTTGTGCTATTTGGAATCATTCTGCTGATGGATGTCACTTTAAGAAATGTTATATAACAATTAGCTTTTAATTGTGAAAGATTGACGGCATACTGGAAAAATATCCTTAAAATATTCTTTCCCTGCAGTAAAAACCCAATTGAAATGCATGTTTGCAGGTAGAATGAGGTGGTCCAGGAATGGACAACTTCTGAGATGTCTAAGAGTGTCAGTGAGTAATCTTAGTTGAGTATTGCCTCTTTATGCTGAATTTTTTCATCAGAGCAAGAAACGCACATATTCACCACAAGCGTCCTCCGAAAACGAGCCATCACGATATAAACATGCTGCATTTTATTGGTCTGGTGCTATCTTTGATTGTAAAAATACCAGAATCTCAGAACTTGACCATTTTCTTGCCTTACAAGTTTGTCTTTTCTGCATATTTTTTCTACCAGTTACTCGTTTCCCATCCTCAGGTGACTTTATCTCGAAATTGTTTTCACTCTTTTATTTGTCTTGGGATTTATTTCCCTCTTGCCTTTAAATAATTGTTCTAATTCCAGTTCGCATGGGGAAGATGTCAATAGAGCTGCCTTGCTGAAATGGAAGTAGATTTGGAATAAACGATTGATCTCCCTGAAATTGAACTGAGGTGTCTTTTACTTGATGAAAATCCACTGATAGATTTTTTTATTTTATATATTTATTATAGGTTAGTTTTGGTTAGTTTTCACATATTTTATTTTTCTGCATATTGTATTTATGATTTGCCATAATTGTATCGACAAAACCCGGTCAATAAATTCTATTCTATTCTACTCTCTATATACATTTTATTTTTTATCAGAAATTGGCATTTAACTGTATAGCCAATTTAAAAAAAAAAACGCATTAAGTAAATACATAAAAATGGTGCACCTAAAGAATCTGGGGATAAAACGTCAATTTATGGCGACCTCTGGTGGCATTCCGAAACGATCGTCCGGCCGCGGTGTCATCACGAAAAACACGCTAAGCAGGCGGTGAAAACAGGCCAGGAAACGATAATTCATTCGTAATATCGAAATCACGGTAATCTGTGGTCAATTTAACGCCCACCGGGCTACTTCCGTCGCTTCTTATTTAAATTGTTGTTTTAACGTGTGATTTCCTAGCCGCCTGCGTTCGCAATTACGAAAACAAAGGACCGGCGACAGTTGCGAGTCTCCCGTTCGCATTCCTGTCGAAAAAAATGATTAGTAATCGGCAAACGTCGTCGGACGAAAAGAGCCACGTCCCATGTAATGGGTGTTTGTTTGGTAAACCCGGTGGCGCCTGCTTAAAGCCGCGTCATCTGCTTAGAAACCACCCACGGACGGGGTCAAAATTAAATTCGGAATCCAAGAAACATTTTGAAGTAAAAATAGTTTTACGTAATTCCACACAGCTTCTTGCTTCTAAAACTGCCTTACTTTTTATCGTTCAAATAGTATTTCAAATGATAATGAACTAAAAGAAAACTGAAAAAATACGATGTGTACGGAGACTTCCCAAATTCCGGAAATTTTTGTTATCCCAATCCGCGAACGGTAAATCCGCGCAAACATCCGCAAATTTGGGCCGAGTGATAAATCTGTCAAGAAGGCAAATTCGGGTGTTGATTTGGGAGGCGAAACGAAATAAACAGCTCCCGAAAGAGACCACATGTGGCCGTGCAGTGCGAATTATTAAAACCGTAAAATGACGTTTGGGTTGTATTAAATGTCGCTTGGCAACGTAAACAATAAACGTTTCGCTTTTTTGTTTGTTTAGGCGTACGCGGTGAAACGCTAACTAAATCGATCTCTCTCGGATAACCAAAACTATCCTCGGACGGAGGCGGACGGAGGATACAGGATAAGAGAAATAAACAAATCACGATGTTTTGCCGCGTTTCAATTTCTTCGTCTTACCAAACTCTTTTGATTTTTTGATTATTTGCTGAAAACACAATATGAAAATGAAGAGCATTATATTTATGACATGAGCTATGAGCGGGTTCGCACCATTTAATAAAAAATTATTGGGATAATGAACCAAACTTAATCCTTACATCGCAGAAGATCACACGAGAAAACTCTGAGCTGGATGGTAGGGTTTCATTTACTGCTCTCATGCAGTTTAATACTATAAAAAATATAAATAATATATCTTCGAACCTTCTAGAAAAATGTAGTACACCTTTGGTAAAGGAGAATCTTCACCACGCGGCCATAGAATTTATCTTGCATTAACAGATTCGAAAAATTGACAAACATTTTTTTTTGTTTTGTTTATTAGATTACGCTCGTCTCCGTAAACGAATACTTTACCACGTCAGTTTCGTTTCCACGGATCCGGGCCACTTCGGACATTTCCTCTTAAAACTGACAAGCAAAAGGGATACTGAAAACGCAAACGGCGGTCACTACTTAACAATACGCTGACGCTAATGTTCTATTGACTGGTAGAAATCACATGACAGAACACAACCGATAGCCAGTAATAATTTGTTTTAAACATAATTCCGTTGATGTTTTAAACTAATAATTGGTCCAATGGTCCAAAAACACCGTTAATAATTGTATCCCAATCAGTAAGCTTTGTATATTTGCTAAAATTTTGGAGAAGCTTGTTTATAAATACCTTTAATTTAAGTGAAGAGGCAGATTATTCCAGAACACCATGGTTGGTTAGACTGGACAGTCAACACCGATCTCAGCAAGGCTTTGGGTGTCTCAAGGTTCCCATTTAGGGCCTCTGTCTTGTATAATTTATATTAATGATGTAACGAAATGTTTTCTGCATAGCTTATTTTGTTTTTATGCTGACGACCTGAAAATTTTCGGAAAAATTACTACATCTTCCCTACTGCGTAAAGTTACAGGAAGATCGGAGAGTAGTCGCTGATATTCTGTTCTTGAATACAATTTTAAATGGTCTCGCGGACTTCTCTGAGTAGTTATTACTCCCTTAGAAACAGCCTTCACTGGTTGGATCTGGAGGTTTATTTACTATGTCACATGATTCCTTAAAGAAGACACGGACCATTAGACTATTGGATCCACTTCAGTCGATCTCTGAAGAAGCCAACAGGATGATTGGCGAAACGTCAGAAAGTTCGACTCAGCAAAATTCGACGCAGGAGGAATCCAGAAGTTTTGTAAAAAGTATATCGTTACTCATCTGTTCTATGCTAATCTTTAAACAAAGAGGGCGCTGTTGTGGGCTTAACCTGTTGTGTCCCAAAATAAAAAAAATCTTCCGCAAATCTGTTGCAGTAGTTTCGATTGTTTGTTCGACAAAACCGTAGAGAAAAAAATGTCGCGGAAGTGTCTCCGACGCAGGAAGTGCACCGTCTGACAAAAAACAATCGGATCTGAGCTCCGGCTTGGCATTTATTTACGATAACAATGAAAACGCTTGACTTTTCGAGGAACCTCACTTGCTACACCGACTTATATTGTCCAATAAACGGCGTCAAATCTCAGGTACGAAAGAATGGAACCACTCGAAAAGTCAATTTCGAAGGGTACCGATAATTACCACGTAAAGTACTGTTACGGTGTTTACTCTCGAGTCTGGCGTTTGGGGGTTTATGGTTTATCGGACGCCAGGAATATTTTGTAGTTCGGTAGTTGAACAAAATTTTAATTTGAGAATTATTGCTTAAAAAAAAAAAATGTATTAAATAGTATTAAATCAGTTTAATATTAAAGTTTTCTAGTTTTTAAAATTCAGATAGTATATCAAATAAAATCTAAATTATTGAACAAAAAAAAAAGTGATAAGTGGAAACCTAAAAACTGAACATAAAGTATATTGGCATTAATATCATAAAATGGTCTATATTTTATATAGATCAAGCAGACACTGCTGCACCAGGTAATTTTTTAATTTTAAATCATTATTATATCGGGTGCCGAGTTTGAATAAATTTTAATAAGCCAAACTTCATTTATTAAATTAAATATGATGCCAAAATTGCAAAAAGGTCAACAAATACCAGCGAATATTTTCCATGACTCTATTTCCAAAACTGGACAATGACATATCACAGAAAGAAGCCGTTCGGCGAGAGGTCAGGTGACCTGGGGGCCAAAGCATTCGGCACCTTGGGCCAATAATATTCCCGTTAAAAGTATTTCCGTGTAATATTCAATATATTCAAATGATAATTGTATATATTTTTTTATGTAGATATATCACATCTTTTCCAAAATGTAGTTATAATAATACAGGCATCACCACCAAAAAAACATCATCAAATATGAAAGTCCAGTGGTATACGAGGTTTGTCAAAAAATGTCAAAAGATGGTAACAACTGTTCAATGGTAACTGTCAAAACACGTCACAAATTTACCCATAAGTAGCGCTATTAAGTAGTGAAGGAAATATGGGTGATTCGTTGAAAGTGTGATTGGTTGTATTGTTTGTTCGTTTGTTTACCACTTAGAAAAAATGTTAGGAAGCTTTTCTAATACGTGAATATGCCATCAGGACTAGAATTGTACTAGACGGTGTAGAGAAGTAGCAGAATAAGTGTAGACGAAATAGGATATTTTTTTTTGCTAAAATTAATAATAATAGTTCAAACTTACTGAGACATGTTTTACATTCAAGAAGAATTTACTTAATCTCTCATTTATTTAGTTTCATTAAGCTGGGACACGATTTCTTTCAAAAACCCCTATTTTTTTGTCTTATTCTAAATAAATTTTTTCACTCTTTTACTGCGTTCTTTCCAAAAAGAAAATGCGTTATTTTTCTGAATGTCAATGATTGTTAATTGAGATTAAGCATTGAATATATAAAGCTTTAAGATGGATCCTACCTGCCAGACTTCGTGATGATCATCTCGGTCTCCATGGCGTGGAACTTGGTCCACAGGTCCCTGTTCTTAAGTGTGACTTTGCACCTCGACAACTGGTAAGGATCTGGAAGACAGCATACTCTGTAGTATTATCGAATACTCGATTGGAAATACAAATACCAACAGAAAAAGCAACCTTACTTTGTCTGTATTAATTCAGGATCCTCTCAACTAATGATTAAGAATGTATCACTCGTATACAATGCAGTATAGTCACCACTTATAACTACCGACTTCATTTGTGTACGGGTTGTCCGAAATAAGGTTTCCAATTTTTTGCACATTATCGACAGACCCTGTACATTATCGAAAAAATGCTAAAGGCGTATTTGGTTCTTAAAAATAATGTTTCTTTTTCTGAAACCATGAAGTACGTTGTAACAGTAAATGACGTCATCGCGTCGCGAGAAATAGTGATTTCAATGTGTAATCACAAATAATTTACTTTTGAAAGCAATAATTTTCAGGATCTTTTACATTTTTGCCTATAGTTGAAAAGCCCTGTATATAGTCGAAAAAAAAAGTTGAAATAAGAGTCCCTGATCTTTCACGTTTCCCGGGCGAAGAATTTTGGCCATCGGGTTAATAGTTTCTTAGAAAATATTTTTGTTCAAAATAACCAAAAAAAAAATTGAAAATTTTTGAAAATTACTCGGCCATATTTGATTGCGCCCAGTTTCTGTGGTTTAGATGTGGGTGTAGACTTTTAATTCTGTTCTGAATTTAAATGCATAAACAATCCATACGGGCTTTATGACCATGCATTTTTTATCATATCAAAATTTTTAGTGTTTGCAAATGACGAGCACACTCTGCACATTTTTGACAATTTTTTTTTCGGTAGAAGATTTTTTTTTCAGTCGCGTAAACAGTTTTTGACAAATATTTTTTTTTGTAGACCTTGCAAACGCGAGTTTTAACTTTTTAAAAATACTTCATACCTAATAGCGTTATCATTTTTTTTTGCAGAGGTGAAAACTAGTATTTTTTAGAAAATATTCAAAAACTATTAGGTTTGGTATGTATGTATTATTGACAAAAAAGTTGATGAATTTTAAAAAGAATTCAAAACAAAGTTTCAAAATATTGCAAATTTTTATATCCTCTTTGCCATTTTGCTTATCGGCTTGATACCTAATATTTCAAACCTCCGCGATTCCAAATAGATAAGAACTAAAAGTTCAGATTTTCACGAAATTATATATTTTGACATGACAATTGTTTTGACAACACCGTGTCTTTATCAAATGTCACATTTGATTGAAGATGGTTCAGCAGTTGCTTGGATGATGTTCCTCTTAATTATTATTTATTTTTTATTTATTTATTTATTATTGAATTATACAAACCGGTGGATTGAAGATGGTTCAGCAGTTGCTTGGCCGGCAAGGTCGCCTGATCTTGAACCCTTAGATTGCTTTTTATGCGGAACCCTGAAAACTTTGGTTTATGCAGAAATTTTTTTAAACCAGAGAGCAACTGGTAGCTAGCAGAAACTATTCGTGCTGACACTGAGACCATTGCCAAAGCCAGCAACTGGGTGGACATTTCGAACGACTAATTTAGCAAAATAAAATGTAAATAATTAAAAAGTGAAGGAGTTTCTTGTAAATAGTCTTTCAAATTTCAAATGCTTGTAGCTCAGTTAGTGTATATGTTCATTTGACGTTTTAACTTGAAATCATCCAAGCAACAGACTCCCGAGCTATGGCAGTCATGTCGTGGGACACCTTGTACAATTTTTTTATCATATATCATTAGAAGTCATTCTTTCTACCCAGCAAAAACCTACCTTCGAAGTTGTACAATTTCGAATGCTCCGTCCTATCAATTCCGTAAACGAAATCCATAATTTGCCAATTCTTCGATCACTAATCACTCAAGGGCCACCGATTTGTCCGACTCGTACCGCGTTGACGCTCAAACTATTTCGGTACTATCCGAAGGGAGCCGTTTTAACACCCTCGCAATGGTACCACCCCTTGCCCTATAACGTTCCGACCCTATTGGTTCGACCGTATTGGCGCCCGATGGGGGTGGTTTAAAATGGTACCTCTAGGCCTTGCGGTCTTCTGGTATTCCGACTCGCGCCCACAGCTGTTATCGTCCGCATGGGCATTAGCGTTAATGAGTGTACGGACGTCAGATTACGTTGTTTTCTTTTTGGGGAGATGACTCATTAAATGTCGATTGTTTTAGAAAGTCGCAGGGGAAAGTTTCTCCGAAAGCCTCCTCGTATAGCCTCCTACCTTTCCCGAAAACGGTCCCGGTGATTGTTCAACGAGAAAACTTGTAAAATATTTTTGAATTACCTTTGTTGAATGTTCACGTTCGAAATTTATAATTTATTATTGTTGAGTTGTAAAATAATTTTTATTGTCGCTCAATGAATGATCAAATTATACGGGGGGTTCCGAAATTTCGTGACCAAATTGTAACAGTAATAATCAATTAATTAATTAAGTCAATTACGTTTCTTGATTGTTCACGTTTGAAATTTATAATTTATTTATAACCATCAGTTATTCCTGTGTGTGTGGCCCAAATTGTAATAATAATAATATATTAATTAATTACTTAAACTGCGTTGGTTGAATGTTCACATTTAACTTATAATTTATTCGGTTTAGTTCGAATTTATTGAATTTATAAAATAATTTTTATTGTTGCTCAAAGAATAATCGAATTATACAGTGGGTCAAATTGTAATAATAATAATTAATTATATTACGTAAATTATTTGTTGAATGTTCATGTTTGAAGTTTCTAATTTATTTTTTTTATTTTATTTTATTTATTATTTAATTTTGTTCTATTTATAACATAATTTTTATTTGCGGCTCAAGGTGGTTCCGAAATTTAGATGCCAAATTGTGATAATTATGTTTAATTAATTTATTACGATTGTTGAATTTAGTTGATTTATAAAATAATTTGTACTGTGGCTCAAATAATGATTAAATTATAATATAATATTAATAATATTATATTATATATAATATAATCAATATATTAATTATCTAATTAATACCTAAATTACGTAAACTACGGTTGTTGAACACTCGTCTTTGAAATTTATAATTTATTGATTCGGTTTAGTCGAAATTACCTAATTCATTTATAAAACAAATTGTATTGTGGCTGAAGGAACGATCAACTTATACAGGGGGTTCCAAAATTTCACGTTTGCAATTTATAATTCATTTATAATAAATATTTATTCGCTTTAGTTGAAATTAATCTATTTTTGAAATAACTTCTATTCTGGCTAAAAGAGTGATCGAATTATACGGAGGGTTCAGAAATTTCTGAGCCAAAATAATAATGATTAATTAATTACGTAAATTGTTGTTAAATGCTCGCCTTTGAACTTTAATCATTATTTATAATAATTGTTTATTCAGTTTAGTTGGAATTAAGTGATTTGTGAACTATTTTTTTGTTGCTCAAGGAATGATACAATAATACAAGGAATTCCGAAATTTCTGAGCCAAATTGTAATAATAATAGTAAAATAATTACGTAAATTACGTTTATTAGATACTCAATCGCCTTTGAAATTCATAATTTATTCATAATCATTAGTTACTCAGTTTAGTTGGAATTAATTGATTTATTAAATAATTTTTATTGTGGCTCAGGGAATTATCAAATTGTACAGGGGATTTCGAAATTTCTACGCCAAGTTGTAATAATAATGAATGCTCCCCTTGGAAATTTATAATTTATTTATAATAATTAGTTACTCAGTTTAGTTGGGATTAATTGATTATTAAATAATTTTTATTGTAGCTCAAGGAATTATCAAATTATACAGGGGTTCTGAAATTTCTGAGCTAAATTGTAATAATATTCATTAATTAATAAAGTAAATTACATGTGTTGAATGCTCACCTTGGGAATTTATAAGGTATTATTTGTAATAATTTGTTATTCAGTTTAGTTGGAATTAATTATTTTATTAAATAATTTTTATTGTAGATCAATGAAATATCAAATTATACAGGGGTTCTGAAATTTCTGGCCAAAGTTTTAAAAAGGAAAATAAATTAATGAACTACGTAAATTATAAGTTATTTATAATATTTATCTATTCGGTTTGGTTAGAATTAATTGAATCGTAAAATAATTTTTATGTTATCTTATATTCTCTTAGTACTAATGTGATTTTTTTTATACCTACATGTACGTGATGAATTGATAATATATAACGTTTATATTTTTATAACATCAAGAGCTAAGTTTTTGAGACAAAGTATAATTAATATCGCATTTCTGCAACTGGTACTCGATGACTCACGTTTGTTTATCATCGATGGTAGGTACACGGAGGCAATTTTCTCAGCAGCTATCGAAACAGGGTCGTAAACGACCCCAAAACCGAAAAATATGTTTTTCTTGTGCGATACGCAAATATTCGAGCTTGCCCTTCGTACCCTTTAATTTGTTTACTCGCGTGTTCCTCGACGAATCGGATGTCGGATTTATCGCCGAAATTGCTCGCCTATCTTAATCGAGAAGTTAGTCACCTATCGGGCAAACAGTTTCTATTCTAGTCGCAATACCGTGCGATAAAGAATGTCGCGTCTTAAGCGGTTATTAATGGCGCTTACATTTGCACACTGTTAAAGCTGAGACAAATTCAGATCTTTTTTGGTAGACGCTTTTTATTCCATCTTTAAAAGGAAAGTGGGGGGTTGGGGGAGGTTCTGGAACACCAAACGAGCTTTATAATATATTATAATATAATAAATCGTTAATTATAAAAGATATGATATATGATAAAAGAGTTGGTATGGTATGGACAAGAAAGGGTTGTAATAAACAAAATACGCGACATTTCAAGATTGAAGAATAAAAAGAAACTTTTACGCAGGTGTTCAAACAGTCTGTCAAAATAATATATTTCATTTATTTATTTATTTATTTTTTTGAAAAAAAAAAGAAAGTTAAATACGAAAGTTATAGATAAGTTTACCAAACTTTTACATTTTTATGGAACACCCTGTATATTATTGTGTTAGTAGATACTTCTTTTTACAATCTTTCACTCAATGTTGGGTTGTTATGGTCTACTCCGAGTGTTTTCGGATTTTACAACTACAATTTTATAAAATAGTCCAGTCATTTATTCTATACTTGTATTGAAGTTAATATATATAACGTTTCCTTAAGGGTGGTTAGATGAGCAGCCATGTATAACGTATCCCTACGGTACCAATAAAGACATTTTGAATTGAATTGAATTAAATTTGTTCATATTTAGTTCTTTCCGTTGAATAAAATTTAAAAAATGAATAAAAAATTGTTATTATTAAACCACCTCTACCCAAGTACGACTTCAACATTATGTATTTATTGCACGGTTGAGGAATAAAAAGAAGCTTTCATACTGGTGTCCAAGTAATCTGTAGAAGTATATTTCATTCATTTATTTTTTTTTTGAAAAAAAAAATGTTAAATACAAAATAAGTCGTAGGAACCAAATTTTGATATTTTTCATAGAACACCCTTTATATTGTGTTAGTAGATACTTCTTTTTGTACTCGATCACCCAATGTTGGGTTGTTATGGCCTACACTGAGGGTTTTCGGATTTTTTGCCATGTTTTCTTTATAAATGCTCTATCCTTAACATTTTATTGGGTTGTTCGGAAAGTCATTTCATTTTTTTTTTGGGAACATGAAAGACAGTTTTCGTATAATGAATAAATATTTTATTAAATTATATATTGGCCATTCTGGTCCAACACCTTTTGCCATCTTTCTGGCGGTAACATAATTCCCCTCTCATAAAAGTTTTGGTCCTTACTGGCAAAAAACTGGTTCAGGTGGTTTTTGACCTCTTCATTTGAGGCAAAGGTTTTGCCATCCAAAAAATTTTGCAGGGACCGGAACAAATAGTAGTCGGAAGGCGACAGATCTGGAGAATATGGTGGATGTTGCAGTACGTCCCATTCAAGCTGTAAAAGTTTTTGGCGAGTGACCAAACTTGTGTGAGGTCTCGCATTATCCTGGTGGAACACTGCACCCTCCCTGTTGATTAATTCGGGCCTCTTCTCTTTAAGTGAATCATTCAATTTGTCCAGTTGATGACAATAGACTTCTGAATTAATCGTTGTATTGTCCGGCAAAAGCTCAAAAAAAAACGATTCCTTTGACATCCTACCAAACGGAGAGCATCACCTTTTTTTGGTGAATGTTGGCTTTTGACACGCTTGGAGCCGGTTCATCTTTTCTGCTCCATGACCTCTAGCATTTAACATTGTTGTATACAACCCATTTTTGGTCCCCAGTAATAATCCGCTTCAAAAATGGATCATTTTCTTGACGTTTGAGGAGCGAATCACACACGTCAACGCGACGACACAAATTTCGCTCCGTAAGGACATGGGGCACCCACACATCGAGCTTCGAGGTTAAGCCCATGCCTTTCAAATGGCCATAAACAGTCGAATTCGACAAATTTAATCTCTCACCGATCTCTCGTGTGGTTATTCGCCGATTTGCATCAACTAATGCCTTTATCGCATCTTTGTCAGCTTCGACCGGCCTTCCAGACCGTGGTGCATCTTCGACATCAAAATTGCCGGATCGAAATTTTGCAAACCAGTTCTGGCACTGGCGTACTGTTAACACGCCTTCTCCATACACATCCGTCAATTTTTTTCTCGCTTGGACAGCATTTTTACCTTTTCTGAAGTAAAAAAGTAAAATATGACGAAAATGCTGCTTATTGCTCTCCATATTTAAAAGGGCACCAACCAAAAACTACTGCGTAGAATAATTAGAACTTTTTCACACACAAGCCTTGCAATATCAGCTCTCAAGATATATAATGGTTATGCGGCTTAAGTGTGAAGTTGGTTCCGAAAAAACGTAATTAAGTCCTCTGACGGGAAAAAACGAAATGACTTTCCGAACAACCTTATATATTTTTGAAGCCATATCCTACAACGGTAAATTTATTAATTTAAAAATTATAAGAAGCATTTATACTGGTGTCCAAATAGCCTGTCAAAGTAATATATCTCATTTATTTATTTAAAAAAAAAAAAGTTAAATACAAAAGTTATAGAAAAGTCTGAAAGAAACAATTTAAAATTAGTTTCAAATATACACGGTAAATCATGAATATGTAGGAAACCAGAGTTTTATATTTTTCATGGAGCACTCTGTATATTATTTTATTAATATTATTACTAAGAATAAAGTGCAGAGGAAAACCTATTATGCACATTGATAGTTAGTAACACAACACATATAATGAACATTTAGTTATTGCTGTGAAACAATACACTGTCTTCTGGGGGTAAACTGAATGTCCTGTTACTTATAAAATGAAGGCGATGCGAAGTCCTGAATTGTTCCTTCCTTATTTTAAATGGATGACCACGTAGGCGTTCATCATTGCTTAAGACCACAAGGGGCACGTCAGATGGAAATTGGTCATGCGCGAACCTATACATTTGAATGAGATCCCCTCGCAGCCGACGCTGACTTAATGTTGGCAGACTAAGCAGTTTTAGACGGTCGTCGTAAGCTGTAAGCTGAAGTGGCCAGCGCGTAGCGGCTCGTTGCACTCTTTCCAGAACATCACAGTCACGCAATAGCCATGGGTTCCAGACTGGGGAAGCAAATTCCAGGATGGGGCGAATGTAAGCGGTGAAAAGCCTGCAAGCGATGCGAGGACTAGGATTTTTAAAAGTCTTTTTTAACAAAAATAACGCGCAGTTTGCTTTCTGTGCAATATTTGATACATGCGCAGACCACGCAAGATCGTTAGTTACTGTCACACCTAGGTCCATCTGAGAATCGACACTTGACACAAAGTTTTCATTGATAGAATAGCTAAAACCATGATTGTTCTTGCCAACATGCATCACAGAGCACTTTTGAGCATTCAGCGGTAATAGCCAAGTTGAACACCACTTGGAAATAGTATTCAAGTCTCTCTGCAATACGTCCGCATGTGTTGAAGGATTTCCAAAATAATTTAGTGTCATCAGCATAAGCGCTCAGATGAGAATCAATGCTGGAGAGCAAATCCACCGTGTACACTAAGAATAGCACTGGTCCCAGCACCGATCCCTGGGGAACACCACTAGGCACGTTCTGTGGCAGTGAAAAAGCGTTACCAATTCGAACTCTGAACGACCGGTAGCTTAAGAACGCCGCTATCCACTCTAACAGTTTACCCCCTACTGCAACCTTTTCAAGTTGGAATAACAAGCGTCGCTAGTAGCTATTTCTTTTTATACTCGATCGCCCAATGTTGGGTCGTTATGGACTATACCGAGTGTTTATGTTTTTGACAACTGTAATTTTATGATGCCAACAATTTTATAAAATACTCCAGTCTTTTATCCTATACTTGTATTGAAACTAATTCGAATCGTTTATACAGGATGAATCGAATTAAAAAACATCAATTAAAGACGAAAAATGAAAAAATAAACACCCATACCAAAACTCTACTTTATTTCAATAGCCGAGTGAAAACTTCGCGCGAGTCGCCGCGTCGTACGGTTGCGACGCTGCCGCGTTTCCCGCCGGCGTCGCCACGTCGTTCATGTTCGCGTCGCGTCGTTTCAAATCCGATTTGACTAACAGGCTGACGACGGTGGAGGAGAGTAAGATCCCCTCGATCGTAAAGAACGTGTTCAAATATCCAATCGAGTCGATGAGCTGCTCGAACGTCAGCGTAAGGATGATCGTGAACAAGTACAGAAACGCGTTGAATGCTGCGCAGCTTATCGATTCGGGTACCGGGTAAGTAGCCTCGACGATGTATTCGAAACCGGCCATCATGGCCGGCGTCAGGCAAAACCTGGAAGGCGGAAAGATAAGTAATAATATTTGTAATGTGTTACCATGGGAAACGGAGCACAAAAAAAACTTCCAAATTTTAATGTAATACTATTAACAAATCGCTTTCATTGAAATGTTATAGTTGGTGTATTACCTATCTGGAATGACCTCGCTAGAGCTTATTTAGAAAAGAGTATAGTGACGTAAGCGGCGTAATGAACCGGTTTCGACCAGAGTCCGATCATGTGACTTCGAGCACAGCTGTTTTTTTGTATGTATTACGCGGATTCTGAGGTAAATAGGTTTCAACTACGTCTCTCATGGCCTGCTTCTGGAGAAACTTGGCAGATATGGTGTCCGTGGTCACCCCCAGGATCTTATCCGGTCATATTTAACTGACAGAACACAGGGTGTCGTCTTTAACAATGATATATCAGAGTTTAGGGTTGTGAGCAGTGGCGTGCCTCAGGGCTCCGTCTTGGGTCCGCTACCGTCCACTATTTACGTCATATTAACATCTTGTGTAAAAAACTTGCCTCTAATATTTTTGTAATACGTATTTTCCTCTATTTCACGTGTCCTAGTTCAAGAATTTTTTAAAAATGGTAAATTTTTTTCCAGAAAATAAGTTTTAATAGAAATAGCGATTTCAATATGAATTTTTTCAAATATCCCAAGACGAAAACCGCAAATACAAAAATTGAACCAATTAGTCATATTTTTTACGATTTTTGATTTGTGGCTAATTTAATTTACTCTGTAAAAACACAATTTTCTAGGTCTTTTGGATTTTTGCCTATAATTTAAAAACCCTGTATATAATCGAAAAAATGCCTGAAATAAATCTTTTTGCACTGGATTTTCTGCGTCTGCCGGTTAAAGAATTTTGCCAATCGGATGAACGATTATGGAGGAAAACATATTTTTCTGGAAGCTAAAATTACCAAAAAAAAAATCAAATATATTTCAAAAATACTTGGTAATATTTGATTGCGATCAATTTCTACAGTTTAAATGTGGACACGGACTTTTACTACTCTGCTAAATTTGAAGTTGATATCTGCAAATTTATGACACTTAACACATTTCTCATTTAGCGCGGAATATCGGGAACACCCTGTACAATAGGTGAAAACCTTAAATATAAATGTTTTTGCTATCTATGCGAGCTATATCGCAATTTAAAAGAAAGTGACCACGCAAAAGTTTGACATCGACCTTACCCGAATAGCGGAATTGCTATAAAACTTCCGATACGGCTCTTCTCTACGAGACTGATCACGACAGGAACGTAGGAGATTGACGAACTAATGAGGATGACAAACGACACCAGTCTGGAATAAATTTGTGGTAAGATTAATTCGACACCCTGTATATTGAAGCTGTTTAAGTGTATCATGATTTTGAAGAACATGCGCCGAAATATTTAACATTCAATAAAATCCGTTTTTTTGTGATTTGGGGAATACAAAGCCGGTCAAATTAGCAGACTAGTAGCATGTTTTCCACTGACTACGATGATGAAAACAGAAAAACAATTGAAAATGTACTCTGCTTAAATGTAACACCCCGTATATCTTTTACTCTAATATTAGCCTAAAATTGAAAATAACCGAATAACCGAGATGGCCATTTATTTCATTAAAACTTGCCTTTTGTCAATTTTTTAAAATCAAAACCCATGTGTTGAATACACTTCCATAAGGTAGTTCTGCCACACTTAACACCGGTTTCATATTTTTCAAGCCTCCTAATTAAGATATCTAATGGAGGCACGCTTTGTTCCTCGTATAATTGGTAAATTTTACGCCTATTATATCTTGATCACTTTCATCTACACTCGAGAAAATGTCAGCATCGTTTCCTTTTTTCCTCGCTGAACGAGAGTCAAATAAACATTGTTTATATCTTCCTTAGTCTCATAGAATAGTGTTTTCTACATTTGGGCGGGAGCATCTCCTGAGATACACTAGACTCGCACATATTTTGCATAATCCGCACACGATTCAACACACGCTGCATTATACACGAAATAAGAATGATTACTAATAAACTTAAACTAAGTAGTATACCAAACCAAAGAATATTAAACAGGTAGGTATAAAATTATTTTCTATTACAGACCACAATTTTACCTGAATACATGATAGATGTGCTTATCTTTGGACACGCTGTATACGCAAAAACCTATTCGCGACAGCAAGCATAAACTTACTTGAACTTGTGCGTCTTGTCCAAAATGACGCCGAAAATCACACTGCCGACACAACCCCCCATAATAATGGCCAGGAATCCTACGAGTCCGACGTCACTCTCGGCTCCCTTAAAAAAAGTCATCTGTCAAATTAAAGATGCCGTCAATGAAATTATCATGGCTGTCTTGTTTTTGGGATACAAAACCCTCGTATCTCCGTTGCGTTTTAAGTGATTGAAGAATTTGAAAATAAATTTTTTGGATTTCTTCTGATGAATCCAGTGGCGTACTCTATGTGATCTAACCGTTTATTAGTTATAAAGCAAACATATATTTGTTGAATGGAAACCTAGTATAGTATTTGTTACGTATATATTATATTTAATAATTAGTAATTAATTAATCTATTGAAAACAATATCCAACTAGACAATTATTAACAAACAAGAAGCTCAATACTTTATACGTTATGTGTTTTATAATTTTCAATTTATAGTCCATTATTACATTGATTAATTCGAAATAACAATATTTTTCTTATTTTTTCCATGACATTTAAAAGTATTATTGGTCTCCTTCGCGGAGTTTGGAAAAATAAATCAATTGCTCCTCGAAGTTCTGCTACAGGCTGGTATCGTGTTTTCTATACTTTATTTCGCATATATCCCCATAAAAAGAAATCTAATACTGAAAGATCTGGAGATCGTGAAGGATATCTTACAGGTACGTTTTGTTTTGTTTTAACAGTCCGGAGTTATGACTTGAGGCGCCATCTTGCTGAAGATACGAGGGCAGCGCCAAAATTTCGCGTCCAGAATATGAAAAAAACAAAGTAGAGTAACAATTTTTTATTATGTTTCAATATAATCCCCCTTAACTTCAATACACTTATTACATCTCTATATTAACAACTCAATCCCCTTAAAAAAATATTCTTTTGATTTGTCTGCAAAATGAACTAAAACAGCCTCTTTTAACTCAACTTCGTCGTTAAACCGCCGTCCACGTAAGTCCTTTTTCAAATATCCAAACAAATAATAGTCCCAGAGAGCCATATCTGGACTATAGGGAACCCACACTCTAAAATGGCAGCTTGTGCAACACCAGCAATATGGACAGGTACATTATAGTGCAAAGGACGCACGCCTCTGGTCAGTTTTCCTCGACGTTTTACACAAATGCAGTCTCTCAATTTATGGTAATATTTACCATTGACATTGGTATTAGTTTCTTTAAAATCTATCCAAAGAATTCCGTCACAATCCCGAAAGATCGTGGCCATCACCTTTTTTCTTGATTGGCAGACTCTGAATTTTCTTGGAAGTGCGTCACCCTTACGACGCCACTCCATTGATTCTTTTTTCGATAGAGGGTCATAACAGAGAACCACAGAGTTCCAAAAAAGACCGGGCACACTCTACACAATGTTGTTTTTGAATAGCCGAAAAGTTTTTAGGAACCCACCTTGCACTAACCTTATGCACACCTTCAACCGTCGATCACTGAATACCACCTCTTCCACAATCGGAACAATATCTTCCGTTATGACCTCCACTGGTCGACCAGTTCCTGAATCATCTTCAAGGGACTCCTGCCCATTCGAAAACGTTTTGCCCATTCTTTCACTACAGAATACAAAGGAGAACTTAAACGAAGACAAAGTTCTATCTTGATACTAGAGCTGCATCTATGTCAGGCCGGGAAATTTTGGCGCTAACCTCGTATATATCATTATCATTATCAACGAAGAAATAACCATATTAGAAGTCTTCCAAAAGAACTTTTAACTCTTAACTCTTAAACTTGTGTGGTATTGTATGCGTTGTATAAAACACACCAACATATCATATTTTTTATAAGTTGCATACACTGTCTTTATTATAGAAAATTAATTTAAATGAATTAAACACAAAAATAACAAATGGATAGGTAAAAAAATATAAATAAAAACTGACAATCCCGTAAGTTTTCGACACATTTACTTTTTTGTTTTTAATAGATGAGTCATGGCCTACTGATATAGTCTGCTTAACATTATAATAACGTAATGTTTGTCATATTAAGACATGATTATTTTTGAAAAAAAAATTTTCGTCCTGTTTTTTCGAAATTAAGTAAAGAGTCTTTTGTATAGTGATAACTGCTTGGACGTATTTTATTTTTTTACTGTGGCCCACTGATACAAATAAAGTAAAAGAGTGAAAAAAAAAAGATGAATTTTGAACTTAATTCTCAAAACAACTTTATAATAATATATATTTCTGCCCAAAATATCTATATTAAATTATGTACCTGTGTATGTCAAAAAATCATTTACCTACGTCACAAAAACTAGAAAATAACTGCTAAACTTCTTTCTTTTCACAGCAATCTATAGAGACGCACTTTACCGTATGTATTACTTTAGGAGCAATAAACCTATTTTCCATGTATTTAGTTTGCTAAAATGTATAATATAAGCTTTGTCCGATAGAGGGGACATGGCGGATACTTCCACACGACTTACGGGAAAATAGTTGAGATATATGCTGTTCTCTATGAGACCGATGGCGTTTAAAACGCCAGTCGGCAAACCCAAAGACCAGATAATCATCCAGAAGTTTCTTTCCTTGAACATCGTCAATACCTGTTTCATATACGGTTCTTTGACGTCTCTGTCGACCAGAGCCAACTGTGACGGACTTGGTGGCAGCGCTGGCTTCGATCTGAAAACTGACGTTGCGTTGGTTCGTTTCTCACATGTTTTTGGGGTATGTGGAGCAAAATCTAAATTTTCTGAATACTTTATTATCTAGACAGGGCACGAATACGCTGTTATAGCGACTTCATCATTTAAGCTGTGTGACTGTATTTGGCTACAGTATGGTCATAGATATAAGAAAGTGACTAACTGATGCGAATAAAGGAAAGACCCGGGCAAGCTGTAAGGATGAAATATGGCCGAACAGGTCCGTAATCTGCTTAGAACTTAATTATTTGCGGTAGGTATAAAAATATTTTCTATTACGAACCACAATTTTACCTGAATTTAAATTCCGAAATTTTAGGTAATAATCTTGTTCCATTGTATGTTGATGACCACCCTTGGATAATCCCATTTAAAAGCAATTGGTCACTTTCTTATATCTATGAACAGACCATAGCTAAAAATTTACATTAGATGCAGAGAAGAGATTCTTATTATGATTGGACATTTTAAGAATTTTTATTTTAAGAGAAATGATAGTTAAGGCCAATGCACAGTTGAGTGCCATCAGCGCAAAAAGGATAATCGCACTGTAATGGCGTTGTAAGCCTGGATGTAGTCATCGCAATCGGAGCTGAACCTAAAATACTAACTTCGTAAACAGCCAAAAGCCTAGTTAAGTGTTCCTTTTTGTGTTTTCTCAGGACGATACCAATTTACGTTAGTAAGAATTGAAATGAGGATTTCACTGATTTATCACGTCAAAAGCTTTTGCTAAATCCAAGTGAGACCAAGACAGTACTTTTGTTGTCATCGCAAGCCTTAAAAATATCATCTGTTACATCTGCAACACATGTATAACCAGATCTAAGACGCGATTGTGTGCGTGGGGGGCAAAATATTGTAAATATGATAGCAGTGATCAAACTATGTAGGTGTAGGTAACAAGCAAGCATCATATTTCATTCAGGTTTTCTTCTTCAACAAAACAATGACTTACACAAAACAACCACCAGGAAGACAACCCCTGTAGCGATCGCTTGGTACAGGAACATGTCGAATAGCTGAGATTCGGTACGATCACCCATTTCGACGAGGTAGGGCGATACCACGCACCCCAACGCGGCACCTACAAGCGTCAGGATATCAGAATAGAAGATTTTTCAAATATTTTGATTCGCAACTAAACGATGTCCACTAAGAAATCCATAGAAGGTTTCGCAGTAATTTTGCAAAATACCAATGAGAAAAAATTGGCACTGCAATAAGTAAGTTAAGTGAGAAGATTAAAAAAAAATACGGGTTTAATAAAATTTTGCTAGTTTTATGCACGAAAGTGTTATGCATATATTATTCATTTCTGGCCCATTAATAACGAGTTTGAGACATTGACACATTGATACATTGATTATATGAGCTTTTTAAATAAATTTTGAGTTACACTTATATTTAAGATATTCTGCAATTATAATATCTATCTACTTAGCTGTTAGCTTAACATTAGTATATTTTTAATTATATTTTGATTGGCGTAGAATGTCTGGGATATACGATGGATTAGACGATGAAATATTTATAAGTATTGGCATATAAAATAAATATAATATAAATATATATAATAGCGTTATATATATATATATAAAAATATAAATGCTTTTCTTCTGTCTTACAATACTTGCTCTGAATGTTCCAATGCCATAATAAAATTTTGACATTTTTGCTGACATTAAAATAAAGGTTTCGGTCACAAACGTTCATAAGTGCGAACCTGCCATGGCGATTGAGCGCTTACCAAGTTGCATGCCCAAAATGGCGACGGCGCACGCCGTCGACACCTGAGACGAACCGAACCACGTGGTGGCTACTTTGGAAGGCACACTGGCCAGGTAAATTTGAGCCACGGCGCACAGTCCTTGGGCAACGACGATGGTCCAGAATCTGGACGGATCTGAGCCCAGCAGTTTTAGAAGGTTGCCGACCAGCGTCAAGAGGGCCGCCGTGGCGAAAGTAAATTTCAAACTCTGGAACGATCAGAATAAGGAAACCATCGTTACCTTCGCAAAATGCGAAAAACGCGAATGCGAATTTTTGAGTTTAGTTTATATAAGCTTTTTTACCTCACTAGGTCTGCAAAGGGCCTACAGGGTGACCCAATTATTTTTATCGAGCACAGTATGTCTAAAATTCGTTGTTCGGGTTTCTGAGCTGCAGGATTATTTCGAAAATTTAGCGGTTTGAGGCATCGAAAAGAAAAAAAACCTTCTATAGAGATTTTTTTTACGCAGAATCCATTGGACTAGCTAGTTTTTTCAGATTTTTTTTTTTGAACGATGACAAAGTTGTGTATTTTTAAGGACTTTCAGAGTATATACAACACTTTTTTAATTTGTTTTTAATTCAATTCTGTATTGAAAATTATAATATTTTAATATGACTTTTTATATTGGGCTGTGAATGCAAATAAATCATTATTCTTGTTAATATATAATTAACAATTAGTTTTAGTTCAATAGTATCAATTACTACCTAGAATTAAATTATTGTTTTAACTTAAAAAATTTATTCGAGAACCATTTTTATCCGTGTTGTCCATTTTCGTCTCGCAAAATTAGTTTAAATCTAAATTTACAGCTAATGAAACTGCTCAAATTTTCTTGTTCTGCGCAGCGCACATTGCACATTTCTTAATTCCATTTTAGTGGCATTTTTAGCAATGCTTAGGAAAATTCTTATCTAAATATAAACCTATCAGTGGAGAATTATGCGTCTTCTTCGCATATTTCTGGTATGATATTTTCCAATATTCCCGGATATGGTCTGTTCATAGATATAAGAAAGTTGCCAATTGCTTTTGAACGGAATTATCCAAGGGTGGTCATTAACATACAATGCAACAAGATTATTACCTAAAGTTTCGGAATTTAAATTCAGGTAAAATTGTGGTCCGTAATAGAAAATAATTTTGTACCTACCTGTGTTTAATATTCCTTGGTTTGGAATATTACTTAGTTTAAGTTTATTAGTACCATTCTTTTTTCGTGTGTAATACCTCGTGTAATACGTGAGTGTTAAATCGTGTGCAGTCTAGTGTATCTCAGGAGATGCTCCCGCCCAAATGTAGAAAACACTATTCTATTGAGACTAAGGGAGTTATAAACAATGTTTATTTGACTCTCATTGAACGTGGTGCCAGCAAGCAAGCATCTTTAGAAGAAACGGCCAAATTTCAACATCAACTGTATGGAAAATAGTGAATAATCCCATTTCAGCGAGGAAAAAAAGAAGCGATGCAGACATTTTTTCGAGTATAGATGAAAGTGATGATCAAAATATAATACGGCGTAAAATTTGCCAGTTATACGAGGAACAAAGCGTGCCTACATTAGATATCTTAATTAGGAGGCTTGAAAAAGATGAAACCGGTGTTAAATGTGGCAGAACTACCTTATGGAAGTGTATTCAACAATTCGGAAATGGCGACTGGAATATCTAAAAAAAATTAGGATTTACAGAGAACAACAAAGGACAATTATTTACTTGGATGAAACCTGGTTCGACACTTATGATACCCAGGGTTGGGTTGACTCAACTGATAAGTGTAAAACAAACGCGATGGTTGGATTCCAAATGGATTTTCTCTGTCTGCGAAAAATATTAAAGATTCTTCTCTGGAGTACCATGAAGACACCACCGCTGATTTATTTGAAAGTTGGTTTAAAAACAGACTAGTTCCAAAATCGCAGTAGACAGATGACTAAAACCTCTTCCTCATGTGACACAAAAGCAACAATCCAAAACTACCATTATACCAAAAAGCAATTAATTGAGATTCTAAAAAGCTTGAACCTACAAAACAATTTTACAATTTACCACTGTATATTTAATCCCATTGAACATGTTTGGCACCAATGAAATCTGCCATTCGTAACAATGTTTTTCCCCGTGTTAACTCCAATGTCCTCAAACTTATAGAAACCGAAGTTTCTAACATCCCTCCACAAAGTTGGCAAATTCTGTTAAACATATAGAAAAAGCAGAACAATCGTATATCCATATTGCAAATAATATAGAACACATAATAATTAGAACAGGCGATGATAGCCGTAGTGATACTGATATATTATGTGAATAATTTTAAGTAATTTAGGTAGGTAATAAAAATTATTTGTAATTTTATTTGAGAATTAAACATAAGTACATATATAAATAAATAAATATTGTTTAGTATCTTTCCTAACAAAAACAATCAAAGTAAGGACCTGTTCTGCCGTATTTCATTCTTACAGCTTTCCCGGGTCTTTCCTTAATTCGTATCAGTTAGTCACTTTCTTATATCTATGAACAGACTTTATCTATTTGCTGTGGGCTTAGTATATTACTTTCTAAAAGAAAACACGAAACACTAATGCCGATCGAACCAGGTTTCATCCAAGTAAATAATTGGCCTTTGTTGGTCACACGCTGTATTACACACAAAATAAGAATGATTACTAATAAACTTAAACTAAGTAGTATACCAAACCAAAGAATATTAAACACAGGACCACAATTTTACCTGAATTTAAATTCCGCATTGTATGTTAATTACCACCCTTGACTAATCCCATTCAAAACAATTGGTCACTATATATCTATCAACAGACCATAACACTGCAGTATCGTCGTGCCTTGCCTCACTTACAATATTTTTATTAAAAAAATATGTTGCACTGAGCCCCACAAATGCTATGGTAGTAAATATCCAATGGTAAGGGAATGTTAAAACTTGATGACCGATATCAGCAATTATTTCAGCAGCAGCATACGGCAAGTTGGGTAATTAATCCGCATTCACTTTTAGGCACTTCTGTGTTATGGAAAATTTTCTACTTCTATGAAACCTTTTTGCGCAGAATTTAATGGTTTTGATTCAAAATTTATAAAACTAATAGTTTGTTCAATATAAGGATGGGATATCATGAGCATATTGAAAACGAAAACGTTAAATTAGGAAAGTTTTAAAGAATTCCATGGGAAATTTAAATTTTCCCGCGTTTCAGGGAAATTCGAGAAAATATTAGGAGTTGTCAAAGTACGTCAAAATAAGCCAAACATGATTTTGGAATTAGCACGTTACAAATTATAACACTTTTTTAAGGAGAATTTGACACAAAGCGAAACAGTAAAAATGGTGTTTTTCATTTTTAAACGAGGCTCTACTGGGCGTTTAGTGCATTCGGTCTGTCGCTTATACTCACGCATTTTTCAATTAAGTAACTGATCGGCAGTAACAACACAATGTAGGCGATATAAAATATCAGACATGTGAGATCGACTGGAAACTCGTCTACGTTGTAGAACCTAAAAGAGACAAAAAATTTTATTGTTTAAATGGAACAACGCAACAGAAATGCGATTGCGGCGTGGCGGTCAATAAATTACCTAGTGATTCAAAGATTCCCTTCCTCGATCAGTCCACTAAGAAAAAAATGACACTAAATACATACAATAAATTCATAGCCAGGAATATCTACACATAATTTCATTTTTATTCGAAACGTCTAAATCTGATTCTATTTCACTATAAGAATCGTCATTGAGATTGATTAGAATAGGATTTATGCTGTTTTGTATTGAAATGTAAGAGTCCTCAATTTTTATAGTGTGTAGTACTGAATCTTTTCAGCTCTCAATTGGTATATTGTTGACTCATTAGTGGTCGCTGACGTAGTAATACGTAATTTTTGTCCGAAATCCAGTAGCCGCTGACGTAATAATACGTCATTTTTTATTTAAAATCCAGTAGCCGATGACGTGTAGTACGTTTTTTGACAGAAAAACTTTGTTTGTGCCATCAAACAGTCGATTTATTTTAATTGATCTTTTTAAATAAACACAGATTAATTTATTATTTATCCTGCTTTATAATGGAAGAAGACGATAGTACTTGTTTACTGGCGATGACGTTTTTAAATTATTAGTAAAGTAAACAAACAGGTAATATAAAGTAATATAAAATAATATAAACAAGTAATATAAACGGTTATTGGTCTACTGATCTACATATTGAACCACCAATGTTTGGCAAAGTTATGCATCGAAATAGATTTAGACAAATATTACAATCATTACATTTTTGTAATAATGATGGAACGTTTAAGCTTCCGAGTCTACAGGCAAGATAACTAAGTGTGGTATGCTTGTCAGAAAAGTTGCAAAATCTCGTAAAGAATCTTTTAGATATATATGAAAATATTTGGTACCGTACTTACATGGATAACTATTATAATAGTGTTGAATTAGCAGAGCATTTGCTTTCCAGGAAGATAAGAACATGTAGTACAATTAGGGTTACGTCAAGATATAAAAAGAAAGTTAAAAAGAGGCCATCATGTTTTCCGTAGAAAAAAAGAAATTTTAATTCATGTATGGAAAGACAAGAGATATGTCAGAATGATCTCAACGGTACATCAGGCTCGGCTTATAGAAACGGGTAAGATAAATCGTAAAGCTGGTGAAATTATTAAAAAACCAGAACGTAATACACATTACAATAAATATATGAACGGTGTCGATTTGGCAGATCAATACCTTTCTTATAATCCTATTATAAGGAAAAGTCTCAAATGGACAAAAAAGGATTTTATGTTTATGTTGATTTGTGATATACAAGAAATTGAACGCGGCAAAGAAAATAAAATTTACCTCTTATTTACTAGAAGCGGGTTTACTAGCAGCAGTTTCTGAAGATCAATCAAAAGGCTTTCAGGAGATGTAAGAACACATGGGCTTGTAAAACTTAAAAGTTCGGGGAAAAAAAAAACTCCACAGAAACGGTGCAAAGTTTGCAAAATTCACGCCATAACGAGAGAAACTTGCCTTATGTGCGGATATTGTGAAATTCCTCTATGTGTTGGAAAATGTTTTAAGAACTACCACATTTAAGAATTAAGATTAAGAATTTTAAGCGGCCAGTAATGAGTTAATTACATTTTTTATCAAACTTATGACACATGGGACTTTACTGTTTTGCCAAATTATCGCATACATACTGTTTTTTAATTGCATATGAATTTAGAACTTGCAAAGTTGAGCTTTTTCGAATTAAATGTCATTACCCAATAACAATAGGTAACAACATCGTTAAAGTTTTATCGACAGAGACTATGTCAAAGAATGGTACGGATAACGCGACGCCAATCGTTGCTGCCGAAGTATACTTATAGAGAAATGAAACAGATTGTCCCTGCGCAAGCTCAGAGGCAGTATAGCGAACCTTCTTAGCAGAAGATCAACTCCCCTCTCAGGATAGGAACCGTCCTCCCTGAACATTAGATACTTTAGATACAGTTATACATTGGGGACCATATCAGCGAGCCATAGTCAAGCTTGCACCTAGCGTAACAGTTAAATAACAATTTAACAGTAGCTGAACTACCAAAATGAGTTAGTCAGTTTCAACGCATTCATATAGTTTTAGGTCATCCGCATAGGCAAGCGTATGTATCGAAGAGAAGAGGTCCATGGTTAGAACCTTGAGGCACGCCAGAAGTTGCAACAAAAGGAACTGATCTAAACCCCTCAATCTCAACAAACTGTCGACGGTTCACCAGATAGGACCTCAACACTTTTTCAATCAGTAAGTGATGATCTATATGGTCAAACGCTTTGTGGAAGTCAGTGTATATAACGTCAACTTGACCTTGCGTGTTCAGGGAGTCACAGACATACGAAGACAGAGAGCATAAGTTGATGGTACATGATATTTTCGCATAAAAACCATGTTGTTGCGTAGATAGTTTATTTCTAATTTGAGCAAAAATAAATTTGTTTGATATAATCTCGAATATTTTAGAAAATTTGCACAAGATCGAAATCGGTCGGTAGTTTTCGACCACAGAAGGATCACCTTTGATGTTTGATTTTGCAGATATTATGCATTATGTATATTTCAAAATAATTTACCAGTGTATACAGGATTTTTCAAAACAAACGCTAAAAACTTAAAGTTTCAAATGCCAAAATCAGATATAAAAATATATTACTTTCTATATACTCAATTTTCTTGCTTGAATCTAAGTGGACCTGGCAAAAATAAATTTTAATGGACGGATTTATAGGAAACTTTCTTGTCTACTGCATTTTTTTCATAAAACTTAGTTTCCAAAAAAAAAAATTTAGTTATTTTTTTATTTTATATTTTATTTTATATACATATTTTATATTTATATATTTCTGAACCTAAATGATCTTTTCATGAGTAAGGACTTTTATTTTCGAACAATTAAGTAATTAGATAATGATTTTTTCATTAAATTATTCGTATTTTATTGTTTCAACTTTAATTAGAACATGTTTACAAGTGTTAGTAGACAAAAATATAATCCCAAAATGTTATTATTAATTTTATATTTTCTATTTTTTTTCAGTTTCATTTTTTTTTAGTTATTTTATGTGCCTTCAAATATTTATATTTTTTGAGTTTAAAATGGTTGAAACGGTTGATGTTTGCGTTCTGTTTGTACCTTTGATTTAATTATTTGTGTTCATAGTATTGCCTATTGTTTAAATAATAAATAATATATCCCAAGTATTTAACTTAAAAAATTTACAAAAATATGGATTTTCACTAAATTTTAAACATTTTCCGCTAAGTTATTGTTAGCCTTTTAATTTTTTTATTTCAGCTTTCCCCAAAACAATTTAATTTTAAACCAAAACTTAAAACAGGGCAATCTTTTAATAAAATTTTAAAAAATATATATGCAAGGGTTTTTAATGTTCTTTTTTCTGCAAAAATGTCATAACTTTACAAAAAAGCATTTTCTTCTGGCCCTTTTTTTTTGGTAAAAAGTGACACAAATCAAGCAAGTTTATTTTTAGACTTTAAATGAAAACTCCAGATAATTAGACTTATTTATTTATGTTGAAAAAAAAACTTTAATTTCTTTTTATAATATCTCATATTTGAAAAAAAAAAATGGGTTTGAAAATTGAATGTCTGGTGAACACTGAAGCGCGAGCGCGATAGAATGTGTACTTACTTACTGATTATATTGGCTATTATAACAAACTGCAGTAACTGCATGTAGTTAATCACGGACAGTGCGCAGTATATTGCCAGGATGACCCATCGATATTTGTACACCTTTACTCTAATCATATTTTCTAACGTACACACGCGTTTTAGGACGGTACGGAACTGACAATGATCGCATGTCTGACCTAGACCGGGAACGGCAACAATTTTAGTATTAAATTAATCGGAAAAACATTGTAATTTTGATAAGTCCACTTCACTGAAGGATGTTGTGAAAAAGCGTATCAGCAAATTGCATATTTTATTCGTAAGATAACGAGAGTTATATTTTATTCGCAAACTTACCGATAACAACAAATCATAGTTTATATTATGACGTATTTATTGAAAGTATTTCGAAGATAAAACGGCGTACAAAAACTTAATAAGCATGACGTTAAATCTCGCAAAAATGAGTATAGTAGGTAGTTAAAAATGTTGTATGTATTGCGTTATATTTTTATTTATATTTTTTTTTATAATTGGGGGAATAAATATACATATTCCTCTGGATTTATTTTGCTAAATATTATTATATATTATGTTCACAGCAATAGAATAATACAAGACGTCTTTTATAATTGTTGTATAACTGCGGGGTTTTTCTCGTTGTTCTTTTGTTATCCATATATGTAGATGCCTATTATTTTGTTTTTCGATGATCTACTGGTGTCCTATTTTTGGGTTTTGCCTTAGTATAATTTTCCGCGCTTTCATTAACTTTATTTAAAGAAATAAAAAAAAATAAAAGTTATTCATTTCTCTTTGTTCTATTGTTTATTGAAATATTTTTCATATATAGGTTGAGGTTTTTTATGTTTAGTACAAGCATCTCAGGAACTCAGTTGTCAGCTCTACTCAAAACTATTTTCAGTTTGCAGTTAATTGCAGTAGAAAATGATAAACATAAATATTTTAGGAAATTATATTCTTAATAAAATATTTTTGATCCCACTCATCATTTTTAAGATACAAAAAAAACTTGGGTTTATTAACTTTTGTACTTGTAATTGTGTAAACTGATATAAAATCATGTCGATCTTTTTCTTTCCAATGATATGCGTAAAGTCTGTTCATAGATATAAGAAAGTGACTAACTGATACGAATTAAACAAAGACCCTGACAAGATGTCCGTACTTTGCTTAGAATTTAATTATTTTGGGTTTTGTTAGGAAAGATACTAAACAATATTTATTTGTTTATGTATGTATTTATGTTTAAATCCAAAATAAAATTACAAATTATTTTTACTACCTACTTAAATTATTCAAAATTATTCACATAATATATCAGTATCACTATCGCTATCATCGCCTGTTCTAATTATTATTTGTTCTATATTATATATACTACGATTGTTCTGCTTTTTCTATATGTTTAACAGAATTTGCTCAACTTTGTGGAGGGATGTTGAAAACTTCGGTTTCTATAAGTTTGAGGACATTGGAGTTAACACGGGGAAAAACATAGTTACGACGAATGGCAGATTTCAGTTGGTGCCAAACATGTTCAATGGGATGAAATATACAGTGGTAAGGTGGAAGCCTTAAAACTGTATGCCTTACATTTTTTGCATAATTATCACAGACGTATTCCTTTTGTACATTCAAGCTTTGTAGAACCTCAAATAATTGCTTTTTGGTATAATCTTCGTGAAAATAAATGTCGTTATTATACATGTAGTTGCGGATTGTTGCTTTTGTGTCACATGAGGAAGGGGTTTTAGTCAACTGTCTACTATGATAACTTGCATTGTCCATTACAATGACGCTATTAGGAGGAATGTTTGGAACTAGTTTGTTTATAGACCAACTTTCAAATAAATCAGCGGTGGTGTCTTCATGGTAATCCAGAGAAGAAGTTTTAATATTTTTCGCAGATAGAGAAAGTCCATTTAGAATCCAACCATCTTTAGAGCCAGCATGCAAAATACCTTTTACCTCTTTTTGATGGCGCGTTTGTTTTACACTTATAAGTATCATAAGTGTCGAACCAACTTTCATCCAAGTAAATAATTGGCCTAATTTTTTCTAGATATTCCAGTCGCCATTTCCGAATTCTAAAAGATTCGATTAAAACTTGCCTTTTGTCATTTTTTTTAAATCTAAAGCCCATGTGTTGAATACAATTCCATAAGGTAGTTCTGCCAAATTTAACACCGGTTTCATCTTTTTCAAGCCTCCTAATTAAGATATCTAATGTAGGCACGCTTTGTTCCTGCTCCGCTGTTGTTGGTAAATTTTATGCCGTATAATATCTTGATCACTTTCATCTACACTCGAGAAAATGTCAGCATCGTTTCTTTTTTTTCTCACTGAAATGGGATTATTCACAATTTTCCATGCAGTTGATGTTGGAATTTTCGTCAATGTGGCCGTTTCTTCTAAAGATGCTTGCTTGCTGGCACCACGTTCAATGAGAGTCAAATAAACATTGTTTATAACTTCCTTAGCCTCAATAGAATAGTGTTTTCTACATTTGGGCGGGAGCATCTCTTGAGATACACTAGACTCGCACATATTTTGCATAATTCGCACACGATTCAACACACTCTATATTACACACGAAATAAGAATGATTACTAAGTAGTATACCAAACCAAAGAATATTAATCGCAGGTAGGTATGAATTTATTTTCTATGACGACAATTTTACCTGAATTTAAATTCCGAAACTTTACGTAGTAATCTTGTTGTATTATATGTTATTGACCACCCTTGGATAATCCCATCAAAAGCACTTTCTTATATCTATGAACAGACCATACCTACTCTAATGTCGCTTAGTCCTGAGTCCTTATTCCTTATTACAATGAAAAGTTTTAACAAAAGATTTAGTTTTATTTTTTCGAAAAATTTTCGGTATATTTGATTATATATATATATATATATATATATATATATATATATATATATATATATATATATATATATATATATATATATATATATATATATACAGTTATTGCATTGTTTTTTCTTTTATTTTCATTTTTGGTTCTTCTGCTTATTGAAATGTTTTCTATACAACATACATTAAGGCTGCGATTTTTGGGTTCATTTTAAAAATAAACTTGTTATATGTACATATGTCCTAAACGTCTTAACTTATCTAGTTTTTAGTTACCTTCAGAAACAGAAATATTAGAAGAAGTTTTTTTTACTTTTACAGTTTTAATGAAATAGCATAACATCGTAACAAGAACATAAATAATAAATTTAATTAAGTTTATTCGTACTTCAATTTCTGGAAGTATTTTAAGAATAAGTATGAAATAATAATACATCTCTGTACTTGTAATTGTGTAAACTGCTCTCTATAGCTCTCTTATCTTATAATTGGATAGCTTTGTTTTTGATTTTCATTAGTGGTTCTTTTGCCTATTGAAATGAGAATAAATTTTAGTTAATCAAAGACGAAAAAAAATCCAAAAATTTAATTCTTAATTTTTTTTTCGCTTTTTATCCGTTTTTTTTTTAAACCATTCGACCCCCGACGACATATTGGTTAACGAGTATTTTGGCGACCCAAATCGAAAACACTCAAAACCCATCAGGCGAGGAATACAGGGCGCCACCCAGTGTCCCGACAGGACAAGGGCTTCTGTGTTACCATCTCCTTCGGCGTTTTTTTTTATTATCTCATCAATTAGCTAATAGCCGTTCGAATTGCGATAACTGTTGGCGCCCCGGGCATAAACGACTTGTTGTGAACCGTTGACTTTGGCTTAAGAGGGTGGCATGTGAATGTCTAGGCTGAAAACATCAAGCTCAAGGTGGCTGGGCTTGTGCGGGAAAGAAATACAGAAATTTTCACTACTCATTTTATTATAAGCAACGATTCAGCTCATGGTACCACGTATGGGACGTCACTTTGAGAACCGCCGCAATATTGGTCTCTAATTCTTCCTTTGTTGGGTTGGCTTAGGGAAAAATAAATTTGGGAGAGATAAAATTGTGAACCCTCATAATATTCCCGCAAAAAAAAAAACAATAAAAATTATGTTAATTATGGTTATTTATTCGAAAAGAAAAAAAGACTGGAACGTGCCCTGAAAAATACTAATTTTGTACAGTTAAGAAGCTTTTTATTTACGTCCCGATCTAGATAAAACGCACTTAATAAGTTTAATTCCAATTAATTTTTCAAAGAGTTAAAACCTCATCATTGCAATTCAATAAAACTAAGAAAAATTCAGAATGATATGAAAATGATACCACTGCCGTGATAATGTTTTCGACAAAACCTTCTCTAACGACTACAAAGTTGTATACAAAAGTTGTATGGGCGACTCAAAAACACGTGAAGAATAAAATATAATTTTTTTAGACGCACCCTACTTTTACATTTTGTTTTCAATTCTTTTTGACTGTTCAAAAAAAGTCCTTGAAAAGAAATGTACATGCTTAGTGGATATTTGAAATATTTTTCTAAAAAAATACTATTATTTTCTGACCAATAGATTTTTTAAAACATTACAAAAGACTTACATTTAAGTATGTCAGTTTTGTAAGCTCTACTCAGAAGTTTTTATTAAGTTAAATTATTTTTGTTAATATTTAAAGAACAATAACAAGCGAAACTCATTATTTTAGATGACCATTTTGGCCACTTTACATAGAACTTTGAAAAAAATAATTTAAAATTGTTTTTATTTAAATTTGAAAAATTAGGCCTCATAATATTCCCGCAAACACAAAAAAAAAACAATAAAAATTATGTCAACTATGATTATTTATTCGAAAAGAAAAAAAGACTCTAACGTGTACTAAAAAATACTAATTTTGTATAGTTAAGAAGCTTTTTATTTAGGTGCCTACCTAGATAAAACGCACTTAATAAGTTTAATTCCAATTAATTTTTCAAAGAGTTAAAACCTCATCATTGCAATTCAATAAAACTAAGAAAAATTCAGAATGATATGAAAATGATACCACCGCCGTGATAATGTTTTCGACAAAACCTTCTCTAACGACTACAAAGTTGTATACAAAAGTTGTATGGGCGACTCAAAAACACGTGAAGAATAAAATATAATTTTTTTAGACGCAACCTACTTTTACATTTTGTTTTGAATTCTTTTTGACTGTTCAAAAAAAGTCCTCGAAAAGAAATGTACATGCTTAGTGGATATTTGAAATATTTTTCTAAAAAAATACTATTATTTTCTGACCAATAGATGTTTTTAAGACATTACAAAAGACTTACATTTAAGTATGTCAGTTTTGTAAGCTCTTCTCAGAAGTTTTTATTAAGTTAAATTATTTTTGTTAATATTTAAAGAACAACAACAAGCGAAACTTTTCAGATTTATTATTTACAAAAATGTATAAAAATAAATAATTGGTAAAACTATTAGGGTTATGTATGTATTATTATTAATAAAAAAGTTGAAGAATTTCATAACGTAATGTGTCTTATTAGGTACGTTTTTTTACCCACCCTGTATACTTTAAAACAGTTTTAAATTGTCCGTCCTAACAATCTTTTCAACTTTTGTATTTACCATTTTCTTATAACTTTTGAAACGAATGATATAATGAACATAATCTTAACACGCTACCATTTTCTTTGTTGTAGCTTATTACTATTTCTAAGATTCATTCGGGATTGATTATCTTGATGCGAGATAAGAATACGTATTAGATAGGGGAGATAGATACAGAGAGACGATTTTTTTTATGACGTGTATTATGTTTAAATTAATACCATTGAAAACTATAGTAACTAAATAAAAACAAACAATTCAAACAATTATTAGGACAAAAAAGTGCCTAATTTGAACATTACATTTCTAATTTTTTTTTTAATGTGGTAGTCCTTAAAACATTTTCCGACACATAGGGGAATTTCCCAATATCCGCACATAAAGCAAGTTTCTCTCCTTACGCTGTGAATTTTGCACCGCTTCTGCGGAATTTTTTTTCCCCGAACTTTTAAGTTTTACAAGCATATATGTTTTTATATCTCCCGAAAGCCTGCTTGGTGGATCTTCACGAGCAGCTCTTTTTGATTTGCCTTCAGAGACTTCCGTTTCTAAACCCACATTTTGTTGAGTTTCGACCCAACTTCTAGCAACTGCTAATAAATAAGAGGTAAATTTTATTTTCTTTGCCGGGTTCAATTTCTGGTATATCACAAATGAATTAAACAATGCGCAGTTCAACATAAACATAAAAGCCTTTTTTGTCCATTTGAGACTTTTCCTTATAATAGGATTATAAGAAAGGTATTGCCAAATTGCCAAATCGACACGGTTCATATACTTTTAATAATTTCACCAGTTTTACGATTTATTTTACCGGATTCTATAAGCCGGGCCTGACGTATCGCTGAATTAAAATTTCTTTTTTTCTACGGAAAATATGATGGCCTCTCTTTAACTTATTTTTTTTTATATCTTGAGGTAACCCACGATATTCCCTAGTTGTACCACATGTTCTTATCTTCCTGGAAAGCAAATGCTCTGCTAATTCAACACTATTATAATAGTTATCCATGTAAGCATGGTACCAAATATTTTCATATTTATCTAAAAGATTTTTTACGAGATTTTGCAACTTTTCTGACAAGCATACCACACTTAGTTATCTTGCCTGTAGACTCGGAAGCTTAAACGTTTCATCATTATTACAAAAATGTAATGAGTGTAATATTTGTCTAAACCTATTTCGATGCATAACTTTGCCAAACATTGGTGCTTCAATATGTAGATCAGTAGACCAATAACCGTTTATATTACTTGTTTATATTATTTTATATTACTTTATATTACCTGTTTGTTTACTTTACTAATAATTTATAAACGTCATCGCCAGTAAACAAGTACTATCGTCTTCTTCCATTATAAAGCAGGATAAATAATAAATTAATCTGTGTTTATTTAAAAACTGATAAAAAACCAATTAAAATAAATCGACTGTTTGATGGCACAAACAAAGTTATTCTGTCAAAAAACGTACTACACGTCATCGGCTACTGGATTTTAAATAAAAAATGACGTATTATTACGTCAGCGGCTACTGGATTTCGGACAAAAAATTACGTATTACTACGTCAGCGACCACTAATGAGTTAACAACATACCAATTGAGAGCTGAAAAAAATTCAGTACTACACACTATAAAAATTGAGGACTCTTACATTTCAATACAAAACAGCATAAATCCTATTCTAATCAATCTCAATGACGATTCTTATAGTGAAATAGAATCAGATTTAGACATTTCGAATAAAAATGAAATTATGTGTAGATATTACTGACTATGAATTTATTTAGTATTTAGTGTCATTTTTTTCGTAGTGGACTGATCGAGGAAGGGAATCTTTGAATCACTAGGTAAACCCACGATATTCCCTAATTGTACCACATATTCTTATCTTCCTGGAAAGCAAATGCTCTGCTAATTCAACACTATTATAATAGTTATCCATGTAAGCACGGTACCAAATATTTTCATATTTATCTAAAAGATTTTTTACGAGATTTTGCAACTTTTGTGGACTTCCGTTGTAGAATTCAAAGTTTTTTCTCATAATTTTCTGACAAGCAAACCACACTTAGTTATCTTGCCTGTAAACTCGGAAGCTTCAACGTTTCATCATTATTACAAAAATGTAATGATTGGAATATTTATCTAAACCTATTTCGATGCATAACTTTGCCAAAAATTGGTGTTTCGATATGTAGATCAGTAGACCAATAATCGTTTATACTACTTTTTCTTACCTGCCCCATTAAAATATTCAAGCCAAGAAACTTCTTCATTTCGGCTATTGTTGTATCTGTCCATTGTTTAATCTTTTTCACGGATTTATATTAGTGAATATTTTGCATATGATACCTCTTTGTTTCCTTTACTAATAATTTAAAAAAGTCATTATTTAAAAACTGATAAAAAAACACTTAAAATAAATCGACACAAACACACAAAACACAAACAAATCTATTCTGTCAAAAAACGTACTACTACGTCAGCGGCTACTGGATTTGAAATAAAAAATTACGTATTATTCGATTTCGAACAAAAAATAACGTGTTGCTACGTCAGCGGCCAGTAATGGGTTAACAAAAAAACTGTGACTAACTGGTTTTCACTGCCGCCGCCAGAGGGCTCCAGTTCGAGAAAACATTCGTCGCTGCCTGCTTGACTATACAAATTGGAAATGTAATTTGTTATAAAAACTTGTCAATACCCGAATGAGAGATTATTAAAAAAATGTCGATCGGTCTGTCAAGTCGCCCAAAAAACATGTTGCTTAAGATTTTCGGTAAAGTATTTTTGACGTCGATGCTAGTTTAAATTGGGTTAATATTCGAAAAACAATTAAAATTCTTTTCAATATCTTTTATATATACAAAAGTTAGCTTAAGTTTCATACTAATAGTAACTGAACTCTCATTGTTTCTTCTTCTTCCCTTTGACACTCGAGCCGGCCCTGGAAAATAACTTGAAAGTCGCGTATCGCGCGGCGTATATAAAGAGTAGGAGTGCGAGGATGCAAACTCCCAAGACGTCCAACAAGTACACCTGAAGCCAGCTGAGCTCCATGACGGTGTTGCGCAGATGTCGGCCGTTTCCGTGACGTAACACGTATTCTACCCAGTAAATGGCCTCGTCCAAAGGGCTGACGACCCTGTCGCGTAGCAATTGGGACCTGAGCTTCGCGTTTTGCCTATAACTGAAACGGCAGGCCGTATTTACAAAAATTTACTTAAAAAATTTGGAATTTGGATTTGTTAACTTACAATTTTTCCATATATACAGAGTGTTCCGTTCACACGGGGTAAATACCATCTTTTTTATTTTAAATAGAATGCAGTGTATGTTGTTGCAATTTTTTATTTTCCTGGAACTTCTGGACATACTGGGTATTTTCTAATCATTTCTAAAGAGACTTAATTTCTTGTTTTTTTTCAATCAGGGTGTTTTTTTACACTTAAAAAGTAAAATTGGGAATTTTTATTAGGGACCCATAGATGTGGTTAGTAAATATTTAATTCTTTGACATACCGACAGGATGGCAATAAAAAACCATCAACTATCAATACAATATTTTTTATAACTGAAAAAACTATTTTTCTTTTAATACGCAGCTTTTATTACAAAAATTGGTTATGGCCAATTTTTTGAAACAACTCGCATACTTTATTTTAAATCCTACTAAACCTGTAACCATTTTGGCAGATATTGATGGTACGACACTGATTTCTCTTAAATAACAATTAATTCCTTGATTTTTTTTTCCATTGAAGGTTTTCGGGTAAAAAATAAAAACCTCTCCTTTGCGTTGTCATAACAACATTGTTAATATGACAGCAAGAAGATAAAATAGTTTTTATTTCTAAGTGGAAAAAGAATTCCTTCAAAACAAATCCATAAGCGTACACATAACACTGCAAAATAAAGAGAAATAAGGAAAATACAAACAAAAAATTCATCAGAAAAATAATACGACAGTACTAGTGTGTACCGGGTGGTCCATTTAAAATGTTGTTATACCTTTTCTCAATAAGTACGACGATTAAGAGAAAAGTTAAGTGCAAAAAGTGTTTGAAACTAATTATGTATTTTATTTGTAGAATTTTTATGTATACAGGCGGTTTCTTGTGAATATTTTAAAAAATTCCATTTATGCTCTTGATTTTGAGTATTTTTTGTCATAAGAAATTTTCCATAGTTTTCCATTTTAGAAAAATGTGTGTTTTACACCTGAAAACTAAAATTGGGAATGTTCATTATGCATCCATGGAAGTTGTTCATATTTAATCCTTTGACCTATCGATGGGGTGGTCACAAATGACCATTAACCATCAAAATAATGTATTTTTTTTAATGAAAAAAAAATTTTTTTCATGCCAATTTTTTGAAACAACTCGTATTACTTCCAAACTACTCCTATAACCATTTTGGCAGATATTGATGGTACGCCACTGATTTCCGTTAAATAAAAATTAATCTTACAATTTTTTTTTCAATCAAGGGTTTTGCGTAAAAAAATCAAAACCTCTTTGGGTGGTCATAACAACTCCGTTAATATGAATGACAGTATGCAGATAAATTAGTTTATATTTTTAAATGAAAAACGAATTCTTTCAAAACAAATACATAAGCGTACACATAACACTGCAAAATAAATAGAAATAAGAAAAATACAAACAAAAAATACATTTAAAAAATAATACGCCAATACTATTGTCTATAGGGTGGTCCATTTAAGATGTTCTTATACCTTATCTCGATAAGTACGGCTATGGGGAAAGAAGTTAAGTACAAAAATTGTTTGACCCTAATTATGTTTGTTATTGATAGAATTTTTATGTATACAGGCGATTTCTTGGGAATATTTTTAAAAATTCCATTCATTCTCTTAATATATCGTTAATATGGCAGCATGCAGAGAAACTAGTTTTTAATTTTAACTGAAAACCGTGCGACTGTCCATGAAGAAATAGTATTTTGGTTAATTAGGTCTCCACTGCACTGGTTAAATCGAGAATCGAGAAAATATCTAAAACAAAATATCTAGTTTTTAGTTACCAACTAGTGCCTCCTACTTTGTAAATTTATTTAAGGGTCTTAACGCTTCACGAAAAAGATGTAATTTTGTGTTGTGTTGTAGGTTAGAATTCGAAGATTCACCTTTTGTTCGTTAGTATTTCTTGTACGGCCGCGTGGAGCGAACTTTCGCTAAGATGCTTGTACGGCAGGTAAACCGCAGCTCCAGATTCGACCAGCCGTTTCGCGTTACCCTCTTGGTCCAAGAAGAATGGTACCGCGATGATCGGTACCCCGTAGTAAGTCGCTTCGGTGGTACTGAGAAGTCCGCAGTGCGATACGAAACCGACCACGTTCGGATGAGCTTCAAATCAGATTTTGATAAATGGAAAAGGTGGAATAGTTCTTTCGCAGATAAATGATTTTTTATAATACTATCAGTCTATGAAGATAGGAAGGAAGCTAACTGTTTGGCTCTTTTGTATTTTAAAAAAAGCTTTGAACATTTGAAAAGCTTTGAATATTTTGTAGGCAAAACATGATCATTTCGGTTTCTCAGCTAAATTTGTTAAATACATCTCATTGGGTTGAAGTTACAATGCAATTTAATCGTGAATAATTCTATCTATACTCCAACCACGAATCAAGCGCGCCAAGGTTGACTGAAACTGGCTCGCATTTTACTCTGCGTCTGCTTTTATGTTGTTTGAGGGGGTGGAGCTAAATGAGGGGCGTAAACATCGTCTCGGATGACTGATTCACATATTGGTGACAATTATAGACCTGAGTCGCGCTTAAGATTGTTTGGTTGCCTATAGATTTCTATAGATTCTCGAATTTTCCGTTGGTAGAAGAATTGCTGCTGATGCGTTTATTTGTCTTAGTATTAAGGGTCTTTCACACGGAATGCAGTAAACTCCTGGTTGAACTGAGGTGGCTTTTACTCGATGGAAATCCATTTATCAAAATAAATAAGAACTAAATTCATACATTTTTACTTGACAATTGTTTCGACAACACCGTGCCTTTATCAAATGTAATATTTACAATGTACCTAATACCTAAAAATGACCATAAAACCTTAATTAATGTTATTGCGAGAAATTAAGTTCAATAAAGGAGAGGAATTTAAATCTAATTGTCTAAATGTCTCATTTTGTTAATCACCATGGCTTCCAATAAATTTAATTTTCTACTTTTTGTGACTGTATGTAAAACATCAAAATTGTACTCAAAAATGTGTCTTTCTGTGTTTAGTGTTTAAGTGTGTAGCATAATTAGAATCTAGACTATTGTTTTTAAACCCTCTTTTATGTTCGTTAATGCGTTTCTGGAAGGATCTACCTGTTTGTTCCATTATAAATTTTAGGACAAGGTCCGTATTTCAACCTGTAGACACCTGATTTTTGAGATTTTGGACATTTCGTTTTAATGTTTTATTAAAATTTTCCTAGTGTGTTGCTAGTTCTGAAAGCTATTTTTAAACCACATTTTGACAAATGCAGCCATTTTGTGTGCGTAAGGGTGATTTGAGCTGTTACGTATGACTGTGTCTGTATGTGAAGGTTTATGATAAATTGAAAAATCTAATATATCTATCTAAATATCTAAAATCTAAATACTTGGTGCAAATAGGTTAAGCTCAATTTGAATATAAGTAAGCTTTGCATATACTCAAAAATATGTCGACTTAAAATAAAAATGCAAAAAATTCTCAATACGAGTTTCTTTCAAAAAAATGAAATGATTCGTTCGAGTATTTAAATTTTTTTAAACAAAAATGTAGGTCATTCAGATGAAATATACATCCGCCTCATTTTAAAATTTGTCATGCCTGGAAGACAAATGTAACGTGGTTTTGAGTGAGCTAAACTCTTGGTTTAATGATAATAACTTACTAAAAACATCTTTTATAACATTCCAACATTGTCATTCCACTATTTGGTTCACATAAATGCTGAAGATTTGTAGATAAACACACGAATCCTAAAACTCATCGCTCTTCTTTGGTAGTGTTTATTGCGCTCTTGTCGAGAATAGAATTAGATATAGTATAATTTGGTGGAGATAGCCGACTAATTCGACTAACGTGTTCGTGGTTCAAAAAAGGGCCATAAGATGTATGGCCGGTATTTCCAAGTCTACTTCTTGTAAAACTCATTAAATTTTTTTTAACATTGTGTGCGTTTGAAATATGTTTATGTATTTAAAAATAAATCAGGTTTTGTGTTGAACAGTAATTTTCACTCAGCGAATAGAAGAACTAAAGATTACTTTAGAGTTCCTTATGCAAAAGCTAATAGTTCTTATATAATCCTCAGTGTTAGTGGTGTTCGATTTTTTAACCTCTTACCGTTAGAAATAAAATGATATTAAATGAAGTATAGATTAATATTTATAGTCTTTATTTTATTTTATTTTTCTGACAATTTCCTATACAAATATTGGAAAATAAAAATTATTATTAATATTATATTTATATAGAATTGAGCATACATCTATTCATATAGTTGCTCAAAATCAAGGAGCGATATCAACACCATGCAACAACTTAATCTTGTTTTGTTTGATCTTATCCCAGTTTTAAATTGTTTATTATAACAAAAATAAATATCTGCTATTGTTAAAGACCAGTGATAAACAACACATTTTAGTATTTGCATTAACTTTACCAAAACCAGTATTTATATTATTATATTGTATTAATTATATACAGAGAATTTTTTTGATCCAGAATCAATCAATCAATTGAATTGATTAGGTCGATTAAACACTTTCCAAATAAAGAAATGACGGAATCTAAGAAGTGGAATTTAGGTAATTTAAGAATAAAAATTTCAAACATTTTAAAACAAGACTATTTGCTACAATGAAAAATGCATATTAAAATTCCTAATTCAAACTGGTGTTCTTAATTTAAAAATACGTAAATTTAAATCGAGTAGATATTATTGAAGATATACGTAATCTGCAACTAAGAATTTTTTTTTCTGTGTAATATCTCTAATGTAGAATTTACAGCATGCCAGGAATACTCCGGAGATACATTACACCCCAATTACGAAACCCGATGACAAATCTTAATCGATAACACTCAAATTCTTGCATGTAATCAATTCTTCTACTAAGGAAAAATCAGAGAATCTATAAAAATCTATAAGCAACCAAACGATCTTAACAATGTTCACGCCCCTTCTTTAGGCTCCGCCCCCTCAAGCGATATACAGACATGTACAGAGAAGTCAGCAGAAAACCGTCAGCAAGTTCGATTCAACAGCACCAAAGCAACAGTAAAACCATTTGTTTTACACCTGAAAGACTTGGATAGTTTGTTTTATTTTTTATAGCCAATGAACCATTTAGTCTGTTTTGTTTGGTAATCGCTTTTTCAAACCCACCGGGCTCTCCCATCCGCACCACTCACCCAATATATCGGTCTGGGGCAGCCACTTTGATACGTACAAGTTGTCGGGAGCTTCCGGCACCTCGTCGGCCTCGAACTTCCACAAAACCCTCTGCTTCAACTTCCTTATAACCTCGAACATGCCCTTCAAGACCTCGGGGGGCAATTTGCTACTCTTCAAGTTCGACCCCAGACTGATCAGAATCGCCCCATGATCGGCCGAGTCCAAAAACCTCTCGATGTCCTCGGGCAACCTCTTGGACTTTACGTGGTAGCCCCCTATCTCTACGATAGCATTCGTGAGGGGCGTCGCCCCTGTCAAGACGGGATGAGAATTCTGCAGCATCAAGCTCGGACTATACATCGTCTCGTAAATGTCGATCTTCTTCGGGAAATATTTATCGACGAGCCGCTGGTGTTCGGGTAAAGAGTAGAAATACTTCACTAGCAGATCGAAGGCGTACGCCACTGTGTTTCGAGACCGTTGGTAAAAGTTCATACGTTCGGAATATCCGGTTAACGAATGGGGTACGTAAGATGGTAAGATCGGGTTGCCCACCACGTGAGCGTTCCATTCGTTGACGCCCAGCGAGGCGAACCCGATCAGAGGGGCCTCGAAGTATTCGGCGAATGCGGAGAACCCTTCCGCGTGGAACTGCTCGACCACCACCAGATCGAATGTTTGGTTGGACCGGATCAGGTCTTGGACCTTCGGGTCAGAGAGGATCATTTCGGAAATGCAGCTGGTTACTTGGTACATTCCAACAATCAGCCGGAATATGCTCATCTCCTGCAGGTGCAGCAGGTTCTGCAGGTCGAATATGTTTCCTGCAAGAGGAAATAGTCGAGAGTTCATCTAAATGAAACCATAATAGCACTTTCGCACCCAAGTCAAGATATATTAATATACAATATATTAAATATAATAATAATAAAATGGTCACTATCGCTACTGTCGTCACCTAAATATTAATATTTTCTTCTTTTATCACTGGTCTGCAAAAAAAAAAATTTCTCTCCTTGTTTTCATGCATGAATTCATCTTATTTTATGCTCTAAACACGGAATCTGATATACAAATAAGTACCACACGTAGGTTTTTAATTTAATATTTATTTAATCAAAAAACAATATTATTAAAGTATAAATTATTATCAGCAAATAAAAAAATGTGGCGGCTTGAGTTTTACAGTAAAAAATCCTAAATTATATTAACAAAACCAATAAATATCGTCAGTTATTTCATTAGAATTCAAATAATTTAGTAGTTTTCTTCCTCTTAATAAATTCTATTGGAGTAGTTTCTCAGTGAATTGACCAACAGAAATCAGCAAGCAGCAAGTCCAGGAGTCAAACTTTTTCTTGATGGCATGCACATGCACGGCTTTCAAGCTTATTTTTGAAGCATCAATAAAAAGTCTCCATTCACTAGAATCTTCTGGCAAACTAAGTTCTTGAAGAAGCCCTGCAACATCATTACAATATACCAGATCATCTTCTTTGGAGAAGTAACTTGTAAAACTTTCTTGCCTCGTACGAAAATATGAAACTCTGGTACTTTTCGCCAATAGATTCCACTGTTTTAACCTTGATCCGAGTAACTGTGCCTTAGATTTTGAAAGTTCCAAGTCTCTAACAAGATCATTTAAATCGCCTTGTTCAAGTAAATGAGGTTCTGTAGATGGACATGAAGATCCAGATAAAGTGTATGAAGATGAAGATGTACTACCAGAAAGAAAACTCAACTGAGATTGTAGACCTGAAATATTTTTATTTTCAGCCTCCTCGTGAACTGGTGGAACTGGAGGTGGAGTGTCTTTATCACGAGGAATTGGTCTCTTTGCAGATAGGACGTTCAGATAAACAATCTTATCTCTATTCTTTTTCGAGAATCCTCGTGTAGATGTCATGCAGAAATAACAATCATTCTCATGATTTTGAGGCTCATTCCAAATCATTGGCATTGAAAACGGCATGGATTTGTGACTTTCTTCAAGCCAACCTCTCAACGTTCTTGACCAGCTATTGCAGCATACTTTTGGCAACCAACTTTTATCTCGCACATCGATAGAAAATCCAAAATATAGCTTATAAGCTGTTTTAACCAGATCGGTCATGACATGTCGCTGTGTTTTTAGTATGTATTCCCCACAAATGTAGCAAAAACAATCTGAGGAATTTTTACAAGTCCGTGGCTTTTTGTAACCTAAAATCACATAAAATTAATTTTAAAACAACTTTCAAACTTCTATTTTATATTTATTGACTCTACTCAAACTATACATCAAATACCAATGTAGAGAACATGAACTTTACGCAAAACTTACCAAAATATTGATATAAAAGGTAAACAATTAAACGACAAGTTTTCACTGAACTGTTGGAGTGTCACAATGAATACTGCGCATACTACCACATAAATCACCTTCGGCACTTCCCTCCTTTCTCTTACAACTCTCTGAAACTCATTTTGTATGTATATTTACTTTTTGTAACGTTGACGAACGAAGAAATTGAAAAAAAAAACCAAAATTTTGAAATATAAAAAAATATATCTAAAAATCTAGACGTGATAGATAAAATCGGCCAACGGGGATAGATTCAAAACGTTTGAACCAGTGATATTAATATTTTCTTCTTGTATTAGTCATTTTTCACAGTTGGACCAGCTTTTTAATTCTAGCTATGGTCTGTCCATAGATATAAGAAAGTGACCAATTGCTTTTGAATGGGATTATCCAAGGGTGGTCGTTAACATACAATGCTACAAGATTATTACCTAAAGTTTCGGAATTTAAATTCAGGTAAAATTGTGGTCCGTATTAGAAAATAATTTTATACCTACCTGTGTTTAATATTCTTTGGTTTGGTATACTACTTAGTTTAAGTTTATTAGTAATTAGTAAAGTAGTATTAATGTATTAATGTAGAAAACACTATTTAATAAACAATGTTTATTTGACTCTCATTAAACGTGGTGCCAGCAAGCAAGTATCTTCAGAAGAAACGGCCACATTGACGACAATTCCAACATCAACTGTATGGAAAATTGTGAATAATCCCATTTCAGCGAGGAAAAACAGAAACGATGCTGACATTTTCTCGAGTGTAGATGAAAGTGATCAAGATATAATACGGCGTAACATCTACCAGTTATACGAGGAACGAAGCGTGGCTAATAAAAATACGAACCTTCTAATTTTTGATTTTTTATCTCAAATTTCACGTTGGTTAAGTTGGGTCTGGTTTTCGTTTCAAAAGCGCTGATCACCGTGACTTGGTGGCCGCGTTCCACCAAAGGGACGAGCAGAGCTTCTGCCAAAATATACTGACTCGGCCCTGGACTGGGAAACACCCCGAGTATCCTCGCAGTTTCGACGGAGCATATCGCGAAAAACGCGCAGGCTAGCGACAGTTTAAAGATCATTTTTTTACCGAACTACAGAACGCTTATCGGTAGCGCGTTCTTTTTAAAATGGTATCTGCGGAAAGGGTTATCGCCATCGCGGTCCAGTGGCGTCGAGTTGACGGGGCCCCAACTCCAGGAAATATAAAATTTAAATAAAAAAATAACATTTTTTACAGGGTAGTCGCAGTTTTAACTGGAGAAACCTATTTCTAAACTAGATAGAGCAAAATCGACTTATATGTCAAGGGCTCGATTATTGAGAAACATTTAATGGTAAAACCGCATGTCGATATCTTCATTATAGCTTTTTTATTTACGAAAATTTTGGATTCGGATAAAAACATTTTCTTATAAATGAATAGAACTTTCTTATTTTATATGGCAATCATGGTTGGCTATGGTCTTAAAATAATGCCCTTGTGGAGATGTATTAGTAGGCCGCGCATAATGTGTCACATAGAAACCATTAAAACAATTAAATAAACACCGGAACTTTAAAGAAGAGAAGGCCAATTAAATCTAATTTAAGTGGCCAACACGAAATCTTACAACCATTTAATATTTTGATTTTAATTTTAGATATTATTTTTAATATTGATTGATATTCTTCAGAGCTTGAATGAAAACAGTTTTCAGTCAAGCTCTGAACATGATGATTGGCGAAACGTCAGCAATTTCGACTCAGCCAAAACCGACGCAGGAGGAATCCAGAAGTTTTGTAAAAAAACATTGTCTAAACTCTTCATTTAAAAGTTCGCTTACAATCCGCGCGTATAAGCAACCATTTTGCTTATAATAATTACTCCTTCGAAGAATTAAACCTTTCAAAAATGGAATTTTCGCAAAACATTTGTGTGTGTGTGTGTATTTTCCAAAATCTTTGGGGCTTTGTTAAAAAAAAAGAATTGTATCGTATTCTGATAAAAATGGAGTTTTTGCGGACAGTCAGTTGGGATTCTGAAAAAGTTTTTGGAAGTTATTGATGGTAAGCTTATTTCCTGTATGACCTCGTTGGACCTTTCGAAGGCTTTTGATTGCGTTAGCCATGGGTTTCTTGTAAACAAACTTGAATTTTAGGATGTAAGGGTAAGTCCAATTCTTTTCCTTAAGTTTGGCCACTAAAATTATGTGTTACAGAACATAGAGTTCAATAAAGAATAAAAGTTATGTCCTTAACTGACATTGAAAGCTTGGAATGGAAATGGAATGGAAAAAAGCTATGTCCTGTTTTCTGCAAATGTCTATCACCATGAATCATCACATTGTATCACACATGTAAGTGTAAAATCATAAAAATCGAGAAAACGCATTTTTATCATCATTTATTTTCCGGACTCACAGTTCCATAATAAAAATTGACACAACATAAAAAGACGAAAATATGCATTATTAGTGTAACCTAAGACGTGATGATTATCGCACATCCGGTAGAAAGTTAATTGAAATGAAGCTGCCATTTTATTGCACATATTTCAAAAAACAAAGAAAACAACCAGTAGAACACCACTGACTTATAGTGTTCCAATATTAGATAATCGTCCGGTATTTGTTTTCAAATCGAGTTGATTATGTTATAAAATGCAACGTCACGTCGGCATTCCGCGAGTCACCAATCACCAATTTTCCATCTTTGCATAGCATTTTACCCCACTACTGTTTTTTTTTTTTCGATTATAATGCTTACAGTCAGCAAAGAGGCTTGAAGCATGACGACTTTTAAATTTTTTGATTAAAGGATAAAGGATAAAATAAAATAAAAAAATAAAATTGCTAGACGTAGAGTGTCCCACAGAGAACTTCAAAAATTTGAACATTTGGAATTAAACCGTAGGATTATAAAAATAAAAAATGATTTTCAACAGTTTTTTCAATTTCCCTTTTCTCCAACGGACGACTGTCTACAGGGTAAGAATTGAAGAAGAAGAAGAAGAAGAAGAAAAGAAGAAGAATTTAGTCAACAAAAATTGGTTAAATTACAATGTGAACCAGGAAAAAAAGAAGAATTGGTTCAACAAATGTTGGAGGAGAATGAATTTGGATACATTTCTATCAACTCGTTTCCGAAATATAAATAAAAAGTCATTTTAAGGGCATTTTTGGGGCCCGGGCCTCCGTTAGAGGGACATATTTTTACATATGCTTTCGACGTAGAATATGCTGTTATAGTTAGGCTCACTAATTTCGGGACGCTCTCATTAATAAAAATGTTGAGGAGAGTACGTTAAAAAATGTACATTTTATACGTCATGTTTTTTAAGTCACTCTGTATACTTTAAAATAATTTTAAATTGTGCATCCTAACAATCTTAACAACTTCTGTATTTCCATTTTCTCATAACTTTTGAAACCAAGGCGATAATGAACTTTATTCTATAGGTGACTCACTCTGTAGAGTTTCCCACCTTTAATAATTATATTATTATATTAATTATAACATACAAGGGAATAAAATGGAAATTATGAACAAAAGTCTTAAAAGTAAACTAAAATATAGAGTTTATGGGTTTTTAATGAATCTTAGTAGTTATTGCAAATATTGCAAATATACAACAAACATGTATCATAATCTCATAAAAAAGCAATAGCAAAACATTTTCAAATTTACAAAATATTAATAACGGATAATAATTTTTCATAACTCAGAAATAGGTTTTGAACATTGTATTCATTAATACATCTATGAACCTGTTGAAAATGTGAAACTTAAGAGAATGGTTGATTGCTGGATCGAACATTGTTTAGTTTTGAACAGAGTTTTGACAAAAATTCTCGACATTTGTGGAGATGTTGGTGTTACGCTTTTTACGTGATTTAAACCAGCAACGGATTTGACAGTAACTCTGATAGGCATATACTTCTAATAATATTTCTCACACCTCTGGCATCCATTATAAATAAAATGCTTTTCTTAATTGTAAGAAAGTTTGGACGTATTATTTGTATACTTGACTCGGATACCTCGTATAATTTGAAGCAAACTTACAAAATATATTCAGTTATTATTTTGTATTATTGAGTTCAATCAACTAGAAAGCGGAATGCACAAAACGAAACTCTACGTACAGAAAATCACTGATTTTTTAAAGAATATCTGAATGTTCATTCAAGAATGGAGAGATGGCGCTGCCTATTCGTCTCTAGAAAAGGTTTCGAATTTGTCAACTTAACCTCTAGTGAGTGGTCGAATGATCGCAGTAGTCTTGGCCTATAGAAGTAAAAGAAGAAAAGAAGAAGAACCTCCATTGAGCTTCTATCAAAATGAAGTATATTTATTACAAAAATCCGCGTAAACACGGTTATTGCCGTGTCGTTGGTAACACTGACCGTTGTTATCTTGTTTAACGCGGTTATCAGGGCGTATTAAATACACTCTCCGGACCCCACTTTTATGGGTTTTTAAAATCGGCCACTCAAACAACGCTTAAAAAGATCCCGACGTTATTTTGGATCGTAAAATCGCGGCGATGGTCGTAAAATGCGATTTTATTTCGAAAACTGTCATCGGCATCGGCGAGTCTGCCCATCCCGTCGTAAAGCATGTAGAGGTTATGTCGAGAGGGCGTTATTCGATTCGGAGTTCAAAGGGAGGGGCGTGACGTACCGAAATATACGCCGTTGGGACAAACCGCAACCTACGGAGGTAGAATTCGAATCGACGCAATAAAAAAAGGACCGATTTATAATAATTTTCGATTCCTGTTTGGAAAGGAAAAAAAGGAAAAAAATAAAACCAACAGAATAATAAAAGCCTTTTTATTTTTATCTACTGTTTATATGATTTTTGTATTCGGACAATTTATAAAAAAAACATTTGTTATCATTAAAAAATTTAAATGTTATTTTAATTCTTTTGCTTTTCTGTTTGCTCGGAATGAGAAGATGTTTTTTTTATAACGACAGTTATTTTTTAACTGCAACTAATTTTTGTTATTTTTTTTATCTTGTTTGAAAGTTGTCTTTATTTTTGTGTATATAAATTAATAGTTTAATTAAATAAATACCTGTCACCGTTAAAATAATTTTAGTTTAGTTTAGGGTTGGATTAATATTTAGCGTTTTATGTCAAAAATGACATTTTTCTACTCCCGTCTGTGAAATACCTAATTACACACCGATCTAGCGTGCGGGAAACGTCACTTTTCCACGTCAGTTTCGTTTTTCCTACTGATCCGAGCCACTTCGGACATTTCTGAGATTTTACCGCACGGATTGAATTTTGACGTATTCATTTTATTTTTAAATAATGTAGCCAAAAACTAATACACAGAAAAATGTAACGCAATTATCAGACAGTTTAAATACTACGCGATTTAAGCTACAATTTAAATCTAGTGGAGTAGTCGGCAGTAAAGTGACAATTATAAATTAAGTTTCCCAAAGAACATGAACTTTAGTGGTTTTTACAGTTTTTAAATTAATATCTTTTTTCGAATATACACGTCTCGTCAGTATAAACACAAAATTGAAGGTTTTTCTTCTTCTTCTGTTGGCCGCGGCTGCTAGGATCATTCGGCTATAAAAATTGAAAGTTAGGACCTGCTTTTCTTGCTTATATGATCCTAATCTTTTTCTTAAAATAAACTACTTAAAGATCAATTGTAAAAATTGTTTATATGACATATCGAATAGACCCATCTCGCTCTCTCTCTGTACATACGTACTTAAAAAGAGACAACAATAGCAGAACCGATCGGAACGATAAGCGAATAGGTTTAATGGCAACTGGTAAATATTTTGTTTGAATGGTGCGAAATTTAGTAATCTGATAATCTGTTATTCATTTTAATTTGTTAAATTGTGATTTTTTCGTGACGGTCGTAGAAAAAGTTTTATATGTAAACTTTTTATCTAACCTGTTTATTAAGGACTTGTTGCATAATATACTATTGCATACGTAACTTTTTCCCATGCCCAATCAGGTGGTAGGTAGCACTGACTAGAAAATATAAACTGACGAATGCTAAATGGTTAAAAAATTGTTTATAAAGGGCCATGAACAATTTAACATATCAAAAGAAAGTTTTGATAAAATTCTGAGTTTGAGCATGTCGACAAAATATCTTTTTTTGATGCTTTACAACGCTAATTATAACTGTGGCGTGCGGCTGTTGAGTAATAATAACATAACCTATTTTTTTTATTTATTTCGACAGTCGGACACTACCGAATAGACACAAAATTATTTAAAACTTCGCAAAACTTCCTAGAACGGTTAAAATACAATTTTCACTTTCAATAATCACTTTGGCAGTCTAAATCTATTACCTGCAGATTATTATTATTTTATATTCCGATTAGCAGTTTTAAATGGGACCAAGATATACCTAACGATATTCCATTAGCAAACATCCCAATGTACCGCTAATCCTAATGAAAACTGGAAAGTTGGAAATGCCAATATAATCCGTCTGTCGCGACAATTGCGAACAAGCGTTGAGTGCGACCAAAAGGGTAGACGCGCTGTTGCCATGTGCACGAAATATCGCTATTTTATGTTTCTTAACACCAGAGTATAATAAAAAGTATATCTGCGATGACGGGGATCATAAACCTAAATTCTGATAAATTGTAATGGTAGTTTTCGATAAATTCTATGTTTCAATTTTAAAACAATTAAAAGAGGAGTTTGGTGAATGAAAATAATGTGTGATAGCGATCATTATTCGAGTATCAAGTAAATCACAACTCAGTTTCCCACATTCTTTCTTCCATTTCAGTCACATGTTTAAAGCACATTTTTCATAATTCTTTTACACACACTAACAGTGATTTGTAAATTGTGTACAAAGAGGTTTATTTAAATTTACATTACGCAGTGTATAGCTCTTTTTTCGGCATATTGAAAACAATTAAAACACAGTTTTTTCTCACCCATGGGCGAAATAAAATTACCATTTTCCAATTCAGACATTATTTTGTCCAAGTTCCATCGTCATTTATTGCAATTTCATCTTGTACTTCTTTTTCGTAAACTTTGGTGACAAACAGCTTTGAACATATTAAGGATAACTTTCTTATGATACATAGTATATGCGTATTTTTTTAGGATATGCTAAATACATCTTACTGATTCCTCAATTCATATTTTATTTATCTACTTGGTACATACTGCAGAATGTATGCAAATATTACTGTCTTAACATATTATTATTATAAATCCTAAACATGTTGCTTATACAATACATAAAACCAATTTAGGCATATACATATATGTGCATAAGAGTCATAAAGTAATTTTGGCAAATAAAAGGCAGGTTCAAAGAAAAAAACTTTATTAGGAGACATTAGAATCTTGAAAACTCAAAGAAACTAGAAAATCCTTAAATGGAAAAAGTTGTTTTAGATTTTCACTTAGTGTTTGGCGCTGAATGCCATTCAGTTAGTAATTTTATATCTTTCAAATTGAGATATTTTTAAAAAAGTCACCTATGAACATAGGTAAAGGGATAGGGACGGCTGCAAGAAGCCTAGTTGGTTGGTAAAATTAATAATCTATGATTTCTATATTTTTGTATTATTTCAATTGTCACTCAATTACATACAGGATGGTCATATAGAGTTACATTTTTTTAATTGGAAGCCCCAATATTTCATTTCATTTAAAAACACCAAGGATATATATAAAATTCTAAATATAATAATAATATAATAAAATCTTCAGGATTCAGGTTATGTTTGAAATGTTGTTGCACATTAACTTTTAAAACATTTTTCTGCTAATATATATTAGAAAATATATTTTAGAAAATAATACTATTTCTCAGACAATATTAAAAATTGATTTTTTTTATGGGCAAAATTTTGCAAATCAAACGCCGTTAAAGTTCCAAACTATTTATACTACTTATATTGCCAAAGGTTATGTATTGGATTTAAAATAAATACACGACTTAAACAGAATTAAATTCTAAACCCAATAAAAGTGCTAAATACAGGGTGTTCCATTAAAAAAAATGAGTATTTTTAATTAGAAAAAATATTTATATTTTGAATAATATATTTTCGCCATTAATATTAACCACTTCCATGGATGGATTATAAAAATTCCTCTGTATATATAAAAATTCGATAAATAAAATATATACACGTACTTATTGTGATAACGTATAGGAGCATCTTAAATAGGCTATTCGTGGCCACTGAGCCTTCAAGAATCAAAATTTAAGTGTACGTATATATATGTCCTTGAAGAGGTTAATGTTATTTTTACTTTTCTTACATAGACTTTCCTTTTTATATGTTCGTCACCACATGACCGAGCACTTCGATGCAAATTATGCTATATATTTTGGAAACGTGGCAACTGCGCTGGAATCTATGGCCTCTCGCTGACTCCTGACGTGTGGGGCTGACTGGCCGGAGCAGGCGCCTGGTATCCGCCACCCGCAGATTTTTAACACTTTGTAGGCGACGGAGTCGAGTGGTTCCAAATCCTTCCTCGTCCTGGTCGCTTTTGTTAAACAGACCCCCCACCACCGCCGCCGGAAACGTGTAAACGATGCGAGACGTCTGTCCTCTGTATACGCGACAAATAACGAGCAAAATACCGACCCAAGAATGCTAAATAGTTCCGGTGGGCTATAAATAATCTTTCTCCTTTTTAATGCAATTATTTTCGGTGATATGTTCTCACGAAATTATAAATTGAATAATGGTGCATAAGGCTATAGGTGTGGAGCCACCCTAAAGTTTTATGGTTTTGTTTTTCATCCGATTTTCATTACCGATTTTTTACCGGTTAATAAATCCATGTATTTTAATTGTTTCTTGTTATTTTACTAACTAATTTTCATCATTTTGGGCGAAACACCCCGCGGGAAAACTGTGGGGTATAATTTGGTTTACAAACTGTTTGCTGTAATCTTTTATCTTTTATTATGTATGAGACGCAAATTTTTAAGCCAAACGCTGATAATGTTACCATATTTTATTTAATTCTTTTACAAATTTACTGCTAAATTAGTTTTGAAGTTTTAGAACGTTTTGACGACCTTAACATGCGTAACATTCACGAGCTTAACTTATATGATAGAGCATAGTTTTTCTCATTGTCTCTGTCACTGAACTAATTCTTCTTCCTTTTATTTACTATAACCATAGCCAGACAAGATCTGGGCCGATTCTTTGGGTGGCATTGCACGAGACAGTCTATTCTTATCTACTGCCCACAGAATCGAAGTTCTTCGACTTGCTTTCGATGGAATTGTTATTGTGTTGGATCTTAGTGAATGTCTTTTGATAATATGGTAAGATTTTGATCATAAAAGTGTATCGTTATCCTTAATTGAATAAAAATTGGCCGAATTGCTTTATGTTACTTTTGTCAAACAAAATATAAACTAAGAAGAAAGGTTTGATTAGATAGAACAAAATTTTGAATTCATTCTACTATTAACGGATTCTCTGGGTGGCACTGGACGGGAAAGGTGCGACGGTCGTTCTCCGATGCCTACAAAATCCATGCTTTTCGTTTAAGACTTGTTTTCAGTCAAATTGTTATTGTTTTGTATATTAGTGAACAGTTTTTAATTGTTAAATTGTTCAGTGAAATGAAAGGAGTTAACTATATAACTATCAGTGTTCCCTGTGAAAGGTTTTAATATAGGTAGAGAATGTGTTGAAGAATCAATCCCGGTTTGTGAATCTTAGGGAGCCTAGAGACGAGAAAATTTCACGGATTCTGATATAAAAGAAGCCTTAGTAAAAGATTTAAGGTTGCGTTTCATAAATCACGTAGGATCCTTTTTAAGTTGACGATACGATCCGTCTGTGAAAATATCTTAAGTATTTTCATTATATTCACTTGTGTTCATGATAACCATTGCATTTCCTTTATCTGCTTTTAGAATTACGATGTTGGGATTAGATTTTAATATTTTTTACATTACAGATATTAAGTGTTCCATTACAAAATATACTTTACCACAAACTCTCCAGTATCACCAGTCATCGCGAATATATTTATGGAATTCTTTGAGACGAAAGCTTTCGACACCTTCCATCTAAAACCAAAATTTTGGAAACGCTATGTTGATACTTTTATTTGGCCTCATGGTCAAGAATCCCTACACCTTAACATATGTTTTACCATTGAATTGGAAGCTAATAACCATCTCCCATTTTTAGATATTCTTAACAATAGAAAATTAGACCTAACACTGGGTCATTCTATTTACCTAACCTACCCACACACACAGACCGAAACCTTAATGCATTATCACACCACTATACCTCCTAAAAATTATCGGCTATCAACTCTCTTGTTTACAGAGGCTTAAAACTGAGCAACCCGATTTAATAAACTGTGAATTAAAGCACTTTACATCTGCTCCTCTCTCTAATAATTTCCACATTAGAAATAAGAATACATTTAACCACGACCTTCCAAACATAATGAGCCCGAAACCAACCCCACACTCACAATCAAAACTTCTTAAGAAATAGAACGTCAAAACCATATCTTCGAAATACGAGGGCCGCCTTTTATAATACATTATTTTTATACTATTATATATATTGTATATATATATTTCCTAAACTAGTCCTGCCATCTAGCGACTAACGTTTTTATAGGGAAGTTTAGGGATGTTCCGATACCATTAAAGTATCGAAACCTACTCATTTCGCTAGTACTCAAATCTTTTTTCGATACTACTCAAATAAATACTCCTAAAGTATCGATACTTATTATTTTTTATTTATTTTAAGGAAACTAACAATGAACATTGAAGGACAATAATTGAAACAAAATTAAGAAGGAAAAGAAGACTTTTATTATAAAGGTTTGCGTAACGTTAAGCACGTACTTTAAACAAAAAACTCCATGATAACATTGGAATAATAAGCCGATGATTACAATAAATAAAATTATTCGTAAACAATCTCTTGTATGTTTGACAATTTATGTTCGTTGACAATGAAAAAAAATGAAGGGCGGACATCTTTCTCGCGTTTGGCTCGGGCACGGTCGAGTGAAGTCGGACGAGTTCGGCTTGGATGGCGCGAGACAACGCGTCACCATAGATCAGATAGAGATTATGTTTGTCTGATACTTTCCGTTTTTTTTTAATGGTGAGGCTGATTCGATTTGATACCAAGTACTTTTGTTTCGATACCGAGTAAGTATCGCAAGATTGATTCGATGCTATAAATAATTGGTATCGAATCAAAAGTATCGAGTACCTACGCGTATTTACTACTATCGGAATATCCCTATGGAAGTTTGACATTTTGAGGTTAGGTTTTGGCGAAAGAGTGTTGTTGGTGGTTTTTATGATAAATTAAAAAAAATGCGACGGTTAAAAATGCAACTTAATCGGGAGCATTCCCGTGCAATAATTTTTTACAACTTTAGACGTGGACTAACTCAACAACAATGCATCGATGAACTTAATTCGATTTTGGAGTTAAAGCACCATCTAGGACTACTTACTGTTTATCGCTGGTTTTCGGACTTCAGTCGTGATCGTAATTTTCTTAAGGATGAATTTCGTGAAGGGGCGATTTTGCAGGATCGTCACGTGACTTACCATGAGATCGAGGTATCTTTAGGCATTAGTGGGACCAGCATACATACAATTTTGCATGAATATTTGGCCTCTACAAAAATTTGTTCGCGTTGTGTTCCACACAATTTGACATTAGCTCAAAAAAAGGCTCGTGTCGATTGGTCGAAGGAAATGTTAAAAAGTACCTTGAACCAAATGGTAGCCTGTTTTTCCAGGAAAACTGACCACGTTGTAACTGTATCTTTGGTGAAAGGTAAAACAGTCAATTCTGAATGGTACACAGCCATTTGTTTGGCGAAAGTCTTCGAAAAAATTTGAAAAACCAACCGCCGAAGACGAATCACTCTCCACGACGACACTGATCAGTGCAAACAAAGAACTTTTGAGCATTAAAAACGTTGATTTGAACATATAGTCCTGATTTAGACTTCTTTTGATGCCAATACATTAAGAATAAATAACGCGGGCAACGATTTTTGACACCAGAAGAAGCGATTGGTGCGTTTAAAAAGCCTGTTTTGAAGCTGCCCAAATCGATGTAGGCAAAGTGGTTTGATGATTGGTTCATCGAATGCAAAAATGTATTGATCATCAGGGTGAATATTTTGAGAAACAATAAAGTAAAGTGGTTTTTTTGATTGCAAATTTCAAAATTTAAAAGGTAGCCCTCGTAATACCCGCGATAGTGAGCATCAGAGATATTTCAACTTTTAAAGTCTTGACCAGTCGGTTAACGCGTCTGACTAGAAATTGGATTGCTTCAATACCATTTTTAATTCACAGCTAACCATATCCAAAATGAGGGCATAAACCCCTTTAAAAAAAAAACATCAACATCAGGAGTGTTACAGTAGCCTGTGCGAGATTCTTCGAAAATTTTGGGAAAAGGTATCGGGGTCGGGAAATAAAATACACCCGCTTGAAAAAAAAGTACATTGTTCTCGATAAAAAAGCTACGCTAAAAGACCATTTTATGCGAAGCGGTCGGTATCGAGCCGTACGACGACATCACCAGCTGACATTTTTCATTGGTGATCCTGGTCGCTGTCTCCAAATACCTCGCGAAAAGCTCGCTCAGCGTTTTGTGCTCGTCTCTGAACGGATTCTCGATACTCTTAGCGTTTTGCATCTCCAGCTCCGTGATGAACGCTTCGAGCGAGTATACCGGCAAGCAGAACGGTTCCGAGGTCGGTGCTAGCGGCTTAACGAACCCGAAGAGCTCCTTGCCGTAACCCAACGCGGCCAAAAGGTACCCGTGTGCCACCTCGAACGCTTCGTCGAGACGTCCCGACACGTGCAGGATTCGCAACAGCTCGCCGGGGTTACGTAACTGAAACGAAAGGGAAAAACCGTCACATCAGAAGTGGGATCGTCGATCGACGTGGTACCTTGTACGAGGCGAGCAACCAAAACGGCACGTATATCCTCATGCTTATGATTTTTTTGCACACGACTTTGTGAAGCGTCGTCGCGTTGGGTTGTTCGTATTTGGCGAGATAGTCTTGGAGCAGTTGCCAGACCACCATGGCGACGCTGTCCCTGTTAGGCGGGAGATCTGCGTAGTCCAAAAAAATATTTATTTGCGAGGAATGTTCTGGGGAATATATCGAAGAACTCATTGTTAATGTCTAGTACAAGATTGTTCAGACTGATTTAGGCGTTTTATAGCACTGTTTTTGTAATCGTTAAAGACGGAGCAAAATCTCAAGGAGTAGTACTTTTCTCTATGGAAAGGTGTGAAAACATCAGTCGGTAGAATCCAAAAGGACAACATCATTAGCACACGATGCGCGCAGTAGAAGACCTACTGTGCGCGCCTAGGGATAACTACACCAAGGTCCCAAGACCAGAACAGAACAAAACTAACCTAAGCTAAGCCAAAAACTGAAATAATTCTAAAGAGAGACCAGCGATGATAGCTCTAACAAATGCTCATTACATCTAGCTGGTTGCTGACTGAAAGTTTGAGTTGTGGGGATATTGCGAGGTAGGACATGTCAGTTTCAAAGTCAGGCATTGCGGAGTTGATGATTTTGTTTGTGAAATTTGAGATTTAATCAACACGGTTTCATAGAAGAACGATCTGCTACTTCCAACTAAGCATATTGCAAAGTTTGGCCACTCTATGTTGATCAACAAAACTTTCCGTGCTATAATGGATTCCAGTTGGAGCGGTTTGTCGCAACATGCGGCGTGCCTAAGGGTCCTAATCTTGGTCCATTATTGTTTTCGATCTTTATTAACGAATAAAATTAAATGTCTACCATTTGCAGATGATTTAAATAGATCTATTTGTTGCTACGAACATGCAATCACGGTTCAACCCCAACTGTGTTTACAAGTGTTGTGAGGAAAATAACTTTTCCCTGAAATCTTCAAACTTTCTTATTTTCCTAGAAATTAAGTAACACTACTTTACCCAGATGCAGCTCTATTAGAGATTTGGGTGTGACTTCTGATTCCCAGCTTTCGTTTGGTCAATACATTGATATTATAGTCGATCCTTTTCTTAAATTACTTGAAGATATTTTTTGTAACCGCTCGGGCTTTGGAGTTGCTGCTCTAAAGACGCTTTATTATTAGCTCAGCTTAAGAAGTCTCGAAACCAACCGATTATGCTGGGATTACAATTAGATTAGATTAATATTAATATGTAGTATGAAGTCTTGCTTAACATTCATCTAATTTTGCGGATATCTTTTGTCTTTTTTTTTTCCAATATACATACTTTTAGGGCTGAACTTTGACCAGTTGCCTTCAGTCTCTTTTACATAATTACATATAATTTTTGCAAATATGTTTTCTTTAATTAATTTTGTGCGAATAAATTTCATTTATTATTATTATTATTATTATTATTATTATTATTATTATTATTGTCTCTCCCACCTTGCAAGTCGTTCTCTACGAGCCACTCCCAGGCCACCGGATTCTCTTCCTCGCTGAGGATGACGCATCTCCAAGTCAACGCTTCGAATACGGGAGCCTGCGGCAAACCGAACGTTTTGCAAATGTTCAGGGCCGTCTTAAACAGTCCGGCACTGCTCAGGAGGGTGACTAGTTCGATGGGGGCTGGAAAAACGACACCCGCGCAAATGAGCAATGCAAAAAAAGTGCGGAAAAAAAAACTAAATGATTAATTCTGTACAGCTAGTACAGCGATCGTTGAACTTTTATAATCATTACCCAAACATATTTTTTGTGGAGGCTATATATAAAATTTAAACTAGTTTCTGTGGGGTCGCATTTTTTTTCTTCAACTATAGATAACAAATTGAAACCCATTGGGGTATGGTCTGTTCATAGATATAAGAAAGTGGCCAATTGCTTTAGAATGGGATTATCCAAGGGTGGTCATTAAAGTTTCGGAATTTAAATTCACTTAAAATTGTGGTCCGTAATAGAAAATAATTTCATACCTACTTGTGTTTAATTTTCTTTGGTTTGGTAGGCTACTTAGTTTAACTTTATTAGTAATCATTCTTATTTCGTGTGTAATACAGCGTGTGTTGAATCGTGTGCGAATTATGCAAAATATGTGCGATTCTAGTGTATCTAAAGAGATGCTCCCGCCCAAATGTAGAAAATACTCTTCTATTGAGACTAAGGAAGTTATAAACAATTTTGACTAAAACCCCTTCCTCATGTGACACAAAAGCAACAATCCAAAACTACATGTATAATAACGACATTTATTTTCACGAAGATAATACCAAAAAGCAATTAAAAACATAAAACAAACATATTTTTTGTGGAGGCTATATATAAAATTTAAACTAGTTTCTGTGGGGTCGCATTTTTTTTCTTCAACTATAGATAACAAATTGAAACCCATTGGGGTATGGTCTGTTCATAGATATAAGAAAGTGGCCAATTGCTTTAGAATGGGATTATCCAAGGGTGGTCATTAAAGTTTCGGAATTTAAATTCACTTAAAATTGTGGTCCGTAATAGAAAATAATTTCATACCTACTTGTGTTTAATTTTCTTTGGTTTGGTAGGCTACTTAGTTTAACTTTATTAGTAATCATTCTTATTTCGTGTGTAATACAGCGTGTGTTGAATCGTGTGCGAATTATGCAAAATATGTGCGATTCTAGTGTATCTAAAGAGATGCTCCCGCCCAAATGTAGAAAATACTCTTCTATTGAGACTAAGGAAGTTATAAACAATTTTGACTAAAACCCCTTCCTCATGTGACACAAAAGCAACAATCCAAAACTACATGTATAATAACGACATTTATTTTCACGAAGATAATACCAAAAAGCAATTAATTAAGGTTCTACAAAGATTGAACCTACAAAAGGAATACGTCTGTTATATGCAAAAAATTTAGGGCATACAGTTTTAAGGCTTCCAAATTACCACTGTATATTTAATCCCATTGAACATGTTGAACAAACTTATAGAAACCGAAGTTTTTAACATCGCTCCACAAAGTTGGGCAAATTCTGTTAAACATATAGAAAAAACAGAACAATCGCATATCCATATTGCAAATAATATACAACAAATAATAATTAGAACAGGCGATGATAACGATAGTGATACTGATATATTATGTGAATAATTTTAAGTAATTTAGGTAGGTAATAAAAATAATTTGTAATTTTATTTTAAATTTAAATACAAATAAATATTGTTTAGTATCTTTCCTAACAAAACCCCGAATAATTTAATTTTAAGCAAAGTACGGACCTGGTCGGCCATATTTCATTCTTACAGCTTGCCCGGGACTTTCTTATATCTATGAACAGACTTTATCGTCATACATTCAACACATTGCGGTTTTATTGTTTTCTATTCGCGCAAAACCGTATTTAAGGAATTCGTCTTGGTATGTTCTTTTTCTATTCGCTGCTGAAGGGAGACAGAAAGTAATAGTTGTCAAATACTCGAATTAAATTTTCAAATTGCGGCTTACTTTGATCGATATAACGATGATTAGTGATAAAATGATGGTCTTGTCAGCAATTAACTAGTAAAAACTCGCTTTCTGGATCGTCAATGTATTTGTACCTTGACGGCATGGCGCGGACTGAGCACGCTCCAACGTATAACTCGAGAACACTCTAGTGGTGGGGAGCGAGATGGCGCGGCATGCATATTTGGTTACATTGTATAAATTGAAAAAATACTAACAGGTTTAAAAATAGCAAATCAAAAATGTATACTTTTTACTCACAAAAGTTTCATTTTTAGCCCATTTGGGGTAATTTACTCCGGTTCAACGACCGCTGTTCTAGTAAGATGTCAATTAGCTATCCTACTTGCTTAATTGAATTTTACATACAATTTTGTCCGAAAACTTTATTGCACTCTAATTTCGGGACACCCAGTATATCTAGGCGTATGGCGCATGAAACCTATGACATTCCCAATGTTTAATACTTACCGGTGACGTTGGACATGGGAGACGCGTCGAATTTGGCCAAGTGCAGCTTGGCGGAAGCGAAGCTCAGCTCCCGCTTGATGAGGTCGACGTTCACCACCTCCACCTGGTTCTTGACGAGAAACACCTCGCCTTCGTTACCTGAACCGGCCAACGGGTCGAGCGTCACTTCTTCCTGCTGCTCGTCTGGGTCGCAGGGCCGCACCACCCACGCGTACCGCCCGTCGCAGAGTTGCAGGATATTTTTGGCGGCCAGGAGGCATTTCACTTGTTTTTCGATGGCGTCTACGGTGTTGAGGTGCGACAGGCGGTAAGCCTGCTCGTACATGATCGACGCGGCTACGAGGAAACCAGGGGAAATTAATTAAGAGCCATATGGGACCGATGTTCAGTCCTGCTGATCAGTACTGAAGCATTCCGTTTTCGTCTGTATACGTCAGGCTGGAAAATTTTGGCGCTAACCTCGTATATATATATATATATATATATATATATATATATATATATATATATATAATACGGCTGCCTTGAAGAGTCATTGCGCGGAAACCAAGCATTCTTTCAGTTTTCCGAGAGTAAAAATTCTAAAAACCGAAAATAATACAAAAAAAAAGGGAAATTCTGGAAATGGTTGAGATCCAAAAAATAAGAACTCTACAAATTCGAAAATAAACACCAACAATCTCAGTAATATTGCAGCATTCTGAATTAAAACAAGAATGAAAGATACAACATAACAATATATTAATATAAAATTATAATATATAAAAATAATTAAAAAAAAAAAAAAAAAATTACAAAAACACTCTGTATATCCTCTGAACCTTGCACCAAAACAATCGGGCATCGTACGATGTTTTTACAGTAACGTCGACGCGCGCAAACCTCGCGTATCGTATTTTTTAAACCCTTATATGTATTTTAACTGTTTCGTTAACTTTGTGTGTATTATGTGTGTGAGTGCCGTTTACAAATCATTTTTTGTTGGACTTTTATCTTTTATCAGGGGTATGACTTTTTTATTCTCATAGTTGGAAAAGCGCTTTTAAAGTATAGAACTTCCATATGATGCTATCTCTCCAATTTTAAGATTTGTGTTTGCCTCTTTTTGGTAATTTGCAATATTGAAAATTCACTAACACATTTAATTCCTGTTGAAAAAGATATTGTAAGAACCAAATGTTGTAACGCTATTTCAGCGTATAAAAATAAAATAAATACACATAAAAAAACGAAGAAACAACATAAATTTATGGAAAATGTAAAAAAAAAAACTAAATGCTTTTTAAAGAAAAATAAAAAATGAATGAATTGCTAATCCCACACAAATTTATCAAAAAAAAAAAAACAAACGAAATATTTCTAATTGGGAAAACCAACCAAAAACGGCAAAGGAACTAAAAATTAATAAGTCTTTGCCTCCAAGAATTTACGGTTTGCCCAAACTGCACAAACCCGACATACCGCTAAGACCAATTGTATCCTGTACACAGTCGCCAACGGAAAAGTTATCAATATACTTAAAAGATATTCTAAAAAACGTCATAAATCAGAACGAATTTTATGTAAAAGACTCAATGGACTTGGTTTTTGTTTCTTTGTTTCTTCAAATAAAATCTAAAAAGAAATGTGCTGACAATTCGGTTATTTTCAAATAATAGGCTAATAATGAGTATGAACTGTTCGTAAAAAAAAACAGAGGGTACATTTAATTGTTTTTCTGATTTGACCATCGTAATATATGTTGATGTTTCTCTTTCTGTTTTGTACTTAGTTAATGAATAGATAAATAAATATTAGGCAATTGTAGGATAGGTGAGGAGATATAACTTCTACTTTGCCTCTTGTTTCTATAACTTACTCACCCAGTCGATGGCACAGCGAGCCCTGCTTAATCTGATACGCGTAGAGTATCTCGTAGAAGACGTTGCTGACGGGGTCGGTGGCCCGGGCCCTGGTCAGCAGTATGGAAGTAAACAGCTCGTCCAGCTCGCCGTAGGTGAAGCTCAGTACCGTATCGAAGTTCTTCTCGTCTAACAACGTCTTGACGAGGTCCCGCAGGTTGTCCTTCTTCCTTTCGTCTTCGGGGTTCGACTTCAGCGCGTAGAAAGCGTCGCCGTAGCGTTTGAGCGCGAGATGGTGCTTAAATTTGATCGAATATAGGGTGGCCAGAAGCGGATTTTCGGGATTTATGACGCCCAGCGCCAGATCCGCTACGGATATGGCGCAATCGCGAGCCCTGTGCAGCTCGAACAGCTGGATAACCTGGAAAATGAAAATTTTCCTATATAAAATTTTTCATTTTCGGAAAAATTTCATTTAAAAATATGTAAAACTATACGATTCTCCAGGACATCAATATTTCAGTCGGTGGTGTACTACATATAAATTGTGTCTTAACATCAGCAAGTTTAATGTAACAAAATACTAGGTCTCATGATTTTGTTTTTGCAATGAAAATGCAAAACGTTTAATTTTTCGAAGAGACTTCTACATGCTACTGTAACACTTCTGGATTCCTTCTGTGGATTTATCCTGTTGGCTTCTTCGGAGCTTGACTGAAACTGGCTCGCATTTTACTTTGTACCTGCTTATATACTGTTTGAGGGGGGCGGAGCTAGCTGAGGGACATAAACACCGTCTCGGATGACTGATAAGCATATTGCTGAGAGGTAAAGACCTGAGTCGAGGTTAATATTGTTAGGTTGCTTATAGATTTCTATAGACTCTCGGATTTTTCGCTGGTAGAAGAATTGATTACATGCAAGAATTGTAGTTTTATCGAATAAAATTTTATCTCCGATTTCGTGACTGTATTTGGTAACTGTCGATGAGTTTATTTGTCTTAGTCTTAAGGATCTTTCATGTTCTTTGAACACAGTTGATATTTTTCGTCCGGTCTCTTCAATGTATTCTTTGCTGCATATGCATGGAATGCTGTAAACTCCTGGCATCTCAAATGCAATTAGAACAAATAGACGCCATGTTTAACAGATTCACAATTTAGAAAACTTTATTTTTATATGATTTTGGAACACCACTTTAATTATTGTTGTGAGAATTTAAGTTCAATAAAGGAGAGGTATTTAAATCTAATTGATCGTTAAACATTAGAATGTCTCATTTTGTTAATTTCCATGGCTTCCAATAAATTTACTTTTCTACTTTTTGTGTAGCATAATTAGAATCTAGAATATTGTTTTTAAACGCTCTTTTATGTTCGTTAATACGTTTCTTAAAAGATCTACCTGTTCGTCCAATACAAATTTTAGGACAAGATCTGCATTTCAACCTGTAGACACCTGATTTTTGAGATTTTGGACATTTATATCGTTTTATTCTTTTTTAAAAATTTTCCTATTGTGTTGTTAGTTCTGAAAGCTATTTTTAAACCACATTTTAACAAATGTTTTGAAATTTTTTCACTAGATTCTCTTATGTATGTAATTATTTTAAATTGTTCGTGTTCTGTATTAGGTTTTGCATAAATAGAGTTTACTGTTGTCTGGATTTGTTTTTTATTTATAATTTTATCTATAATAGACGGATTGTGGCCGTTGTTCAGTGATATTAAGTTCTTTGTTGTAATTTTCTGTTGAGAGTGGCGTATTAAGAAGTCTATGTATAAAAGAGTGAAATGCAGGCATTTTGTGTGCATAAGGGTGATTTCAGCTGTTATGTATGACTGTGTCCGTGTGTGAAGGTTTATGATAAAAATCTAATTTGTTTTGCGTTTTCGTTACAATTAAGGCTAAAAAATTAATAGAGTTATCAATCTCGATAGTGAATTTTATACGATTATGTAATGAGTTAATGTAATTTAAAAAAGAATTCAATTGTCTGTCCGTTCCAACCAAGCAAGCAAAGACATCATCCACGTATTTATACCACCGTAGAAAATGTTTACTTAAAGGATGTTCTAGTATGATATTTTCCAAATTATCCATAAAAATCTCTGCCAACAAAGGACTAAGTGGGTTTCCCATAATCAAACCTTGCTTAGAGATGTAAATATGTCCATTAAATTCAAAATAATTTTGATCTAAAGCAATTAATTAAGCAATCTAATAAATCTTGTTTCACCAATGGGTTAACCTGTTTCCGAGTTAGGGTGAAATCTACTAAATCTATCCCATCCATAGGTGGAATACTGGGAAATAAGTTTTGTACATCAAAAGACAACAGTGTTGCGTCAGAAGGGATTTTGATATCTTTAATTTTGTTGATTATTTCAAAATATTTTTTTATTGCAAATTTTGGTTTAAAATCTGTGTGAAACTTTGTCGTCGTTGTCGTGTTGTCGAATTGTCATGTAAAAATATATAATTTCGTGAAAATCTACACTTATAATTCTTATTCATTTTGATAAATCGATTTTCATCAAGCAAAAACCACCTCAGCTGGAAGAAGTGCGTTTGTTTTTTGTAAACATCTAGATGAAGCTTACAATTAACCTAAAACACCTTTTGAAATTCAAAATGCCCCCCAAAAATGGAAAAAAAAATTCTTAGCTTGCGACGTCTTTAAGAAAACAATTATTACAGATCATAACCTCGAAAACACGGGTCTTTTTGAAAAATGAAAAAGTTACTGTTTTATAGCATCCTTTGGGTTTCATAGACGTCTGTAACAAGTTGTAATGCTAATAGTTTTCTTATAAAACTATGATTAGGTGCCTACCTTTAAGTAGTAACTTATACGTGCACAGTCCCTATCTACGGGTTGGTCTTTGAGCACCCTCTGGTGGAAGAAAGGTTCATCTAGCACGCCCTCCGCGGCGAACTGAAACAGATCCAGGGCTTTGTAGTTCTCCGTGCTGCTTAGAAACGATAAGGCCAATAGGAAACGATCTGAAATACCAAACGGTGGAACAATGTTAACTTTGTAGTACGGACCAGCTAGGCAGAGGCCGGGATAGAAGTTGGGAGGGTACGGATTGGCTTTTTTGTTTTATCTGTTATACTCACGAGTGGCAGTGTTGCAATCGCACCAACCGTTTAAGATCCTCACGTACTCCTGCAACCACACGTGTTGCCCGCTGCTTATCACCCACTCCGCTAAAACGGTGCCACTTTTCAAAGGCCACCTACCTTGGATTAAAGAAACTGTCGACGGTCGAACAATAAGAACTTTCTCCACTTCAAACCAAACGTTAATTCAAAATTTAATAGCCCGAACTATCGACTAATTAAAAAATTAAATATAACCCGCCTATTAATTATCGAATTTAAATTTTAACGTCCAATTTTTGAAAAAATTCCAATTTAATCGCCAAAATTGAAATAAAGTGGCTTAGATAATTAAATTACATTTTAAATAATCGATTAACTAAAAAAAAAACAAGTGAAAAAAAAATAAATTAAGAAAACTTTTAATTAAAAAAATAATTTATTAGCTTTGTTCTTTAATTAAAATATAGGGTTTTCTCCAATCTTCTTCTCTCTAAACTATGCGTTGGGAATAAAAAAATTAATTAAAACACCTTTAATTAATCATATTATTGATGAACAAAAAAATTAATTTAACAGTGTAGATTTTTAATTAAATAAATTAAATTTTTCGGTTTACTTTAAATCAGAAATAAATTTGTACTCCAGAAAATTAATTAACATTGGAACAATGTATTAATCATTAAAAAAGAAGTTGAGAAGATGAAGAAAAGTTTAATTAAATTTAATCACTGCAACAAACGAAACAAATACATTTAATTGTCCACATTTTTTCTTTTCTCTCTCCCGATTTTTGATTATTTAAAATAAAAAGTACAAAATTAAACTTTGAAAAATTAAATAATTCAATTTTATCGTTTAAATTTTTATATAGGAAAATAATTAATCACAGGATTTTTTATTAGTAAAGAAATTTATATATCAAACGATTGAATAATATAAAAAAATAATTTATTAAATTTGCTTTTTAATGAAAAATATGGTTTTCTCCAATTTTCTCGTGCTTAACTATTGCATTATATATACTTTTATGATATGAAAAAAAAAACGGATTTGTGAATGTTCCAAATAACAATTCAGATTTAAATAAACAAAACAAATTATTTAATTAAAACAACTTTAAATCATATAACCGATGAATTAAAAATAAACTTAATAGTTTACAATAATACTTCCGATTTAAAAAATTTAATTAACCAGAAAAAACTTAAATTTAGACGAATTTTCGACAAATTAAATTTAACCATCCAAATTTTTTAACAATAAAATAATTAATCACACGGATTTTATTAGTAAAAAAGTTTAGTAAAAAATTTAATATATCAAAATTATTGATTAATTAAAAAATAGATTAATATATTATATATTGATTAAAGATTAGGGTTTTCTTCATTTTTGAAATTTTCGATAAATTAAATAATTAAATTTAATCGTTAAAGTTTTTTAATAAGAAAACAATTAGTAGGACGGATTTTTTATTATTTATTATTTAACAAATAATTTGAAAAAATCAATCCCAGATATGAATTCATTAAAAAATAAAACTTCAATCGGTCGATATTTACTAATAATAATAATTAGTATTAATAATTGGATGTATGTATTAGTAAATATTACAAAATTTAATTTAATAGTTCGTATTTTAATTAAAATATATAAAATATTTTATTTATTTAGATATATAACTGCTACTTTGGAAGATTTAAAAAATAATTGAATGGACCTAATTTTTGCATCACTTCCAAAGTGGATAGTTTATTAAAACATAAAACCACCAGCCAATACGAAAAGGATACAGGACGCTTCTCAAGTGATTAACTAGGGGCAACAAGGATAGGTGCCAGTGGGCCATAGCGGCTCCGTTAAACTCGACCCTCGCGAACTTTTTCCTCGCTTCGTGACCCCCCGTGGAGGCGGCGAACAACTCGATCAGCGAAATGCAGCTGCCGTTCGAGCGCTTGTTGTAAGATGGCGTCAGTCTAATCGGCGTGAGCCGTTGCAAGCTGGTTTCGCTGCAACAACGTCACGATCGGGAACGCCCTTCGCGTCCTCTAGCGTTACTTACGACAGGGTGTTGTTGAGGACGGGGAGTCCCGTCAACCACAGGACCACGTAGTTGGCCTGGGTCAAAATGCCGATTTCCGGCTTGCACACCGACTGGATCGCCTCGAAGATGTTGGGTTGCAACTCTTTGCCCTTGATCAGTATGTCGCATATGAGCAGAAGGTCGCGGCATATGGCGAATCTGAAAATGGCGGAACGTTTCGACTTTCGTAGCTGTGACTATCCCAAAGGACTGGAAAGGCTGGCTAATCAGTGGTTAGTCACTTTCTTATATCTATGAACAGACTTTGGATAAGAACTACCTGTTTTGCGCTTGTTGTCGCAGGCAACTCGCTACCAGCGACACGCCTAGCGACGAGCTGAAGTAATACATAGCGGCGGGATTGACAGAGCTGTCCGGGTGCGATAGGCCGCTGTTGTGCCTCAGCAGTTCCAGCACTTTGTGCACCGCGCGATACAAGTCAGCGCATTGACTCAGCAACGTGCACACGCGGTCCGATATCGTTTTGTACTAAAAAGAAATCCCCAAACATTGTTTCTGGTTTATGTATTTGGAAAACCTCTACTACTCACCTCAGACTTCATTTCGTTTTTCAGTTTTCCCACCAAGTCCGCCATGACGTCGTTGGGCGCCAGACGAACGGCCAACGCCGTTTCGAAGGAGTTCTTGAAGGAATCGCTCAGTTGCCGATCGACATACGTCATAACATCAAATAACGTCATCACGTCCAATGCGGTGTCTTCGTCTGAAATTAAATCGATTTTTCCGCACGGGTTGGGATAGTAAATAGCTACAAACAATGGAAGTTTTCTAACAATGAATATAAACCTATATAAACAAATATAGTCATAAACACTTAGTGAATATTATAATTTAACAAATTAAATTTAACCACTTTTTTTTTAATCCAAAAATAGATGCACACTTTAAAAATGTATTAATTTAATGAACGAATTAAAAATAAGTTGAGAAGGAGGCGGTTGATTAAAAGTAATCACTCCAATAAACAAAAGAAACAACAGCATTTAATTGCCACAATTTTATTAAAAAATTTTGATTATTGAAATAAATTAAAATTTAACCTTTCGGACATCTTACTTAATAAATACTTAATAAAATTTATTTGTCATAATACTTGAATAATAAAAAACATATTTTAATTAATTCTATTTATTAAAACTTAATTGAAATTAGATCGCCATCATATTTTAAATAATTAAATATTAAAATTTTAATAGCCTGATATTTCAAAAATTTATCAATCAAATCAATTAAATAATCCTTCCTATTTAAATTGAAAAAGATATTTAAAAAATATGAAATTAAATTTATTATTAGTTGTTTTTTTAATTAAAACAATTAAATTTAATTAATTTAATTTTAAATAATTAATAATAAAACTTAAATAGCCAGATATTTTAAAAATTTAAATTATAACTGAATTTTTAAAATAGTTTAAAATATTTAAAATACATATTTAACAAATACAAAATTAAATTTATTGCAATTTTCGTCCAATCAAATAATTAATTAAATTTATTCGTCCCAATTTTTGAAAAATAAAAAATACATTAACTAAAAAATTAAATTTACTAGTTGTCAGATTTTATTAATTAAAACATAATTAAAATTAGAACTAAAATTTGAAATAATTAAAAAATTAAAAAATAGTCAGATACTTAAAAAATGCAAATTATAATTAATTCGACGCGATTTTTAATTAATTAATTATTTACGTTCCTATTTTTAATTAATTGCAAAATAGATTTCACAAATTTGAAAGTAAATGTAGTGGAATTTTCGACCAATCAAATAATTAATAAAAAAATTTTGTCCTAATATTTTTATTAATTAGAATAAGATCGAGTTCATGTTTTAAATAATTAAATATTAAAATTTTAATAGTTTGATATTTCAAATATTTTTATATAATAATTAATTCCACCGGATTTTCGATTAATTAATTAATTATTTTTAAATAATTAAACAAATAGCAAATTTAGTCGAATTTTAGACCAATCAAATAATCAATTAAAGTCATTGATTAAAATTAAATTTACTAGTTTTTAGATTTCATTAATTAAAATATAAAAATAACATCGAGCTCCTGTTACAAATAATTAAATCTTCAAAAGCGTGATATTTCAAAAATTTAAAAAATAATTAATTAAACCCGATTTTCGATTAATTTATTAATCGTTCTTATTTGAAAATTAATTAAAACATTTAACCTCATCATTCCTATTGAAATCAATTAAAAAACAAATTTAACCGTTCGAAAACTAATTTAATTAGGGAATATAAATTTATTCACTCAATAATCCAATCAACCGGTTTTTATGATTATTAAAAAAGTCGCTTGTTTTTCTAATATTAATTAATTTTTTAATATTTAATTAATTTTTCATCAATTAAAACATCTAACAGTCCTAATTGAAAAATAAATTTAACTGGTTCATATTTTAGAAACTTTTAATTAATAAATTAGTTAAAAATTAATAAAATATTAATTAAAAATTGAATTTACAAATACTCAACGTTCCAAATAGCATCTTACCTTCACCGAGCATCGAGAAATTGACAAACTGATCTCTGTATGACAAATCTCCGCTGAGCATCATGTGTTCCAAAGGTTCGACGGGTCGTAGGAAAGCGATAGTCGATTTTTTGAGTAATACCGCGCCGGACACCTGCGGCAGCAGCATCAACCCTAGGGGACGAAAGCTCTCCTGGTGGTACTGCACGCAACACGAGTAGAACCTTTGCCAGCACCTGCACCATACCATTTGCCAAAATTTGGCACTTAAGTTTCACAATATCGCAAAAATAATTAATCAGTTTGGTTAATTCGAAAGAGAGCACAAACATGTGTCTTTTCTAAAATTATTTTTGAAACGGTTTAAGATGAAAGTATTAGTTTTGAGTGGAAATATCAAATAATAGAAAATAGTTGATGGATTTTCCTCACCACGCCCCCAAGAGAATCAATTTTTTGAGGGAATACATCAAAAATTGAAATTTGGGAGAAAGTGATTACGCTTTTTCGTAAAGGTTCGTTTAGAAACACCTGAACAACGGAAAAAGGTAGTAAAGCTCATCGATATATTGTGGTTCACGCTGGATCAAACAGGCAAAATCTTGAAAATTGGTTTAAAAATTAGCTGGTACCAAATTAGTACTAAGAGGGGCTGATGGGATGGTTAAAAGAAAATAACATTGATTTCCCAGAGAGGGCCACGAAGGATGAAATATGTGAAACCTTAAGGCCAAAAAACAATAAAACTTCCTCGGCAAATGAAAAAATTGTACCTCTCGAGACGACCTAACAGAACACTCGAACCAAACGGCGCCGTTTGCAACGGTTTGTCAATTACGGCCAACAATTTACTTCGAAATATCACATTTTTCAGTTTGCTTGCTCATAACCGCGACACCCTGTACATTTTTGAGTAGTACCACATTTTTTGTTACCTCCCCAAAAATTTTTTCGGTAGAGAAACAGAGACTAGAAACAAAATTTTTTTTGACGCTGAATCGAGATGTCAAAGTCTCGTGACCTTATTAGCAAAAAAAATTTTTTTTCGACAAGCGAACAGTGGTTCGGTTTCGAAAAATGTTTAACGGAACCTGCCAGCCATTTTCGACAAGACAAAACATAGATTGCAAAAATTTCGAACGGATATAAAAAAAAGTCATACGTACCACAACGCGTATTCAAGGTATTCTTCTTCGCTGATTTCGTGGTCCTTGAAAGAGTTGCGTATGTCGCTTTCTATGGCCAAACAGATGCTCTGCTTGAGGGCCGCGACAGAAGTCATATTGACCTCCGTCTTGATGACGCTCGACTTGTTATAGATCTGTGAAAGGTATGTGAACGAAATCTAGGCCACAAATCCAGCGCTATTAGTTCGAATAAAAGAAAATGGGTTAAATATTTCAAATGTATACAGGTTTAGTCCAAATGTACCTATCGTAAAACTAAAGGCAGAAAAGTTTGCCGAACAGCTTGGCATTATCGATGTCAAGGCTTCGGAAGGACGGTCGGGGAAGTTCAAACAGAGACAAGGTCTAAATTATGGACAGATAAGTGGCGAAGTCCGTGATGTCGACAGAAACGTCACTAACGATTGGCTGGAGAAGACGTGGCCAAAACTAGCATAAAAGTTCCCTGCTGACGACATTTTTAATGTTGACGAAACTGGCATTTTTTACAAAATGACGCCAGATAAGACTCTTAAATTTCGAAGCGAAAAGTGTGTGGGTGGATGGCTCAGCTGGTAAGACGTGTTCACCTGTCAACTCGAACTTGCCGGAGGTTGTGGCAAATTGCCTAAGAGCAGCGCAAAAAAAACTCAATTAAAACTGCATTTCTGATTCCGGTCGGGATTTGTCCGCTAGATGGCGTACCTTGAGGGATTTACTGATGACGTGCAGCGGAAATCTGCCCGGACGGAACAAGTACTGGAGATAGACCTCCCGTGGGTCGGACTCCTTCGTCGTCATCGGTCGGTCGGTGTCGACGAGGACCTCCTTGAGGACCGGCGTCCAACAGTCCGACGTCAGCGACGTCTTGTAGATGACGCAGTCGTCGTCCGAGGCGCGCCATATCGACCACAATCGATCCGTTTGCAGGCAAAAATCGATCAGGCCGTTCTAGAAACGAAGGTGAGTGCGCGTTGACGAGAAAATGGGGGCGCACAGTGGGACAGGGAAACCCTAGGTGTTTGACTAATTCGATTTTTTCGGTATTAACCAATTAATTTTATTTAATATTAAGAAAAACACAAAAATAAAATGAAAAAATTATTACGAACGTCAAATTTTAATACTAAATAATTTTTATATAGGGTGTTCACAAAAAAACTCTAAATTTACAAACAGTTTTTAATAAAATCATGAAAACTGTTTAATAACACTATGCAAAATGTATTAGGTCTCCATACAAAGCTATGTATTAATTAACTCTGTATAAGGAGTTTCTCACGCTCTATAATGCGAAGAGGGACGTCGATACGGACTTACACCGTCGACTGTATCCAAAATTTGAAGATTTGGAACGGGCAATGTTGCAGTGGTCTTAAAAATATACCACTCTCTGGACCTATCGTAAAACTAAAACCAGAAAAGTTTGCCGAACTTCGGAAGGATGGTTGGGAAAGTTCAAACGGAGACATAAATAAATTATGAACAGATATGTAGCGAAGCCCGACAGAAACGTCAATAACGATTGGCTGGAGAAAGCGTTCTAAAAACTAGCAGAAACGCTGACGAAACTGGTATTTTTTACAAAATGACGTCAGAGAAAACTCTTAAATTTCAAAGCGAAGATTGCGTGGGTGGAAAACTTTCTAAAGAACGTATAATAGTGTTAGTAGCTGCCAATTTGAGTGGTTGAGAGCCACTAAGCAGCTTCAAACAACAATTAGGTTTACAAGTGATGAGTTGCAAGATTTTATGGTGATAGATCAGGATTTGCCTACAACAGCAGATTTGACAGAGGAAGCCATATTACAACAAGCAAGAAAGAGTGAAAAAGAGCACCGAGGGGAAGAAGAAGATGAAGAAGTTGATCGGGGATCACCATCTTAGCTGCTAGAGAAATTTTTTATGTATCATGGGGAAGAAGTTAAAGTACTAGATTCGTATTGTAAAAAGGAGTCCCTTCAGTTTCGCTATACAGAGTTTCGACTGCAAGTATATTTATGTAAATAACAAAATAATAATACAGGGTGTCCCAGAAGTAACAATTTTATTAAAAAAAAGTTATTTATTAACAAAATATTGTTATCGGATTTTTAAAAATATTTAATTGTTTGCTTGATAGAAACAAAAAAAAATAACCTGGTTTTTATACATCTAAAGTATCATTCAGTTAAACACTTTGCTCTGATTTTGTTACTGCTGGTTTACCCGAAGCTCTCAAACTCATTCCTTTCACATGGTCGGAGTTGTTTCGTTCTTTTATATTTCCCTGCATCGCTTAAACTGTCAAAATTTATTTTTTGACGTCCACGGCGGAAGTTTTTGATTTATTGCACGGTATTGTTACATTTCTTTCCAGCTATTCTGCATACCTTGTCAAAAAATCTATTTTTATTTCCGTTTGCCGCCTGCCATTTTCTTCGAAATTGGAAAAAGGTTTTTTTTGTTTTGATTTCTACAATCTAGACATGTACTACCAAGTAAAGTTTCTTTTATTGATACTTTATGTTGACGGGCGTCGTACAAATACTTTATCGAAATCGAGTGATTATTTTAATTCTAAAAAAGAGCCACATTTTAATTCAATTGTTGTAAAAAAAAAACGAATAGATGAAATAAAGTAAAAGCATTCATTTTGATGTGAGCTAGGCTGCCATCTTATCAATCAATATTTTTAAACGGGCTGATCCGATTTTAATTAAAAGTAATTAAAAAAAAAGGTTAAAAAGTTTCTCAAAATATAAAACTAAACGGATCCCTGTGAAAAATCAACTTTGAATTTAATCGCCATCTTAGATTTGTAAGTTGGCGGACGAAAAATATTTCGGTTTAAAACCTTGATCGATTTCCCGCAAAGTGCAATCTCTTCCAATAAATTTGGCCACATAGGTCAAAACTTATAACTTAAAATTAGTCTCAAAACTTACCTTTACTGTCTTCCTACATTTTGAATTTTGTCAAACAGCTAATTTCTTTAAAAAAAATCCCCTCCACTTTTCACACGGAAAATTGTATAAATAAAACATTCTCAAAATCACACTGACAACAAACGTAACAAAAATATTGTTGACGTTTCCATGGTGACAAGGCGACTTAAATCGCTTGTTTTGTGAAGGTTGGTTCATGGCCTACTTGGTCTGTGATAAGAAAAACGCTCATTGTACGAAATATGTATTATGGGTTCATTTCCATGGGGCGTGGCGAACGGATAGTTCAAAACAATGGCGAAAAACGGGTTGCTTCATTGTTTAAAATAAAGGGTAGTTTGCTATATAAACGTGGCGGAAAATAATGTTTATATTGTTTATCTTAAAAACAAACATTTATCAATTATCTTCGAAACAATTACATTTTAAAACTAATTTATAAATAAATTACTATCACGTTTGCGCAAAAGCTTCAGGAAAAACAAATACATTGATTTATTTATTTATTAATTCCAATTCCGTTTTGTATATATTTTAAGTCATCTTCGAACAACGCTAATATCAAATATGAGTGATCGACCTTCAAAAATAATGGCGTAAGGTAATTTTTGTGCAAGTGATAAAACTCGTATTTTTTAAGAAAAATTGAAATATCCGGAAAACTATTATGTTGAGGTATGTATTATTATGAACAAAAAAAATTGAAACATTTGAAAACAAAATTTAAAAATAAGGTGTTCGTTCCATTTCAAAAAATGTATATTGTATTAGTCACGCTTTTTTGAGCCACCCTGTATTGTTTAAAACAATTTTCAATTGTGCATACCCACAATCTTACCATTTTCTCGTAACTTTCGAACCCATTTTTGAGAACATTTTATGATGAGTTTCGTTAGGTGCCCTACTTACGAGGGTCGCTCGAAAAGTTTACGACCTAACCCCGAAGATGGCGGCACTAGTAACTAAAAGCTAGTGAACGTAGTTGTGCAATATTTACCAAAGTTTCAGCCAGTAAAATTTTGGGCACTTTTTTTGGGATAGCCAGAAATTACGGAAAAACGCCACATTTGCAAAAAAATATCGTGTTTCATTAAAAAAACGCGATTGTCTGATACCTCAACGGTTGCCAAGGCGAAAATCCATGAAGTACGATTTGGAATTCGTGATTCGTGAGCAATTACTTGAGGAAAACGCTGGGTACTATTTGGATGAGTTAGAGAGATGGGAGAATCGCCGGCAGAAGTGAATAGAGTTACAAGGAGACTATGTAGACAAAAAGTTGCGAAAAAATGTCTTTTATCATTGTTAGGTCGCGAACTTTTCAAGTGACCCTAGTATTTTCAACTGTTTACAGATTTATTTCTAACAGTGGCCATTTTATCCATGTTTGATTGATTAATCATTTGATAAAAAAGGAAGTACTGCGTATAGCAAGTTGGAAATAAAAGTGGCTTAAGAATTAATAAGTTTTGGTTGTTTTCTAAATGCAAAATGTCCCTAACCTTTTTAAAATTTTGACTTACCGCCATTGCGAAAAACAGGGAGAGGGGTGCGATCTTGATCTTACCTCGACGGCGATAAGAGTGTTCAGTTTGGTAATCCGTATTTCCTGACCCGCGGAGCTACTCAAGCGGAAAATGTGAAACTGACCGCCGCTGGAAAAATTCATGTAAATCGCCAACGGACAGTCCGAGTCCTGATCGTCCACGGGACGTTTGATAATTCCTGGAGTAAGAAAAAGCGCGGCTTCAGGTTTTTTTTTAATTGACGAAATGACATCCGAAGGAGACGAGACGAAAACAATGACCTAAAAACTGGTTAAAGTGTATTCTTGTGTTAAGACCACTTACTAAACCTGTCTAAATCTACAGGTCGCTCTACCATAAACCAGAGAAACGACAGACTGTAAAAAATCGATGAGTCATCACAAAAAGGGAGGATAAATGGCGGTCGATTTTAAGGTTACAAATTTTGATGGAGTTATTCGTTACTGTTGTACTTCCACAGCCTACTGCAATAGTTTTTACAAAACTTCTGAATTCCTCCTGCGTCGGTTTTTTGCTGAGTCGAAATTGCTGACGTTTCGCCAATCATCTTGTTGGCATTTTCAGAGCTTGACTGAAACTGGCTCGTATTTTACTCTGTACCTGCTTATATATTATTAGAGGGGGGGGGGGGGGGAGCTAAATCAGTGGCATAAACACCGTCTCCGATGACTGATTCCCAAATTGGTGACAGGTAGAGACCTGTTTATTGAATTCTATAGACTCTCGGATTTTTTATTGGTAGAAGAACTGATTACACGCAAGAATTTTAGTTTTATCGAATAAAATTTTATTCCCGGTTTCATGAGTGTGTTCGGCAACAGCTGATGACTTTATTTGTCTTAGTCGTAAGGCTCTTTCGTGTTCTTTGAGTCTAGTTGATATTTTTCGTCCGGTCTCTCCAATGTATTCTTCGTCGCATATGCACGGAATGCTGTAAACTCCTGGCATCTCAAATGGAATTTTGTCTTTGACGGACCGAAGATGTGGAGATATTTTTGGTCAAGTGGTAAATCTCGTTTCCATAATTTTGGTTTTAGAAGAAAGGTGTCGAGAGCTTTCTTCTCACAGGCTTCCATAAATATATTCGCGATGATTGGTGATAGTGGAGAACTCATCGCTGTTCCCGACGTTTGTTCAAAAAAAAAAAAAAACGCCAGCAATTTCGACTCAGCAAAAACCGATGCAGGAGGAATCCAGAAGTTTTGTAAAAAGTGTTATAACGAGTCGAGTGTGAAAATAAAATATTCGGTTATGTGTGCAAGACCGAAAAATATGTAAACTAGATCTGAATCATAGGCTACTGTAATACTATTTACAAATCTCCTGAGTAAAATACACTTCGTCACAACCTCCTACTCCTCTACACTTGCTACTGTTGCCTTTCCTTACATTCAACACATCACTGACCACATAACAAAATTTTTTGAAAAATACTCCAAAAATGTCTATTAAGCTATCGGGAGGTGACAGCAAATAGGACGAGAAATATCAACAACACGAAAAGAACATGGACGAACCTTAAGACTACGGCAAAGAATAATTATTTGATAAAACAAAAATTGTTGCATGTAATCAATTCTTCTAGCAAAGAAAAATCCAAGAATCCGTGGAAATCTCTAAACGACCAATCTTAATCGCGTTTCAGGCCTTTCAAACAGTATACAGAAGATTTGTAAAAAGTTTTACTGAAATAATTAATTTTTTTTTTTACCTTTAGAAGCTAAGTACTACATGATGGGTTAGCGAGTTAAATTTCTCTAGTTCTCTAGTTACAAGTACTAACAGCCAAGTTAAAAAAATCTCATTTGATCAAAACTAGTTTTAATTTATTTATTTTTTATTCTGTGCCAATATAATCTCTGCTCTGTTTTACCCGGTTGTCAGAGTTATTTATCTAAGCCGGTCAGTGTTCAGTGTAAGTCCGCTTATGTAAAAAAATCTTCTTTACTAGCTACTACACCTTTTCAATTTAAACGCGAAAAATAAAACAGTTGAAAGCAATACACTATGCGATTCCCAGAACCGTCATTTATTAAAAAAAAAAAAAATGAAAAATACCTGTGCACCACCTCTGTATGAATTTTAATTTACTTTGTATTAGTAAAATTTAAACCAGTTAAATTTGATGTTATTTAGGGGCAAAGCACAGTGCAACTCATGATTAAAAAAAAATCCACCATTTAATGACAGTAGATATTCATTACAATCAATAACTCTTTTTTTTCTTTTGTAAAAATCTTTCTGTTTTTTGTGATATCATTGGAGATACACTATAGACAGGCATATAGTATATGTTTTTTTTTTAATAAGGGTTATTATTATTTTTATTTATATAATTTTTATACACTGTTTATTAGACATTGTAAATTTAATTCACCAGCCCCGTTGGCTTAACCGCTTGCTGTTGTAAATAAGTAAATAAATAAATACATAAATAAAAAATAATTTTAATTTATATTGCATTATTTTTTTTAACATTTAAGATCCTTGAGTAATTGTTTTTATCCGTCACTTGCCCTCTCAGGATATTAATCATGTTTCCTCTTTCATCAAGTGATAGAAACACATTGTCATAATTCTTATTGCTGAATAATGTACTTAACTTCTCCAATGATATTTCTCGGTCACCATTTATCATCAAATTGACTAGATATTGTGCAGATTGTTCTGATATTTAAAAAACTATCAAATTTAGCTCCTATATTATCAATGCTAAATGCTAATAATACCACACAGGGTACAACATAACTTACTGTTGTTATTTTGGCGATTCAATGTGTAGTATTTTATTTATTTAGAATATAACACGTGTGTAGGCTCAAAATGGCTCGTCATGTCTCCTTTGGCTACAACGCCTTATTTTTACCTTCTTGCGGTCGCTCTCCTTCAGTGTAACCCGTCTCGGCCAAAAGGTCAACAGCGGTCAGGCACTGACCCCTAAGACACGACCAAACTTTCAACTGTCCCCCGCGGTTCAAAGACAAAACGCAGGGTTCGTCATCGATCGTGTGGATCAGCACACTAAGCACAAGTTCCAAATCCAAATTTTTGCCCCTGAAAGCGACACCAGCCTTCAATAATAAATATTAAGCCAAATTTCTGGATTACCTGAATTTTTCCGTGAGACCCGCCAAAAATCTGGGCAATAACGAGTCACTCTTGAGTTCGAAAGAAACGCATGGACCGGCGCTCTTTTGCTTTATTAATAGCATTTCCGAACCGGGGTAAACTAGGACGAAAATGGCGTCGTCTGTGTGAGAATTATAATAGGAACTCGCCAATCTCGGTAGGTGACCGACTAGAATTAAAAACATGGATTATCTAACAAGGGTGAACCGGTATATCTTGCCTGTTGTACCGGGAGTACTAAATAGATGGTACTTGTTACGATTCTTCGCTTCTTCGGTATCGGCCTTTGAAAAAATAGAAGGCGCCGCCAAATTTGGATGACTACCCAGCAACTCATCCTAAACGTTTTAGGGATTCGCTTAAAATATGCTTACCGAGAGTCAAAACAAGAGCTTACCTGTTTATGAAATTTCGAGGGGTGCGGGAAACTTAACCTGTGCACGCTACACACCGTCGGTACTAAAATTACAACACTTTCTGCGGTTTCCCAAACCGATATACCATCAAGTATGGGACTTTCATAGAAATAATACCGCACGCGGTTATCTGATAAATTAATATCCAAACTCTGCTCGACCAATTCCAAAACGTCGTACCGGATTTTCCTAAATACATTTCGCAATTAAAACTCGTTTAGCAAGGAGGAATATTTGCAATGTACCAATAAATGAATCTATTGCGGGTATAGTGCTTGGTGCTGTCTTGAAAACTGTAACCGCTAGCCTTCTCCCTGACTTTAATGTCTTGTAAGGTGCTCTGCGTGCCACCTAAGCCGCACGAAATGTTTATAAAACCGCGTAGTCACCGCGGAAAAATGAAACCTACTACTACCTGTGGTTAGAGAAACATCTTTCCAATACTCGTGTAAGGGTTGATCCGGGACCACTTCTCTATAGCACAGAGTGAATTCGGTCATTATTTGGCTTCAAAAAATACCGAATTGTCGCTAAACGGGCAAATATTTTATAAAACCGCCAACGAACATAACCTTAGAACCTAACCTTAGAATTTTTATATTTTAACGACACTTATAGTTGCAAATAAGCAATGCTACTGAGTGGTGACCAATTGGCTCGCAAGGCGCATTAAGGGAGACTAGCATACATGTTATTATTTATACAATTTATATTGGAATTAAAAATATAACCTAATTCACGCAAACCAAAACCACTGAATAAAAAAAACGGTCAGGGATATACAGAAATTTAAAAATTCTTCTTCCTTTTTTTGGAAGGGATAAGTATGATTACCAAATGCTCAAAAGGGACAAGCAATTTTACCTATAAATCATAATTCTATTTAAGCATACTACTACTTCTCTGATTATTTACCAGAAGCAAACATAAATAGCAGATTACATTTGTTGGTCGTGTATTCTCAAGCACTTGCCTGGTGGCAAGAAGATAACCACAAAATTTTAAACTCAAAAATAATCGTTTAAAATAATGATAAATCTTTAACAATTATGCAGAATATTCGCGGATTTAATATAGTCTCGGCCGCAATAAACACTTTTCCCTTGAACCAATCAAAAATTCTTTTTAGAAATAGCATCGACAATTTAGGGAGGTTGCAAATTCGTTGCAAGCGGGATGATTCTTCCAAGATTTCGTCTCTTTTCGTGCCCGTGCAAATCAGCCCCAACTCGGATGACATTAACGTGGGCGCGGAGCTGACCGGGGACGTGAATAAAACCGATTTGTTGAAGATTTTAAACAGATTTTACCAAAAACCCGAAATTAAACATCTGTTGTCCGACAATGGTTTAGACGGTGAGATGGCCTCCACTAGCTACAAGATTCTTAAAATAATATTATTTTAGCGTATTTGCAGCATCAGGCGTATGTAAGTTTTAGGAGATATTGCCTAGAGGCGACAGCCTTGCCGGTCGATTTACACGTAGTCGTCAGCGATATTTTGCAAGGCGCTGGTAACGACACGGACATATTCCCGTACTTTTTACGGCACGCCAAGCAAATGTTTCCCCATCTGGAATGCATGGATGACTTGAAGAAAATTTCTGATCTTAGGTCACCTCCAAATTGGTATCCCCAGGCGAGAGCTATGACGAGGAAGTTCGTGTTTCACGCGGGGCCAACGAACTCGGGCAAAACTTACCACGCGTTGGAACGTTACATGACGGCCAAATCTGGCGTGTACTGCGGGCCCCTTAAGCTGCTCGCCGCCGAAGTTTACCAGAAAAGCAACGACAGGGTATTATTTTCTTTTTGGTTACCAAATGCCCTACATTCATTTTCCTTTTAAGGGCACCCCATGCGACCTTGTTACTGGGGAAGAGAGGAAGTTCGCGGACCCCTCTGGGGCTCTGTCCGCCCATGTTTCGTGCACTGTGGAAATGGCTGCCGTTAACATGCCATGTACATAATCAATTGCGTTTTATCATTTGCCTGAATTATTTCTATTTTTAGATGAGGTGGCGGTTATAGACGAAATACAAATGATCAAAGACCAACAGCGAGGCTGGGCCTGGACCAGAGCCCTAATGGGCGTAATGGCCGAAGAAATTCACTTATGCGGCGAGCCGGGCGCCATAGACCTGGTTAAGCAGCTCTGCTTAACGACCGGAGAAGATTTGGAGGTTAGGAATTATAAAAGGTTGACCAGTTTGACCATGGAACACAGTGCACTGGGTATGTAACGGGTGATTCCTTATAAATGTTACCTCCTTCTAACATTTTTATTGTACATGTTATTAAAAAAAAGTGTAATGTAAAAGTGGTACCATTTAATGTGTGCAGTTGATATTATATAATTAGGGTGTCAAAAAACCATGCTATATTAAACTTATATTTTTTAAATTGCAAACCCAGTATACTATTTCATAAAAAGGAAGGCCCTTTTATGCTAATTTCAACATTATTGCAAATTTTTGAGCTCTAGCTCTAGCTATAAAAATTTAATTGAAATCAATCAATGACTCTTAATTTTATATTAATTAAACTAGACATTCAATGTATTAGACTATTTTGACCCAACATTAGAATTAGTTTTGGGGAAGGTTTTTGTTTTGTATTGTACGCTAATGATTTGTTGAGTAGCTTCTTCGATGACATAATCTTGAAATCAAAATGAATGACTGTCTCTACGATGTTAGCAATAGGGAACTTGAACAAAATTTTAATTTGAATAATATTGCTTATGTTTATACTATTCAAAGAACCACAGTTAACAAAAAAATTTAATTTCGTAGTTCTATATAACAAATACAAGCAACAAAAATTGTAAAATTTAAGTCCTCTTTGAAATGCACTGTCATTAGAGATCGACAACTAGTTAGTCTTGGTCCTGTCGCTTGCTTTTGTTATCTTGTGTGTAGTATGAAAAAGAAAGTTTTGAAAATGACCGAAACCGATTTTTTAAAAGATCAATCTGATAATTTTCATTTCGTGGATATGTTTATAGTGACATCTTACATACAAAACACGGAAATAAAATAAATATAAAAAATAAAAAATATATATTTTTTAAAACTAGTGGAATTCTAAATACTGATTTTAAAGTATATTGGCATTGATAACTTAAAATGTTCTTTAATTTATATAGATCAGAAAGCTAGGGATGGGCTGGGAATGGATGCCATTTCGAAGAGTTAAAATTAAACATATGTGATATAATTCTAAACCTATAACCTAAAAATAAAACTATAACGTGTCGCCGTATCAATCGAAAAGCAGCTGTCGTTTTACTTAATTTTTTATATTTTTTACGTAAAATAATTAAAACAGAACATCAGCTACAAAATAGCTGTGTGGGGTGGAGCTTATCCCAGTTATCTGGGCCTGTTGCAGAGACACCAGAATAAACTTTTATCAATAATCAATTGTAATAATCAATATTACTTAATTTTTTATATTTTTTACGTAAAATAATGCAAACAGGACATCAGCTACAAAATAGTTGCGTGGGATGGAGCTTATCCGAGTTATCTGGGCCTGTTGCAGAGACAAACTTTTATCAATAATCAATATATAAAAAATTACATAAAATCCTTGAATAACATTACAAAACTTTAAGAGACAGATATCTTCACTCCTTGAGTATAACCAGAAATAAAAGCATCCAAATAACACAATGAACAAAAACAGTAATTTAAAAAATAGTTATATAAGTTACATATTAGCTACCGAGTCAACTTAAAACTCTTATCACAGATAAAACAATAAAAATGAAACTTAAAGTATTTATAATTATAAATGATATTTAACGAAAATCTATCTCTTGTGTGAAATCCACGCAATAAAAGAAAACCAATAATAATAAAAATTATATTATATGTGAGTCACAGGCTATTGTGATTGGCTGTGTTGATATTTGATATTTAATTCTTCATATTATAGAGATTTTTTTTAATGTAAATATTTGTATGTTATGTTATCTAGTGTGTAAGTTTTTAAGTAATATGTACAACCTTAACCCACAAACAGGTGACTTTCCACCTCTGCGAGGGTTATTTGAATGATCCATTAAATTTAAGTAATAATTGACAGGATAGGAAGAGGGTCCTGTCAAATATTTCGATACAAAATTCATTAGTAAGCATTACATATAGTGTCTGAGAATTTTTTTCTGTATTTTTTAAAATTATTTTTATATATTGCATAAAATTGTGTCCATAATTGAACAATGCTTTAAAACACCTCCGACATAAGACCTGTATAAGCTATTTAAAGCCTTTGGGTTCTGCAATCCTTCGAAGTTTCAAATTATAAGCCCCAGATTTTGAAATGATTTGTTCAATATGTTTATTTACTTTTAATTTCACTTTTCCTTACTTTCCTATTGATTTCATTAAAGGGGTAACATTTATAATAGATTACGGGTGTACTCTTCGGAAATGATGGGGATATAATAAAAGGGCACGTTTTTAGGGAGCCTGGATAAAGTGCAGCCTGGAGATTGTATCGTGTGTTTTAGTAAAAACGACATTTACTCAGTATCGAGGGAGATCGAGGCTAGCGGTCGTGAGGTGGCCGTCATCTATGGCGGGCTGCCGCCCGGCACAAAACTGGCCCAGGCGGCTAAATTTAACGATCCAGAGAACAGTTGCAAAATCCTAGTCGCCACGGATGCCATCGGGATGGGTCTGAATTTGTAAGTTAGAATTTCTTTTAAACCTTACTACCTAAGTTGCTCAACCTTAAAATAAAAACCTGAAACAATTTTACTGCAATTTCAAAACGTCAAGAACAAGAAACAAATTTCAAATTTTCCGTTCCACGGTACTGACTCATTTATCCGTGGTACTGAGAAAATAAATTTTGAGTTCTAAATTTATATAAAACCTTTGCACTATTTCATCAACTCCGTGTTTGTAAACTGTACTCAGATGAAGTACTTCCAACATGGTTCGCTACACGTTTCATAAATCTCAAGGTAGATGGCGCTGGAGCGATATATATTTAAATTCAAAAGGTTAAATTTTTTAATACAAAAGTTATTGGACCGGAATTCAGAAATAATTTAAAAACATTAACCAAGGAAGTGTAATTTTTTTTCAGTTTTATCGTTTATTGCGACAAAAATAAGCAAGTTTTTTTGAAAACTTTCGTGGCATTAATAAAAAAAAAAGAAAACAAATGATACTTTTTGGTTAGTAACTCTCCTATCCAAGATACAATCTTTATTGGCAGAGTTCAAATGTTTCGAATCTTTGGGTAGTTTCTTTGGTGAGTGTCTATGATTCTAGCCTTTTCAGTATGACTGCCCCCGAATAACACTGTTTCACTCGTTAAAAAATGTTGTTTCAAGGTAAACACAGAGCTTTTCGAAAAAGTCTGCCTTCTGTTCTGTTCTGTCAGTGTACAGAAGCTATTAGTTATAGTAGTATGAGGGCTAACTTTTATATTTCGGGATTTGTAATAAAAAACCATAAGCTACCAACAAATATAACTTTATTGTTTCTCAGAATATTCACTCTGATGATCGATATACTCTGCATTCGATAAAACCAATCATCAAAGCACTTTTCCCTCATCGAGTCGGACACCTCCAAAACATGCTTTTTAAACGCATCAATCGCTTCTTCTGGTGTCAAAAATCGTCGCCCTCGTAATGTTCTTTGTTTGCATTGATCGGTGAGAGCTAGCATTGTCGTCGTGTCGTCTTCGGCGGTTTCAAAATTGACTGTTTTACCTTTCATCAAAGATACAGTTGCAATGTGGCCAGTTTTGTGTGCTTTGTCTCATTCTGAAAGACGCACACAGTCGACTGCTGCTTACTTTCATGAAGTTCATCCTTAAGAAAATTACGACCATGACTGAAGTCCGAAAACCATCGATAAACAGTAGTCCTAGATGGTGCTTTAACAGACTTTAACTCCAAAAGTCGAATTAAGTTCGTCGATGCATTGTTGTTGAGTTAGTCCACGTCCAAAGTTGTAAAAAATTATTGCACGCAAATTCTCCCGATTAAGTTCCATTTTTAACTGTCACAATTTTTTCAATTTATCACAAAAAACGCAAACAACACTCTTTCGAAAAAAACCTAAGTAAACCTAACCTCAAAATGTCAAACTTTCCTATAAAATCGTTAGTCGCCAGATGACTAGTTTAAGAAAATCCCCAAATATTATGGATTAAGTTTTTCCAAAGATATATATTTTTTTAAATTTTAAAATTGCTGTTGTTTTTATATAAGGTCAGTGTGTGCTATTTTTGAATTTATTGTGATATAGGTAACAGCAAATTTAACTTTTTTTTTTAATTCATATAATTGACACTGAGACGGTTTTCACTGCAGACCTTCGTCTTTGCAGGAGTATAAGAAGAATCATATTTTATTCCCTCATCAAGCCCACCATGAATGAAAAAGGAGAGAGGGAGATGGACACAGTCTCAGTTTCCACCGCCTTGCAGATTGCGGGTAGAGCGGGAAGGTGAGTTTTTTTCATTAATGCTGGCACAGTGAATTAATTTATTATTGTTATTCATAGTTTCCATATAATTTGTTTCTAATTTTCGTGAAATTCTATGAGAAATGGAAAGAAGTGTGTATTTGTGTATATATATCAGATCATGCGTTGGCGAACAAAGAATTTTTGTTTTGAAAAAAACTGATATAATTGACAAATAGATCACCAGAATAAGCAAAACAAGCAAAACGTGTGATCTGTCAATTCGTCCGTGTTTATCGGAAATATGCATCAGCTATACTGTTTGCTTAAGACAACAAAATTGGTAATAGTCGTTTTATATACTGACGAAATTGTCTTCTTTCATGATTTGCATTATATTTAAATATTACAGAGGATTAAATACAAAACGGGTAGAAATGGTGTTGGTTCTATTGATATACAGAATAGCGCCATCTCTATATGAGAAGCGTAACAAAGTCTAATTCGTTGGGCATTTTTTATTTAAAAACAATTTTTTGTTTTTTACATTTTTTTTACTATGTTGGCAGTAACGTTTAAAGGTTAAGTTGTGCTAAATGAGTATAGAGACGAGAAATATAGAGGGAGTTTTATTGAACTACTGAAGAGAAATTTTATGAAACAAAATAAATAAGAACTAAAAATTCAGATTTTCACGACATTATATATATTCACATGACCATTGTAATCAAATGTAATATTTACAAACTATCTGCTACTATATTTAACGAGAAATGACAATAAAACCTTAATTAATATTGTTGTGAGAATTTAAGTTTTATAATGGAGAGGTATTTAAATCTAATTGATCGTTGACTTTTGAATGTCTCATTTTGTTAATCTGCATGGCTTCCAATAAATTAAATTTTCTACTTTTTGTGGCTCTATGTAAAATATGAAAATTATCGTCAAGAAAGTGTTTTCCTCTGTTTAATAATTAGAGTCTAGACTATTGTTTTTATACGCTTTTTTATGTTCGTTAATGTGTTTCTTGAAGGATCTACCTGTTTGTCCAATATAAATTTTAGGACAAGATCCGCATTTCAACCTGTAGAAACCTGATTTTTGAGATTTTGGACATATCGTTTTATTGCTTTTTTAACGGACAGACAATTGAATTCTTTCTAAAATTACATTAACTCATTACACCATCGTATAAAATTCACTATCGAGATTGAACAGGATAACTCTATTAATTTTTTAGACTTAACTATTACGAAAACGCAAAACAAATTAGATTTTTCCATTTACCATAAACCTTCACACACGGACACAGTCATATATAACAGCTCAAATCACCCATATACACACAAAATGGCTGCATTTCACTCTTCTATACACAGACTTCTTAATATGCCACTCTCAACAGAAAATTACAACAAAGAACTTAATATCAATAAAAAATTGCACTGAACAATAGCTACAATCCGTGTATTGTAGATAAAATTATAAATAAAAAACAAATCCAGACAACAGTAAACTCTATTTATCCGAAACCTAATACAGAACGCGAACAATTTAAAACAATTACATACAGTGAAAAAGTTTCAAAACATTTGTCAAAATGTGGTTTACAAATAGCTTACAGAACTAACAACACAATAGGAAAATTTTTAAAAAACAATAAAACGGTTACAGGTTGAAATGCGGATCTTGTCCTAAAATTTATATTGGACAAACAGGTAGATCCTTCAAGAAACGCATTAAGGAACATAAAAGAGCGTTTAAAAACAATAGTCTAGATACTAATTATGCTACACACTTAAACACAGAAAAACACATTTTTGACGACAATTTTGATATTTTACGTACAGGCACAAAAAGTAGAAAATTAAATTTATGCGAAGCCATGGAGATTAACAAAATGAGACATTCAAATGTATTGCTTAACGATCAATTAGATTTAAATACCTTTCCAATATTAAACTTAAATTCTCACAACTTTAATTAAGGTTTTAATATTTTTCGGTATATATAATAGCAGGTAGTTTGTAAATATTACATTTGATAAAAACACGGTGTTGTCGAAACAATTGTCATGTAAAAATATATAATTTCTTGAAAAATCTGAACTTTTAGTAAAAGCCACCTCAGTTTAATAATTAAAATGTTATCGAGATATATTGAACGCACGGTACAATGCGGTCCCATCGGACTTCCAGGTACGGCACTCAATGGGAAAAAGGTTACGTGACTACGTTTAAACCTGAGGATTTATCTACGCTGAATACGTTGCTGTCTTCCCAGCCGGAACCGTTAACCCAAGCCGGCCTGCATCCCACCGCCGATCAAATCGAGCTTTACGCTTACCATCTGCCCAATTCGACCTTGAGCAATCTTATGGTCAGTACCAGTCGCAAAATCGGACCTCGTTTGTACAGGCTGTCCGCTTTTTTAGGACATATTCGTCAGTCTGTCGACGGTAGACGATTCGTTGTATTTCATGTGCACGACGGAGGATTTCAAATTCCTGGCGGACATGATCCAACACGTGCCTTTGTCACTGAAGGCGCGTTACATATTCTGCTGCGCGCCAATCAACAAAAAAATGCCCTTCGTGTGCACCATGTTCTTAAAGGTAACGAATAACTTTAAAAAAACATTCAAAAACTAGCCGTGTACAAATAGTCGAAAGCTTAAAGTGATCCTGTTGCAGTTTGCCAGGCAGTACAGCAGGAACGAGAAGATCAGTTTTGACTGGCTGTGCAGGAACATCGGGTGGCCATTGCAGCCGCCGAAAACCATAATTGATTTGGTCCATTTGGAGGCGGTGTTCGATGTTCTCGACTTGTACTTGTGGCTCAGGTAGAGTAAGATTAAAATCCGACCTTTGGCTCTTGCATCATGAAATATCATCCTCCAGGTCCTAGTCTTGGAAAAGTGATGCAGGGTCATCCTGATAATATTTCTGTATATACTAAAACAATGCACCAAATCGGATCTGACACGATAATTGACAATATGCGTATGATTAAAGTTTAAAGTTGAAAGCATTTAATGAATACAGGTTGTAAATCATAACTGAGCAAAGGCCGTTGCACATTTAAAAACTTATATCTTACACTTAACAATGCGATAATTTGGCTGTTCTAGAAAAAACAGTTGATTTGTTAATCTCCATCAACACTCCATCTCATAAAGCTGTTAACACAATGCAAAAAGAAGCTGGAAGGCGATTAAATTGTTGCAAGTCCCAACCCCTAAATTTTACCTAACTTACAAACTAAAAAAAATAATATCACAGAGGAGAGATTTTTTTTACAAGTGGATTAAAAGGTTTCATTATTAAATGTTGTCATTTTGGGGAGAGGACCGACGAGTTTAACGACAATAGTCGCGTGGGACTAGGTCTGGAGAGTAGGGAGGTTGCGGCATTAATTCAAACTTCAATACATGGACGACATTTTTTCTCCTTTGTTATCATTATCAGAAAACGCCTGAAAAATAATAAATTAATCTTTTTCTTGAATTACTTTGAGACTAAGACTAAGCAGATCACCAGACGTTCCTAGTACCTATGCGTTTAACTATGCAATAATTGTAAGTGATCCCAAAAGTCCAAGAAATATCAGGAATGCCAAAAACTATTCCGTGTGCATTTTAAATCTGCATAAAATCAACAGCAATAATAATTTGGTATTAGCACACAAATTTCCTCTTTCCAATACCCCTTATTCCAGCAAAAAATACCAAAAAAAAAAAAATTGTCAATTCGCTAATCATTACTAGAACAGAAATTTCCTAATCTCAATAATATCATTCGGTAATTCTAGAATAGTTCATGCACATAACCTCACTTTTCCCAATTAAAAAGAATAGTACTTACTTTACTTTAGCCAAAACCAACTCCACCATTCTATTGCCACGGGATCCTTCCATAATATTATGTGTTTTAGTTTAGTTGAAATTGACAGGGGAACACCAGATATGTTCAAAATTTAATAAGGACAACTGATTTTTTATTGAGCTTCGCAGTAAATTTGAGTTGTCTCTCGAAAGGCGAGTTCTGTGGTCAAATTTTCGTTCGTCACTTTATCACTTTCTGGCGGTTGCGCCGGGTCATTCGTCAACAACTGCTGTATGGTTAATCGCGTTACAGTTATCGTTTCAACGATTTGTTCAACGACGCGGAGCTCGTCCGCGACATGCAAAAGGAACTGGACCAGATAATCCAGCAGGGCGTGGTCCAGTTGACCAGGTTGTTGAAAAACTCGGAGACGGGAATCAGTTCGGGGACTTCGGCGGCCGACGACGACGAGTTCGACAGTCACCGAAAGAAACAGAGGTACCTGAGGGGCGGGGATCATCGGCAGAGGGCGGGGGTGGGGCAAGGCCGGCTGACCGAGAGGTTGTTGGCGCACGGTATTTTAACGCCCACGATGCTGCACGAACTGAAGAAGGAGTGGAACAAAAAGGACAAGGAGCTGAGCGGGGACGATGGCAGTGACAAGCCACCAACGAAGCCCGGCAGGAGGCGCAAACCGTAACGAGACTATTAAAGATTTTCGAAATTCACCGGAGTTTTATTTCATGTATATATCGGGTGAGTCAGCGTGAAATTCATTTTTTCATTAGTTTCGAAAGTTATGAGATAATGGTAAATACAAAAGTTGTAAAGATTATTACATTAAAATTCTTCAACTTTTTTATTAATAATAATACATACCTAAAGCTAAGGATCTTTCATTAAGTATGTTATATGCCTATTTTTAATACTTTACGATATATTTTAACTTTTTCAACATTTACTCTTCTCTGTCTAAGACTATTGCTGCAGTATTAGTGGGGCGTCAAGATTTTGGAATGTACTATTTTGTACAAACTGCAATGGCAATGAGGGAGTTTTATTGAACTTTTGCTTAAGAGAAATTTTACACTCGCAGAAGTCGAGACGCCAGATACAAAAATACTCGATATAGCACAGAGCCAAAAGTCCAGTTATATGTGGTTAGGTCACCCTGTTTAACAGCCACCCTAAAAAACATTTTGTTAAATCTCTGCAAAAATAAGAAGCATATAAGTAAAATGTTAACCGGTAATGGAATTCAGTTTTAGTGTTCAGTTTAAGCGTTTTTGAAATAAGGACTGTAAGTTCGATTGTAAATAGATTTTTATAACACATGAAACAATTTGTATTAAGTTTATCTTTAGGTTGCGTGTTAATTAAACATTAGTTATACAGAGCGTTTGAGAAATCATCAACGATATAATATGAGGAAACCTTTTGCTTTGGTCACAACGCAAATTAATTATTTTGAACATCAAATGATTTATCAAAATCGAAATAAATTTAGTTGTTTATATAATTTATTTCGACAATCCCTTTGAAGGGCACAAAATTGCTGTAAATTTATGAAATAAATGCAACCTTTAACGATTGAAATATAACTAACTTAAATTTTTCCTGGTCTAGCGCATCCGCCATAATTTCAACTAAAGTTCTAAATGCTCATGTTTTAAAACAATTACTGCATTTTGATATCATTACCTTATTTTTCTATTAAGCATTATTAAGCTAGTTTTAATACTAATTATTCTTTAAATACTAAATTGTGAAAAACATTTATGAAATAAATAAAAACGAATTTGACAGAAATCATTTATTTCTAATTGCCGAGATTGACACGAAAACAAATTCCGTTTTTATTTTACGACGTATAAATTATAAAAAACAAACGATACATAATATCACAAATATTTTGTTGGTAAAACTACGGCTCTAACGTCTGAAATGTCTTGTATTTACAAAGTTCGCTTATCAATAATTGACAACAGATCTACGATACTCGACGTGGTTCTAAAATACAGAACGAATATACAATAAATAATATCAGCAGTCTTGCGTGTGCCTTACGTGCTGGGCATAGGGCAAAGGGGTTACCAAGTAGCGATCTGACAAGATTTTGATCGTGACTGAAAATGCTTTGTTTTCGAGATACAGTAAATAAATTGAAAACAAAAGATCGAAAAACATAGAAATTATGTAAATAATAAATAACATTATTTGTATTTACCGTTTTATGATATCACCGAAGTATTTAGATAAATCGCTTTATGCCGCTGTCATAAACAACTAAATAAGTTGAGATCCTTTCAAAACAAAACGAAACAAGGTATGGTGTGTTTCAAAGTATGTCGTCTTTAATTTTGACGGCAATGAAGCACCTGACCAGTTGGTATTGTAGGACAGATCATGAGCAACGGATTTTTAAGGCGTTTTCAAATATAAAGATTAAATATTACCTTACGTTTTGATTTTTTATTACAATGACACCGTCATCCGGAATACTTTTGCAAAGCTTTGAAACAGTCCGGGCTATAGTTCCAAATATTATTCATAGACAATAGTAAGCAGTTGCGTTTTACTATAACTGTAATGGTTCATCATTCTTTCGATACAAACCAAGTTCCGTCTAGGTAAATTATGCATCTGTTTTTGGATTCATATCTTTTAAATCTTCAAGTGCGCAATTTGTTGTTTCTTTTGGGGTATTTAAATCCCATTTTAAAAATATTCTATCTTTTTTTAAAGTAAAGTAAACGGGAAAGTATACGTGCCGTGTAGTAGTAGTCACTATCTCTTAAGAAAAATAAAAATTACATTGTGCGAGTCTCTTATGCTTTCTGTGTTCAATCATGGTTTAACAGATTTGCAAAAACAAAGACTACAGAAAGTGCAGAATTCATGTTTGCGACTAATATACGGTATTACACGCCGAGAGAGAATATCACATAAACTAGTAGAGACTAAATGGTTTAACATGGAGAGCAGAAGAAAACTACATGAAACCTGTTTTTATCACAAATTTCTATACTACAAAAGTCCTCAATATCTGTACAGAAGGATTGTGTTCAGATCTCATGTTCATAATTTAAATATTAGATTTAGAGATGCCATAACTCCTCCTCTACATAAAACAACATTATTTGAGCGTGGCTTTTCGTTTAATATAGCTAAATTGTATAATAGTCTTCTTATAACTTCAAAGGCCTGACTGCAAGTAGAATTATGCTTTCACATAATAATAACGATGGACCCACCCACAAAAAGTTATTACGACCTTCGTACCATAGAAAATATGGGTATACAGAAATGAAAATATATTATTATATACTTTGATTTGGGCGAATGATCCTGGTAGTCGTGCCCAACAGCTATCTGTGAAACGCATCATTGAATTGAATATACTTTGATACGCACCATACTAGAAGCTTCTCACGCAGTCACAGATCACCAAAAACATTTGTTTACTTAATACTTATCGCCGATACTAAATTCGAGGTCGCCCTAAGTGGTTGGGGTTGCATAACGTAGGCAACTATTGACTAGATAAAGTAAGAAGAGTGGAAAAAAAAACTCACAATCGGGCAACTATTAACGCTACAAGCAGTCCACAAACTCGAGCCTGTTCACTTCACTTGTTCTGTGACGTGCTGAAGTGAGCCCTGCGCGTGTCTTTGGCGAAATGTCTGAGCGTTAGTCGCCAGAAAGCTATCCTGAAATCGGGACTGTAGAAAGCGTAGATGAACGGGTTAATGGCGGAGTTGATCCAACCCAGCCACGTGAAATACTGCATGACGATCAGGTTGACGCTGTTCTGCGTGATGAACGGAGTGAGCAGGTAAAACACGAAGAACGGAAGCCAGCACATGATGAAGCCCCCTGAAAAAATAACTATTGCGTGAGATCTAGGTCACACACGTGCTAAACAAACCGGGACAACATTAACCTTAACGGTGGTAGAAAAATTGTTGCTTCCGGGATAGTAAGAGAGCGCCACATGTACCTATAGTCGGTACGATTTGCGGTGGCATAGTCAGCGATAAAATTCCAGACAGAACAAAATAGATTGTTCATCTCGCTTCCACTTATATTTCAACAGTAAGCGAAACAGAATCAGTTGTACTTGTCATTAACTAGTACTCCCAAAATAAATCACGCTGTTCCTAAATGATATGCGAATACTTAAGTAGGTGGATTTATTTAACCGAAGATTTGGGAATGAAAAGAGTTGCTGCCAAGTTTGTTCCTCGTGTTCTGACTGACATGCAAAAATAACATCGAGTTGAAACATGTCGTGCTTTGGATCAACAGCTTGAAACGGATCCAGATTTTTATGCAAAGATCATTACTGGTGACGAATCATGGTGCTATGGTTACGATCCAGAAACGAAGCAACGGTCCAGCCAATGGAAGACGTCACTGTCTCCCCGTCCAAAAAAATGTCGTCAGGTCAAATCAAACATCAAAACGATGCTGATTTGCTTTTTCGACATTAACGGCGTAGTTCATGCAGAGTTCGTTCCACCAGGTGAGACCGTTAATCAAGCTTTTTGTCTGGAAGTTTTAAGAAGATTGTGCAACAGTATTCGACAAAAAAGACCCGATTTGTGGCGGACAGGGGACTGGTTCTTCTCAGTTTTTGGCTAAAAATGGCTCGTATATAGTATCTTAAATATATAGTAAGATACTATATCTTGAACTAAACTCTAATATTTGACAGGTTTTCTGTCATTCTTTGGTAAAATTAGGAAATTTAAAACATTTTTTGGATTCGTTTCTGACGCTCCTTGGCTCTTTTCAGCCATATATTTTTACTCTCACCATGAAAACAACCTTTAAAAAATAGGAAAAACGTTTTCAGGAATTTACTCAACAACCATCTTAATGAGAAAATTGTACTTTATGCAGGGTGATGCCTAAAATTAATACTTTGTTTTTGGGAGCAAAGGGATATCCTCAGGCCCATCTACGTAGAGGATATCTGTGGTATATCGTGGATAGTAAATCCGCAAGCTATCTATTCAGAAGACATCCCTGGGATGTATTTTACAGTATATCCTTAGTATGTGTGGTAACGTATATCCTAAGAATATCCTTCATATGTCCCGGGACATTGACCGGATATACTGGGACTATTGTGTGTTATCTGGGTACCGACTATACATTTATTTTACGTCAATTTAGTGACGCTCGAGTCTCGATTATTTCGTAGGTTAATTGCTTGTCCCGGACGAGAATGTCCGAGCGTCCTTGCTGTCCTAATCTGTGCCGTGGACGGTTCTGCAAAATGGGAAAGGCAGAAGAGGGGACAAATTGGTCGGTAGTCGCTGGCGCGTGAAATGAAAATCTTGAAATCGCGTTTTTGACCGCCATCCGGGGGACAAACTTATTAAATGCTGTTTTCCGAGTCGTTTCGGACTTACCCATCACGACGCTGAGGGTCTGGGCAGTTTTGCTCTCCCTCCTGAAAGACGACACCCGTGACGCAGGTTCGAAGTTCAGCACCGACGCGTCTAGGTGGAGGTGGGGCTCCAGGCGCCCCCTGGACGACACCGGAGACCTGAACAACGAAGGGGGTTCTAACCTTGAACTTAAACAATATTCGCCAACTTATTTCAAACCGATTTGAACGAGTACGATGATTGAAAACTAGCTCCTTCAATAAATAATGATTTATACATAGATAAACAACTTATAGTGGTTAGTTTCGGTGACTTATACCCGGCAAGTGACATTTACATAGGACAGGACAGGACAATAATTATTACATAGGAGATACGAAAAAAAGGTTTGTGCAAAAGTTTCTTGGACTCTCCTGAAGAAGTAAAATATTATAATTTTGTTGATACAAGGTGCCCCAAAAATGTCCCCTCCGACATCAACTTTGTTATTTTAAATGGAACACCCTGTATATATATTGAGATTTTTGAAGTCCTTGGTTAAAATAAAGGTTAAAGAATTCTTTTTCATACTTTGATAGCCCCGTATTAAATTGTGTTGTGACGCTACTGATCCAGGTATTGCAGCGAAAATTTAACCACAGACTAAGGAGATGATGCACTACTTAATCGGTTTGACGGATGCGTCTCAGCTTATACAGGGTGTCCCAAATTGGTGGTGCCGTTTTGGCGAATTCGATTAACAAAATCTCAAGATTTCCAAATGGGACACTCTATATCTTTAATCAAATATCAATTCCAGTATTAAAAATAATACAAGTTTGTAATTTATGTTATATTTAAATTTTTCTTACTTTTTGAGATATTCGAGGTTTAATATAACACATTAGGTCGTTTGTTGGCAACATTAAGTATTTTTTAAAAAGCAAATACACGATATTACTTCTTTTATAGATATAATAACATATATAAAACATAAAACATACATACATAAAAACATTTAATGGTCTCTGGCATCAAAACAATAAAGAAACATCAAAATATTTGAAAATGTAGTTGGCTATGACATCACAATCTTTTTTTTTTTTGACGCATTAAAGTATAAACAAACTTTGACATTTCTGTTTGTTTCTGTTTTTTTCATATTTCTATTTAAAAAGTTCTCAATTGTCAAGTTTTTTGTTAGTGTATATTTTATTTGTATTTTAAATAAGTTATAGTTTTTTGGTTAACCTATAAACTTTAATTATTTATTTTTGTTATTAGGTATTTTCAATCAAGCTAGATAATTTACTATTAAATGTTTCTCTCCACGTATTAATGGACACCCTGTATTGTCAGCAATAGGTTTGATTCGTATATCTGGAGTATTATATCTTTAAAAGAAGTAGTATCGTGTATTTGCTTTTTAAAAAATACTTAATGTTGCCAACAAACGACCTAATGTGTTATATTAAACCTCGAATATCTCGAAAAAAAAATAAAACTTAAATATAAGATAAATTACAAACTTACTTGTTTTTTTATCCTAGAATTGATGTCTGATTAACCAACCCCAGTAATAGTACCAAATACAGGGTGTTTCAGTTAACAAAAAAAAATGATTAGAAAAAATATTTGTGACCACCATGTATAAAATATTTTCGTATAGTCAGGTCAAAGTATTAAATATTAACCACTTCCAAATTTCAGTTTTCAAATGCGAAAGCACTCATTTCTCCGAAGACTTGTTTTCCCCCCCCAAAAAAAAATGGAAAAGTAAATTTTTCTTAAGAACTGCACAAAATTGCGTATTATATTTAATGAAAAAAAAAACTCAAAATCAGCGAATAACTAGAAGTCTTAAAAACATTCCTAGCATGGTTACTGTCCATGTCCACTGTTATAATTAAAATATATACTTTGTGTATTTAACGTTTTGAGATAAGGTATAGGAGCGTCTTAAATGTGATTATGTGGGATATTTGTTAATGCAATTTAAATGCGCGTTATCTCGCATTGGCGCGCTTCAACTTTTCAAAAGTAATATTTACCTGTACAGAATCGAGCCCTTGTTATGCGGTTCGACGTTCTGGTGAAAATGATCGGACTTGAGTGATCTGGTCAAGGCGATCGATTTTTTCGTCGGATTCGCTGTCGAATTCTTGTGGCCCTGCAGGATGTTCGGAGAATCGTTGCTGAAACGTCAAAGGCTATCAAAGTCGGTCGAAAAGGGAAACCGGACGACATCAAAGATGGCGCTGAAAGAAATGTTACCATGCACAAAGCTGACGGTTATACCTGGCATATTTTAAATGCGTCTCTTCGTTTTCAGAGGAAGCACGATCGATGTCCGACTCTTCTGTAGTCAACACTCCTCTCTTGCGTTTCTGAAAAATTACCAATCCCATACTATACTATACTCTATAAAATCGGACTGGGTGGCTTTTACTTGATAAAAATCGATTTAACACAAATTACATTAGAACAAAAAATATTAAGATTTTCACAGTTTTTAATGCTGTATGACAGCTGTTTCTCTGGTGGTATAGATGTGATGTTTTTGCTTGTTTCACTGAAACCGAAAGACCATTGACCATAAACCCTCACACACACGGACATAATAATACATAATAACTCAAATCACCCTTACACACACAAAATATCAGCCTTTTATGCTTTTATCAACAGACTACTTAATGTACCACTTTCTACAGAAAATTTTGAAAAAGAAATCAATATTATAAAACAAATAGCTCTTAACAATGTTTACGACCCCTATTTGATAGATAAGATTATAACTAAAAAGCAGTTTCAATAACTCTATCGATCCCATATAAAATACCGAAAACAAAATTTATAAAATAATAAAATACATAGGAGAACCTAGCAAGAAAATTTCAAAACATCTATCTAAATTTGGTATTAATATCGTTTTTAGAACTGATAACACCGTAAGGACATTTTCTAAAAAACAATAAAACTAAATTACGAAAAACTCAAAAATCCGGAGCCTACAAGTTGAAATGTGGATCTTGTCCCAAAATTTATATCGGACAAACAGGAAGGACATTTAAGAAACACATTAACCAACATAAAAGGGCGTACAAAAATAAAAAAAGTTCGGATATAGTCTGTTCATAGATATAAGAAAGTGAGCAATTGCTTTTGAATGGGATTATCATATTATTATTAACACACAATTCAACAAGATTATTACCTAAAGTTTCGGAATTTAAATTCAGGTAAAATTGTGGTCCGCAATAGAAAATAATTTTATACCTATCTGTGTGTTATATTCTTTGGTTCGGTATACTACTTAATTTAAGTTTATTAGTAATCATTCTTATTTCGTGTGTAATAGAGCGTGTGTTGAATCGTGTGCGAATTATGCAAAATATGTGCGAGTCTAGTGTATCTCTGGAGATGCTCCCGCCCAAATGTAGAAAACGCCATTCTATTGAGACTAAGGAACAATATTTATTTGACTCTCATTAAACGTGGTGCCAGCAAGCAAGTATCTTTAGAAGAAACGGGCACATTGACGAAAATTCCAACATCAACTGTTGCAGTTGCAAATCTATAAGCATCCAAACAGTCTCAAAAGACAATGGTCACGCCCCTCCTTTAGCTCCGCCCCCCCTCTAACAATATATAAGCACGTACAGAGTTGAATGTCAGCCGACTTCAGTTTAAGCCTTGAAGAAGGCAAGAGGATGATTGGCGAAACGTCAGCAAGTTGGATTCATCTACAACCCAGAAGGTTTGTAAACAGACGTCTCTGTTATCAACGCTCTTATTTCTAGAGCCCAGAAAGGTAATAATTTTATCCGAGTAGATTTTAACGATTACTAATTTTAGTGAAAAGACACCAACCAATATTTTGGATATAAAAAAAGTACGCCACTGGGCTTTTACATTTTTAATTGTATTTTTATTCGGATTGAGGTCTTTCCACATCTTTATGAAGACCAAAAAACGCGCAGATATTTACGACGGGGTTTATGGTATCCATGTGGGACAGCTGGTCGTGCCTCTGGGCGATGACGCAAGATATCCTCAGGTACACGTAGAGCATCACGACCATGGGTATGAAGAACGATCCCATGGCCGAAAAAATGACGTAGCCCGTATTTTTGTTGTACCTGCAGGTGTTACCCTCGTGTCTGCCGGGTTCGTACCTACAAAACAACATCAAAAAGTTCTAAAATTCGAGAAAACAGCCAGTCGTTGTCAGTACAAATGTGCATAAGTGATTGGATATTTGTCGTGTAAAACTCTATGTTGGTCCTCAAAATATATTCATGTAAAAGCTTGTTTTTAAACTTACCGCTCTTTTAACTCTCAATCGCAGGATCTAGTGGTATCTTGTGTTGTATTACCCAATTACCCATAGAATACCTTTCACTTTTCGACAATTGCGAAATAAAACTTATGTGACTGGATAAACCTTTACCTTTAAGCCAAACTTATTTAGGACGGAATGCAAAACTATCACGAAATATAAGGAAATTAAAAAATATTAAAATAAACATTAACCTTAACCTAACCTTTCCTTCTAACCCCTGTCATCTTAGGTCACAACATAACCTAACTCACCTCATCATTGAAGTATGTTTATTTATTAGTTTGCACAATTTATGATGTGAAGGAGTTGTCATCTTTTGTGATTTTCAAATTAATTAATTTTTTTGCTTTCTACAACCTGAAAGATTTTGAAATATATTCGGTTTTTTTGATAAAGCGATGTTCGTTATAAGAGAGCGTAAGCTTTTTATTAGTTTTTTTTGTCACTTTTAACCATTAAGTCGATTTATTTTTGACTATCTTTAAGTAAATTCTCTCTTATTGCTTTGTGTGTAACATATAATAATTATAATTATTTATTAAAAATAATTTAATAAAAAAACGCTACCGTTTAGTAACTATTTTTCTATGGATTAAAAAATTTGCTATTGTTTATAAGATTTTCGAAAGGATTCGATTATAATAATACGGAATAGCTTTTTTTAGATTTTTTAAGAGGTCCTGGTATTACGCAAAGGGCTAAAAATGTATAAAAACCCGGAATTTATAATTATAATAACGAAAAAAAAATGTTTGGTTAATATTAAGGACCTCCTTGCCCCAGGGGGACCGTCTCTCCCACACCCAATTTTCTTGTAATACTCGTCTCATACATTTGGTTTTTTACGGAACATTGTGAATAAATGATCTATCTATATTTTCCTGCTTATCATATTTTGTTCACCATCTCACCATCTTTTTTTTATCGGATAATTACTAATTACGTAATTACTTTTTAGAGGTGGTAAGACGCTATACTTTGGGACACACCATACCTACCAGCCAAACATGGGTGGACACGTGATGAGGGCGGAGCTCGACCAGACGATCAGGATCATGATGAAGGCGAGACGTTTCGACCTCCTTTTCCTGGAGTACGTCAACGGCTGGGTGACGGCTAAATATCTGTCTATGCTTATCGCGCACAGACTCAAAATGGACGCGGTGCACAGCAGTATATCCAGGGATATCCACAGGTCGCAGAGAATCCAGCCGAGCTCCCAGGCACCTGCAACGCCATAACAAAGATTTCGAAATAATAAAGCTATGACACGCCTGCCATAGCTCGGGAGACTTTAGTTTTTATTTAATTGTATTTTATTTTATTCAATTAGTTGTTCAAAATGTTTAGCTCTTCTTAGAATTGAATAGTTTCTCCGGCATCCATAAGTCTAGCTACCAATTGTTCTCTGTCCACCGGTTTGTGTAATTTTGATTAAGAAATTCTTTTACTTGTCGTCTATAGTGCTGAATCCACATTCGTTGTCTTACATTAAGAGAAACATTGTCCAGTATTATTGGAGGATAATTTTCATTGAGATGTAACTAACTAATTCAAATAATTTTATTTTGGTCTCATCGGCAAATATTAATGAATTCCAGAAGTTCAAATCCTTATCGGTATGCTCTCTAGCGAATGCCAATCTCACGCGTCTATTTCTTCGGCTAATTGAAAGGCTTATTTCTGACAGTTCGACCATGTAAATTAGTTTTTCGTAGGATTCGTCCAATTGTTTCGGGGTTTCACCTTTTTCCACCTCGCCACACATCTTTGGAGCACTTTTTTTGAATAATTCGATACCTCTTTTACAATCCATCTTTCCTCACGTTCATTGAAGATCTTATTTGGAGCTAACCTTGACTTATTCTCGACCCTATTTTCGTTACAGTAACGCTCAATAATATGACTACGTCTCTTTGGCTGAATCCATTTCTGTGATGAGTAATAATTAGTAATTTACACTTTTATAGAACGCTCTTTACTAACTTAATTTCAATAAGTTGTTTTTTGCCAAACAAGTAAAGAGACATTCAGACGTTTTCATCAAAGTTTTATGAGTGACTTATGGCGCTTAGTCGGACGTCTATGGTTAAAACTTTTTTTTTTTATTAAACCTACCACATTCAATATTTCCTTGAGCGTCCGGTAAGGATTTCGCATAAACAATTGCGATGGCAAGACTCTCCGCCTTTAAAAGGTATACCACGAATGCTTCTACCAACAACTCACCCTTAAAATTGTACGCCACTGCCGGAGGCATGACGAAGATGCCTACGAGCCAATCGGCGACCGCTAAAGACATGACGAAACAATTCGTCACCGTTCTTAAGCGTTTCGTCGTGATGACGGCCAAAATCACCAACGTGTTGCCCACCACTACGACGACTATCACCACGCTGAGCAGGAGCACCAGCCCGATCTTTTGGAGATCTGTGACGTGGGCGGGTTCGACTACTGAGGTGTCGTTTGTTCCGAGGAGGCTCTCGGCTGAGCTGGAAGGCATACCGAGGGTTCATTTCTGGAAAAAACGATCATAAATTGTCAACTTCAAAAATCCACTTCCATTCGACTTGCGCAAAAAATTGCATTCAAGGTCAAACGTATAAAATTGAGGTTTTTGCCCATTTTCCTCGACAACGGTAAGTTTTATCGCGAAAACAGGCGTAACAAAAGTTGTAGACCATTCAATTCTCTACAAAAATTGTTCAGGCACTTTTTTTCTCACGACTCGCCATTCGTGAGATATCGCGGTTTCAACTGCTAGAAAATTCGTATTTTACATAATATACAGTTAAACGCAGCGAATACACTTCATCGGAACTTAATAAAAATAAAAATAAGAATCTATGAATTTGCGGCACTTACAGAATAAAACTTGTATGAATTGGACGACTATTTAAAAATAAATACCTATACTGTGAGTCCCTAATTCCCTTTTTGAATTCAGTAAATAATATATCATATCATAATATCTTGATTATCTTACATATTTAGAATACAATCAGTGTATCATGGATTTCGTCAAGTAGGTCAATATAGATGATGCAAATGAGGCATTACATTAAAAATTTATACAACAGAAATATATGACAGAGCACAACAATACAGTGATGAACATTAATAGGTAAAATATTCTTTTAAATTTTACATTATACAGTTTTCTAGGAGTTTGGATTTTAAAATGTTTTTTATTACTACTTTAGCTCTGGGGACAGTCTATTGTAGACTTTAATACCGGAGTTCGTAAAATATATTTTTTGAAAATTCTAGTCTATTTTTTTTTATGGAGAAGCAATCTTTGTTGCGTGTATTATAGTATTTTTAATTTTATATTCCCATAAACAAACTTCTAATATGCATATACATGCTAAAGGCAGTATTTTAAATTCCCGGAAGAGGGGCCTGACTTTTTTTGGGATTTGAAAACAGATGTCGCATGACTTGAATTCCTACAAAAGGGAATACCATATAGTCTAACAGCCAGTGGGCGGCTACCTGCATGTATTTGACCAGACCTGGATTTTTGTACATTGAGGCCTCTATACCTAATATACATGATGTGGGGACCCACTAAGCTCAAAGCGGTGGACCCAGCTACTGCGCAGATGAGACAGGTATCGATTTTTGGCGAATTTTAAATATAATTTGATCGCGGCTGCCGTTTTGAAATCTTAAAATATATTATTATTATTATTATCGAAGAATAATAATGGCAGACAGTTTTGCAAATGCTCAGAAAATTAAAATTTTGAAAGTATTTGATCAGATCTGCCATTGAGATATATATCATTATAGTCTTAAAAGCTTATATTAATAACGGCAGACGTTTTTATTGAGTACACTCCTCAATAGATAACAAAATCTTTACTACTACATTAGCTTTTTTCTTTCTCCCATGTATTACTATTCTACTCATTCCAGCTTATAATATTTTATTTTATAGCTACTACCACTTAAATAATTTAGGGTTTATACCTCAGATGGCTCTGTTATAATCCCAACCTAACGGTTTTTATCAGATGTTTTCAGTATGTTTTTCAATCTCTATACAGATGATTCGCGTTTGGTGAATTTAATAAAATACACAGTGTTGCTTTATGTTATTTTACTTTAATTAAACTAGTGAAGTGTATTTTTTGTGCCACAGCAAAGATTGAGAAATTATTGACATTTTCAAAAGAGAGAGATTGAAAAATGCCGACAAATTTTGAGGTTAAGAAAACATTATAAATTGGAATACAATGAAATGCTTGTACTGGTCGAAATTTTTGATTCTGTATATCGCAGTAGTTGTTACAAAGCGTTTACGGCTTAAAAAAAATGCAACCGATCTCAACAAAGAAGCTGTATTACAACCCACTACGTCGTCGTCTTCAACTGAGCAACCATCAACATAACTGATGATACAATAATACTTGATAATCTTGTAAAAGACGTAAACGTTTCTGAAACAGATGAAGTGGGCTTGAATTAGATCAGTTGTTGGAGAAAGGACCCTCTGTAATATCGCGAGTAGTTACAAAGCTTCGGATGTGAACGAAAATTTTAGTAAAAAAATACACAATTTTGACGCAACCTCAATACTACCATGTAAGAATGAACTCTACCAACAACTTCTGAGAGCCCATTACATTTCAAATATTTGGAAAAACGCTTACAAAAAGCAATCTTCAACCTTGGAGTATGGTTGGCTTGAGCAGGGCAATACACTTGTCTTTAAATGATTCGATCCCTGAATGTCCCTGGTAAGTTGATAAAAATTAATTCGTTATCAAATATATTCGGATTAATTTACTAATTATCTATATTTTACAATTTACGGTTTATTTTTACAGAGTCCGATTCAATGGAAGATGAAGAAGAGTTAACCTACGACAAACATGACTCCGACACCTTTCAAATAAAATTGAAATACAGATTTGAATTGTTTTTTGTTACTTGCATTATACCCCAAGATTTCAGATTATTTCGTAATATATCTACGTCATTTATCATCAGTCTTATAAAGTTTGGTATATAAAGTACATAAAAAGTATTAATTTCTATACATATTTTATTTATGCAAAACAGCGATCGTAATACATATACATCTGACCGGGTAATAGTAAAGATTTTGTTATCTACTGAGGAGTGTACTCAATAAAAACGTCTGCCGTTATTAATATAAGCTTTTAAGACTATAACGAATAATATATCTCAATTGCAGATCTGGTCAAATCCTTTCAAAATTCTATTTTTTTGAGCATTTGCAAAACTGAAACCGTGCAGACTTTCAGACAAAATTTTGTTTTTACTTAAATAATCGGTTAAGCGGTCAAGCATGGCGTATTCAAATATTTTAGCAAAGCACGATAGGGAAAACTCCCTCAGTTAATAATGCATTTATCAGGACAGATGGCACGACTAGTGTAAGAAAATACCAAAATATAAAAGGCAGCCCGCGTACATAGCTTTTTATTTTGATTAGTTATATATATATATATATATATATATATATATATATATATATATATATATATATATATATATATATATATATATATATATATATATATATATATATATATATATATATATATATATATATATATATATGATATGAGTGTGAAAATTTTACACTCAGAAAGGCACACAAAAAAAAGTGAATTTTAGGAAATGATTGAGATCCAAAAAAATCCAAACGCCATAAACTCTAAGACTGACACAAAAAATCTCAGCAAAATTTATCACAACTTAATTAAATAAAGAGACACATTAACCCGTGAATCTCACACAAACAAAAAAAAAAGCTTTAGAAAAAAAAAAAAAACTCCGTTGTCCTACTGTGAAGAAACGTACATCCGGGCTTCGCATTATTGTTTTGGTTCGTCGTCTTATCAATGTGGCTTGTCGATTTACATATTCAATATGTCTGTTGTGAATGTTGTAAAACTGTAAATTACCAAACAACTATATAGTGAACCGTTGATTTTTGGCTTAAGGTATGTATGTAATCGTAATATAAGAAATTATGTATGTTTTATTGTTGTGCATCTATTTTTATACAATTTTTAATCACTTTGTTTGTTCTATTGACTTGCACTAGTAATTTTTAATCATTTCAATGCTGACTCCTATACAAATTTTTATCTATGTTTTAATTATGACCAGGAAAACAATGCTATAAATAATTTTATTTAAAAACACATTTTTGTAGGTTAAAATTAAATGTCTGAAGAAGGTCTTGAAGGCCGAAACATCACAAAAAATAAAATGTTTCACAAGTAACGGAAACTTATTTTAATTTCACTAAAAAAGGACCAAAAAAAACCCAAGAACCATTTCTTAAGTATATATATATATATATATATATATATATATATATATATATATATATATATATATATATATATATATATATATATATATATATATAATAATAATATATATATATATATATATATATATATATATATATATATATATATATATATATATATATATATATATATATATATATATATATATATATATAATAATATATATATATATATATATATATATATATATATATATATATATATATATATATATATATATATAATAATTGTTTCGCGTAATATGTTGTTTGACATTGGGCACCGCGTGTGTAGCTATACAACGGGATAGAGAAGTGGGCACTCGATAATTCTATTCAAATTGGATTTGCAGGCGAATCCCTCGAAAAATGCGAAATGGTACGAATTTCCGGTGCATACAGAGCGTATATTATCCGCCCGGTTTGCACTTGCGTGAAGGAAAAACTCCGGGAAATATGGCGCAGGATCGGGAATCGAATTATGCCCGGAATTAGGGGGCGGAGGGGGCAAGGCGGTCCACTCAAGCTTTTTATTAGTTTTTGCGGCTTTAACTAAAAAAGTTTTTAGCTTTATAAATGTCCATTTTTTCATCTTTGAGGATTATTTATTGTTATATTGCTCAAAAAGTTTTTTTTACCATAATACGACTCGTTTTTCCGATTATATAGAAAGAAAATTGAGCGTTATGATCTTTTTACAAATATATAAATAAATCGAGTACAAACAAATTTCAATTTAACTTTGCCGCCCAAAAGTGCCTTACCGATAGTCGGTAATAGTAGTTCTAAAAATAACTGAGTGGGGCCGTAATCGTTAAAAATGAATATTAAGGTTATTATATATTTGTGTTCGCGGTAGTAGTTTGAAATATTATTCAATTTTCGTTCATCGATTACTTAATTTGCTTTACGTTGTTATGACGTTAATTATTTACACAGAAACAATGGTGCGTAATTATAAAAATTAAAATATGAATATGAAATGGGATGAGCTGTCTCTGGCGAAAGCTATTGAAACGGTAAGAAATGGATGAGAAATGGGCTTTCTGCAGCTTCAACAGCTTTTGGAGTACCAAAATGTACAATTAACCAGAATTTATAATTGTTAGAAAAAAAAGCGAAAAAAAATTGGTAAATTTTTGAGGCCCCACCCACCATACTGCCAACCGAAAGTATTTTAACTGTACAGGAAACGATTTTTTTCTAATTCGCGTTATATACAGGTTGAGTCAACAAAGGTTATGAGAAAATGGTAAATCCAAAAGGTGTAAGGATTAAAATTATTTTAAACTATACAGAGCGGCTCAAAAAAGAGCGATGAACGAAATATATATATTTTTAAAATTTTGTTTTTTGAATTTCTTTTAAAATTTTTATTTATATTAACACATACGTAAACCTAACAGTTTTTCAAATTATTTAATTGTTCTGAAAAAAACTAGTTTTCACATTAGCAAAAAATTATGTTTACGAATTAAGTAGATAAT